TAATCATAAGTCCACGCGCATGCGCACATGGGATTTTTGCTCTCTCGAGTACGGAAAAAAAATTCGCGACCGGGGACCATGTGCGCGCACGTACGTGCGTCAATGAGATGATCCCCAGTCTTCGATCTTCGTTTTCCAAAATAACCCAGGGTGTTTTGGAAAACGAAGACCGAAGACCGGGGACCCATGTATTATGTGTGTTCGGCGTTGATAATAATTACAATACTACTTAAACACTGTCAGAATGTAAAAAACTATTATGACAAAAACAACAACAACAATAATAATTATAATAATAGTATAATAATAATAATAATAATAATAACAACACTAATGATAATACATGTATAAAAGACGATGATAATAATGATGATTAAAATGATAACATTAATAATAAGCATAACAACTTATGCAAAGGAAAACCAACAAAAAATAGCCTTTATAGACAGGAGGCTGCTACAGACAGGTTCTTCACACCTAATCTATATCCATGGGAACCAATTTGTAGTGGCCACTGATAGGAAGGTGTCTACTAAAGAGAGATGGCCGCTAATTAAGACAGATTTGGCTGTATTTTCATCATTACTAATCGCATAATAATATGTGCGCCCGGCCAAATCGTGGAGAGAGAGGAAGAGACGATCCCCGGTCTTCAATCTTCGTTTTCCAAAATACCCCAGGGTGTTTTGGAGAACGAAGAATGAAGACCGGGGACCCATGTATTATGTGTGTTCAGCGTTGATAATAATAACAATAATAATAATAATGATAATAATCATACTGATGATGATAAAAGATGATGATAATAATGATGATAAAAATAATAACATTAATAATAAGCATAACAACTTTTGCAAACGAAAACCAAATACAGTGAAAAAGTGTCTATAATGGCTTCCCAGGGGAAACCCCCCAAAATGGCCTTTATAGACAGGTGGCTGCTGCAGACAGGTTCTTAAACACCTAATTTATATCCATGGGAACCAATTTTTAGTGGCCACTATAGATACATGTAGGTCTAAGAGAGCTAAGACAGGTATGACTGTATTTTCATCATTAATAATCGCATATAATGTATGTGCGCCCGGCCAAATCGAGGAGAGAGAGGAAGAGACGATCCCCGGTCTTCGATCTTCGTTTTCCAAAATACCCCAGGGTGTTTTGGAAAACGAAGACCGAAGACCGGGTACCCATGTACGTTACGTGTTCGGCGTTAATAATAATTACAATACTACTGAAATACTGTCAGAAAGATGAAAACGATGATGACAAAAACAACAACAACAATGATAATTATAATAATAGTATAATAATAATAATAATAATAGTAATGATAACACATAATAATAATGATAAAAGATGATGATAAAAATGATGATAAATATGATAACATTAATAATAAGCATAACAACTTTTGCAAATTATTTCTTGTTGATCAGAGAAAGAACAACCGACCTGAGTTATTATCTTGTTTATATACAGTGTTGTTGTGTGTCTAATTAAGCAGTCATAACAAAGCAATATAAGAGTTCATTATTACATTTTACAAGGCAAGTGATTGATTTTACTTATTGCTGGTTGTGTGCAGTCATGTGTGAAGAGAGGAAGGATGTGATCACATTGGAACGAAATGCACAATACAAGTAATTTTTTTAACATTCTTGACACAGTAGTGATAACTGAAGTTATATTAGAATGATTAAACAAGAAATATTAATATCTTAAACTGATTAAGAAAGTGGGTCTGGAAGTATACGATTATAGGTAGTTGGAATATGGAAATCCAGTGGGAGGGGGTCTCACATATTAAGACATACGGGGGTGTGCCGCTCTATTGGACCCATTTTAAACCAAAAAAATCCCTAAACATGGGTCTGTTTTTTTCTTCAAAATTTCAAAAATGTTGGGGTGGTTGCATGTTCGGGTGGTAGCAACCACCCGAAAATTGTGAAAAATGGGCCTTTATTTCGAGTAAAATTCCCCCAAATGACCCTCAGAAATGGGTAGGGTTTCGAGGCTTGAGCGGCACACCCCCTTCCAAGCCAAATCTGAGACCCCGACTCCGGGCTGGAAATACATGATAAAGGCAAATGCAACCTTTGTTGTAAGATCCCCGGTCTTCGGTCTTCGTTTTCCAAAACACCCTGGGGTATTTTGGAAAACGAAGATCGAAGACCGGGGATCGTCTCTTCCTCTCTCCTCGATTTGGCCTGGTGCACATATGCGATTATTAATGATGAAAATACAGTCATACCTGTCTTAGCTCTCTTAGACCTACATGTATCTATAGTGGCCACTAAAAATTGGTTCCCATGGATATAAATTAGGTGTTTAAGAACCTGTCTGTAGCAGCCACCTGTCTATCAAAGTCATTTTAGTTCACGTTTTTTCTTGGCTAGCCATTGTTGAAATTTTTTACTGTCATTTCCATTGCATAAGTTCTTATGCTTATTATTAATATTGTTATCATTATTATTATCATTATTATCATAACCATTATTATATTATCATTATTATTATTATTATTATTATTATTATTATTGTTATTATTAGGCCTATTATTACTATTATTATTATTATCAGTGTTGTTGTTTTGTCATCATCGTTTTCATCATTCTGACAGTTTTCCAGTATTATTGTAATTATTATTAACGCCGAACACGCATAGTACATGGGTCCCCGGTCTTCGGTCTTCGTTTTCCAAAACACCCTGGGGTATTTTGGAAAACGAAGATCGAAGACCGGGGATCGTTACTTCTCCTCTCTTCTTGATCTGGCCGCAGCCAGGTTTGCTATTTCATCTAATGGCTAAGTTTGGGAGGTTAACCTATATATTAGTAGGTTAGGAACTATAACCAAAGAAGTGTGTTTGTGTTTAGATTATGTGACTTTGTTTGTTTGCATACGAATATTCAATTATGTTTTATAGTTCTTATTACTTTTTATTAATAGGCAGTCCGTGTCACGAGGTTAACCATCACAGGTCTCCTCCTGTTTTACAGACTCATCTCATCTCTATTTTTGGTACCCTACTATTTACAAAAGTAACAAGGGCCACCTGTCTGTAAAGGCCATTTTTTGTGTCCCCTGGGTAGCCATTATATACACTTTTTCTCTGTAGTTTTTTCTTTGCATAGGCCTATTATGCTTATTATTAATGTTATTATTTTTATCATTATTATCATCATCTTTTATCATTATTAGTATGTATTATCATTACTATTATTATTATTATTATTATTATTATTATTATTATTATTATATTATTATTATTATTATTATCATTGTTTGTTTTTTTTTTTCATCATCGTTTTTATCATTCTGACAGTGTTTCAGTAGTATTGTAATTATTATTAACGCCGAACACAAATAATACATGGGTCCCCGGTCTTCTGTCTTCGTTTTCCAAAACACCCTGGGGTATTTTGGAAAGCGAAGATCGAAGACCGGGGATCGTCTCTTCCTATCTCTCTCTCTCTCTCTCTCTCTCTCTCCTCACGTGGGTGCACTACACGTATAAGTGCATGCACGCATAGTACATGGGTCCCCGGTCTTCTGTCTTCGTTTTCCAAAACACCTGGGGTATTTTGGAAAACGAAGACAGAAGACCGGGGATCGTCTCTTCCTATCTCTCTCTCTCTCTCTCTCTCTCTCTCCTCACGTGGGTGCACTACACGTACAAGTGCATGGGATCGTCTCTTGCTATCTCTCTCTCTCTCTCTCTCTTTCTCTCTCTCACGTGGGTGCACTACACGTACAAGTGCATGCACGCATAGTACATGGGTCCCCGGTCTTCTGTCTTCGTTTTCCAAAACACCCTGGGTTATTTTGGAAAACGAAGATCGAAGACCGGGGATCATCTCCTTGACGCACGTACGTGCGCGCACATGGTCCCCAGTCTTCGTTCTTCGGTCTTCGTTTTCCAAACACCCCAACGTACGTCCTATATGTCCAGTCCAGTGTCGCGGTACGCGGTACATGTACTTTTGTATCGAGACGTACGAGTGAGAGAAAAACAACGAATAACAACAGAAGGAAATATATAGAGAAAAACAATAAATAATTAAAGAACAGAGAGGAAACAAAGAATGTCATAAGCAGAGAGAGAAAACAAAAACTAACTTGAAAGAAAGAGAGAAATTAGAGAAGGAATTAATCAAAGTAAGGAAAGAGAGAAACCAAATAATATTATGGTTTTTGTGGTTTAATTCCGCCTTCTTCAGGGTTTCAATTTTTGACGTGTAGCCTACTTTCAAACCATTTGCTGATTCGGACCCCTCCCCCCCCCCCCCTAACACACGTGTACACATATCGACACATACACAGACTACACTCGACATAATATGTGTAATGGTAATGTAATACATAAACTGTGATTTAAATATTGCACTCGTACCATTTTCTATTATTGTGGGATCACGTCTTTCATTTTTTAAATTCATGTCATTTGTTTCTAAGACCTAATTTCTCTAATTCTCTTGACCCCTCTCCCTTCATATTTGTTTTCTAAGACCTCCCCCCCCCCTCATCTCTCTTCATATTTGTTTTCTGAGACCCATTTCTCCCCCGCCCCCCCCCCCCCCCCATCTCTATTCATATTTGTTTTCTAAGACCTCTCTCTCTCGTATGTATTTCTCAGACCCCTCTTTCTTTCTCTCATTAACCCCCTCTTCATATTTGTTTCTAAGGCCTCTCTCTCTCTCTTCATATTTGTTTCTAAGACCCCCCCCCCCTCTCTTTCTCATTTCTTGATATTTGTTTCTAAGACCTCTCTCTCTCTAGCTCTCAATTCATGATATTTGTTTCTAAGACCCCCTCTCTTTCTCACTTCTTGAATTCATATTTGTTTCTAAGACCTCTGTCTCTCTCTCCCTTTCTCTCTTTCTCATTTTAAATTCATGATATTTGTTTATAAGACCTCTCTTTCTCTCTTTTTCCATTCATCACTTTGTCTAGTGTAATGTACAGACACATAACATATAAAGGAAATTATACACCCGTTTTACATGAATTCATTTGCACTTTATTTACTGCTTTACATTCATATACTTTTTTTTTTCGTGAAGGTAATCTAATCCTTCAATGTCAGAGAAGTAATACAAAAGATACAGGAGTATGTGTATGCATAAATAGTTATATAAAGAAGAAATATGTAGTAAAAGTGAAAGCAAACAATAGTAGAAATTTGAACAGATAATTTGACAGTGTGTTAAGATTTAGATGCAAGAAATGACTATAAGAAATTTTTATTTGAAAATACATGCACATGTAGATAAAAAGAGATCTGAACATAGGCGGATTCATGGGCGCAGAGGCGTGCACCGCACTTTACTTTGGAGATAACGAACTGAATACACATAATAATGGATGATACGTGAAAATATTTTTCTTCAGCGAGTAACAATATTTCACGTATTTCGCGAAAATTGATCATCCAATATTATAATTATTATTTAGATACTCCACAGAGATATTGTGATTTATTCACCATTTTTTATAATATACTAGTACATGTACTTGTAAACTGCATCTTGGCAATTGAAGCTTGAAACGAGTGCAAATATGAAATTTCCCAAGCATTTATGTGGTGCTGGTGCACAACTAACATGAAAAGTTAAAAATGTTTGAATTTCAAGAAAACAGTAGGCCTACCGTAACACTAATATAATCATTTACCTGTACAAAGTCGAACATCTAGAATTTACATATCCCAATCCAAGTTGTTACTTGAAGTTATTGTGACGTTACAATTATTGAAAACGAAGTAGTTACTTGGATGGTGCAATTTCATATGGTGACGTCACGTTTAATAGCTGCATGCGCACAATCACTAATAATGGCGTGGCTTAAGAGGAAAAATAAAAAAGAGCAACATAGGTTTTATTGTTACTTCACGTTAGCTGAATGCACACAATCATGTATTGACCAATCATAATCTTGTGGGCGTGGCAGAATGTTCATTGCGTCCAATATTTTATGTTATTATGAATTCTCCATAGGCTTAGACGTTAAGAAATGAGATTTAATATTTTAGCTCTCTGAGACGACCGTGACAGACCTCCAAAAATATCGTTGCCTCTAAAACCCTAAATCTAAATAATAGACCTAATATATATAACAACATAACATATAATAATATTTCCTTTATCCCAAATTTTCAGGTCCCAGGAACCTCATCATTATTAAAGGTTTCCACTGGTGTAAATTTGGCAATACTCCCTCAAAGCTATGGATAAGTTTGTGTGTACAATGCTTTTCATATAAAGTTCATTGACTTTTTGACCTTTGAACTTTGTCGAATATGACCCATATTCGAACTCGACCCGAGTCTTCAAGAGATGCAAGTACCACTGGTGTGAATTTGGTGATACTACCTAAAGGCTATGGAAATTTATTGTGAGTACAACATAATTGTTGATGCCGACAATGACGTCGGAAAGAGTGACGTCTATATACATGTACGCAGGCAAGACAAAAACTATGTTTTACTATGGGTTTTGCCTAGAGATTGGCACATTGTGACCGCATGGTTCAGATTATGTGGTGCAGCTGCACGTTTTTTACGTGGAAGCTGCGATGACTGTGATGACTGTGATGACTGACCACCTTTGGCATAGCCATGTTCTTCAACTGTTGCCTGCTTGGTCGGACGTCCCGATGTCAAGTTTCTCCTCCCCCCAATCTTCACTCTTCTGCGAGCAATGGCTGTTGGCTGCACGCCAATGCTAGGTCCAGAAGTCTTAAGGATACATACCTTGGGCTTAACCTTGCGCCTGGCAAGGTTGACGCCACTGTATCTCCCATACATTCTGATAGCAGATGTGAGACTGCTATCAGTCTTAAGCCTCCTATGAGACTGTAGCATAGCCTTAAAGGGCTCTGCAAATGTGGCAGGGTCCTGCTTAAGCTTCTCCTCCATCTCTAAGAACATGTTGTGGACTCTTTCCACAAGGTCATCAGATTGTGGAGCTGAAACAGACATAGAAAATGATGATTAAATGGCAACCCTGGTTGATTCTTTCAGAAATAATAATAATTAAAAAAACACTATGCAAAAATAAAAGTAGAGAATGTGTAGTTGATTTGGGGGAAACTCATACTTAAGGGTAAATCAGAAATGACTACACACCTTGAAAAACTGCCAACTGCTTAGATGAAAGTAATTATAAATATTAACCTTTTTACAATTTTATGGTAGAGAACTCTTCCGATTTCTTCCTATTTCTCTTGATATTACACATGTGTTAGGACACTTTAATACACAGTTAATGCACATGGGTAAATTTAGGTGACTGGGTATACACCAATTTGCATCAAAATACTAAAAGGCTTGCTTCACATAGCTACAACTTATATTGCCAAGACTGTAATTGACTTTAAAAATTACTTTGAAAATTATCCATACTCTAAAAATGGGATTTATAAATTTAACCATGTTTACTGGTAGAGTACACTTCAGATGACAGGCCTACTTATATCACAGTGAATTCTCAATACCCATATGAACTTAATCAGACTACATAATAATTAGATAAAGGTTTATAATTCAACTTACTGAAATGTGCTCAGATGTTATCCAAGCGATCCCTCGTAAATAATGGTTTAGTTGTAATACGGATGAAAGACAAAAAATGTGAAAAGAGTTAGGTCATGCACATGAATGAAAAACAGTGACAATATATCATGCACATTTCCGAATACTTGTCAGGCACCTTCAATCATTCTGCAGGCTCATAACAATCTGTAAATGGACAAGACTTCATGCTGGTAAGTAACACTAACATGTTAGAAACTTGATGTGTGCGACTTCATTCCAATATGCCTCTGCCTATGTTTAACTATTCACCCTGCCACACTCAACATCTTAATATGTTGATGACACAAAACACCAGATAATGACCTCTGTGACCCTTGACCTTTGACTTACGTACTCCAAAATCTAATCAGATCGTCTTCCTAATGGTGATACATACTATAATCAAGGTTGAAGTTCATGTCTCAAGTGGTTGTTGAGATATCACGATGACTGACAGATGGACAAATCCTAATGGGTCATTATAATGAAGATGATCAACAAATTATGAATTCAACGTCCATGATCAAACAGTCCACTCCCGATATAACGAGCACGGATACAACGAGATTTCGTTATAACGAGGCAATTCTCCAGGGCCCAATTTTAAAATATTCATGTATAAACCTATGTGGTCAGTATCTTTGATATAATGAGATTTCATTATAACGAGGTAATTGGTTTGGTCCCGAGCACCTCACTACAACGGGAGTGGACTGTAGCATGCAATAAAACACATGAGAAAATCTGGAACAATATAATAATATTTTGGAAATTTTCTTGTATTATTTTTTTATTTACGTTTGTCTTAAATTTTGGGATCAAGAAGATTCTCTCTAGCTTCCTTATTTTAATTGTTGATTTAACCAGAGCATTATGATCCAATAAGCATGTACCAAAATAATAATGGCCCTACATGTATATGTTACTCAACAACTTTCTGACCGTCGACATGTGATCTAGTTATCTCCCAAAATTAATGAGAATTTTGGCTCTCCGGCCTTCATTCATCCCATTTCAAATATTGAAAACATTCATTTATCCAGAGCTACATGTACCTGTTCGATTTGATTTACGCATTGGATGCACTACCTAAGGTAATAAATGGTTATTTAAAATAATAAAAACATGATTGACCAGCCTTTTTATATTAAAATATCAGAATATAAAATCCTATGAAACTTAAATGCATGTTCTCCTTTAGATAAAGTTTAGTTCTGGTCTTGAGATTGAAATGTGGAAGAACTGTCTCAAAGTGATTGGGAAAGGTTTATTATAATGCATCTAAGAATTGGTGTATGCTTTTGGTATCACCAAAATGATAAGAAATCAACTTGATTCTGCTAGGAGAGTCACATGCACTGCACACAGATATGCATGTATGTGGCTACACACAAATGTTCGGTCTGAACATTTGAGCTGCTTTTCTCTTATTATGAATGTGAGGTCATTTGAACAACAATCTTTTGTAGTGGATCTTTTTACTAATCTTCCTAAATAACATGAAAAGAATTTGAAAGCTCACAATAATTGTTTTTCACCTTTCCCACAACAGTAGCTTTTCTTCCCTTTTGTACAAAGTGAATGGAGAGTTGTCCACAAAATCAGCCATTTTGAAGCAGCGTTGCCAATTTGAGGATCCCCATAGAAAGTAAAACGAGACTTTTCGAACTTCCATAACTCTCTTATTTTATAACCGTTTTTGATGAAACTTTCTTTAAATTGCTCCTCTCATTTTACTCTTTCATATGAGATTGATTCTCTCCTTGGGTTTTGGTTTCCTCTAAATAGGTGATTGACAATTTATCGCTACTATATTCACATACTTGCTCTTCCTCCCGGATTGTGTCACTGTTCTCCTTACAGTGAGAGTAAGTTTAGCGCAGCACCTAGTGTCCTTGCTGTGACGAGATGTCCCTTCCTTAGCCCGTCTTTGCTGCCCATGATGACATCGATAGATCTTCTATTATCAATCATATACAATACGAAACTAAGATATGAATGAAATTTAGTCAGGACACCAAAGGAAGCAATTATAGAATGCTTGAAAAAGAGCTTCCAGGGGACTTAATCGTACATTGGTTAGGGTGCTGCAGCTGTAGGTAACCAAAGATATGAATATGAGTATAATTTCATAACACATATGAAAAAAAACTGCAAAAAAAAGTGATGAAAAATGGGACATAGAAATAAGATCACCAAATTCTGTAACATCAGAATAAAATTACATTCAACCAAACTAATGCAAAACCATAGAAACAGATTTACCAACACAACATGTAATAGTATATATCAGAGGTTTCTTCAATTGGGGTAATTTGTTTTTTTATCAGAAACAGCATTAAAAAAATTGCCTGCAATATTGTTTTGAGTTTTTACGGCGCCGTCAATATAAAATATGAATATTTACGTCATTCATGTTGAAGCAAGACAAGTCTTTATTTGCCAATTGAAAATGGTGGAAATCACATTTGCAGTTGTAGATCTAGACCCTCCTCCCCCCTACCACTACCAGTATTTTTTTTTTAACTTTTACATGAAAATGTCTTGTCATTGGACAGTTTTGATTTTGATATGCAACAGAAAGAGGATTGCTAAACCAATACCTTAAAGAGCACATATTTCTTCGCTGTCGGGCAGGTTCTCATTACCCTCCATGTGGTGCGAGAAGACTCTGCAAACTCGCTCATCCATTTTTTTGCATCATCTTCTGCTTTGACATTTATCACCAGTGATGCTGTGAATCCAGATTCATCATGGCTCTCAAAGTTATTTACATGGTAATGGTATTCATGATCTTCATTATGGGTAGATCTAGGTAGAATTGCCTGCAAAACAAACAAACAAAACAAAAAACAATATTATTCCAAGATCTGTAGAGGGCAAGCTCTATACTATAACAGTTAGGCTAGGGCGTAGGGGGGCTAGATCAAGATCGCAATCTAACTGTTAGATACCGGTAGTAGGGGCCTTGCTTACTAGGTATAACACAGGCACAGCTAAAGTCGGGCAATTGCCACACACAGAACCATCTGTATGTCAGGCTGTGCTAGAAATGGCTGCATGCTGCCATCTTTTTTGCTGAAGAATAATCAACTGAATCGCGGGAAGAATAATCATTTGAATCAGGTACAGATCTAAACCTACCTCAAAATAAAATAGGTTATTTTGGGACCATGCTTCAATCCTTGGGTGTTAAGTCTTAACAGATTGAATGTATGCACCTTTGCATGCAGGGGTTTAACTTAGATCTATCTTTAGTAGGAAATCCTCACTGTGCAGCAGGTCCCTGTAGGCTGTGCGACTACCCGTTCGAGGGGAGATGACAACAACAGACTCATCCCACTTCTATGCAGAACCCAATCGTACCAGCGCAGTTATCTACCCCAAACTATTACCAATTGGAACAATTTACCCATCGAAATAAAGAACCAAACATCTCATTCTGCCCTAAAGTTTCAAATAGCTCTTAGCAAAGAAGCATAGTCATGTCGCACAGCAGCAGCACCACTCTGGACGACAATGCTGAATAGCGATGTCCGGATATCATCCCGAGTAAATCCTGAGTAAACCTAGTACGAGGTCAATTTTAATTGACCTTGCATAATTGCAGTTTGCATACACAATTCGCCCATGTGTATCGCAAACATCACTACTCAAACTAGATCTACAAGTGAATCCAGATCCAGCAGTTACCATGGTTACTGCAAACCTGAATAAACATGGAATGTTTTGCGAGCCTAATTCATTGCGTCACAGCCTTCAGGGAAACATCGACATGTGAGCTGATGAAGTAAAGTGACACCTACATTAACGCGAACTGAGTCCTACTCCTAGCCTAGGCCCTAGGCTACGGAAAACATCGACAGTTAAAATTATTAACTGAAAAGTATTAACTGAAAAGTATTAACCATAGTCTAGATCTAGACCTAGTAGACTAGATCTAGATTCTATACGGTACGTAGATAGTAGAAGTAGTAAAGTTAGCTTTAGTAGACTTTATTGGAGAACTTGTTTAGCACAGGGCTAGATCTACTTCATATTCATAACTCCTAGGCTAAGTTAACTCATGAACTGTATTAAGTTATTAAGTTACACCTTAAGTTAGGCCCTCCTGCAGTCCTAGACTACATAACGTTAGATCTAACGTTATGTTTGTTTACATTGTTACTTATGCTTAGCTAGTCCAATTGACATTGCTGTTGTTAATGTTGACTGACAGACAGTACTGACAGTGACAGTGACAATGTGACACTGTGCAGCGACTCACTTAGTCTTACTCTTAGACCTCTAGGCCCCCTACTTAGTTTTGCTAACTATTGATGCCTAACAGTTACAGTTAATCGTACTCACATAACTACAATTCAAAACTGGATTTACAGTATTCATACCCGCAAAGGCGTCTGCATTGCCACTCCGTCATCATCCTCGATGAATTCCATCGTGCAGCAAGCTTCTTAACTTGTTGTTCTGAACTTGAAATCCTATATCTTCTCCCTTAATCTTCAGTATTGCAGCTGCGTACGGTGTGTATAAATGCTGCATCGACGTACGTCTGTACTGTGCATATCGCATGTACGATTCGATTTGGAACTGGCGCGCCCGATCGAGGAGCGTAGACTAGACTCATTCAAGCAGTTTCATTGCTATTTACCGGGAAAATGTCCAGGCCAGGGTGTAAAACGCAAACGGGCCAAGTGCAGTATACATCCAGGAATATCTCTAGATCATTTTTTAGTAGGGATTCGGACCTAAGTTGCTAAGCTGAAAATTTTCAAATGAGCCAGCGCCCCCCCCCCCCAAAAAAAAAAAGATGAGAGAGAAAAAAACAGTCCTTTGATATTTAAGTTGCTAAGCTGAACATTTTAATGAGCCAGCCCCCTCCCCCTTTCCCAAAAAATGACGAGAGAGAAAAAAAAATAGTCATTTGATATTTGAAATTTGTTATTTTGCCGACAGCATAATAAAGGTCAAATTTGCCAATAGAAAAGTTTGAACGGGGGTGTCACTCTACCCCCTCCCTCCTTCAGCGGCGCTCCTGATCACATCATTACTTTATAGCGTATAATGTACAGAATTTAGGGTCATGTAACAGATTATTCACTTGCTTTGAAGCAAATCAGAAAATTCAGAGAAAAGGGTTGTTTTGAACGACATGAAAAAATTAACAGCACCAAATATACATCATTCTGTAAGATATTATATTTGAGAAAAAAATATTTAAAAAGCCCATATTAATTAAGTGGCAAATCTGAAGTTGGACTGATGGAAATCATTATCCTCAATCAATCAATCAGAGAACATATTACAAACGTTAGATATCATGTTTACCGTACATGCATAAAATACGTACAGCCCTGAGACTCCTCACCGTTCGGAAGGAACAGTTACTTTAAAAAAAAAAATAGAAATGGGAAATTACATTTATCTATAACTCACGAGAGTGCCGATTTGTTTTGACTTTTCTTAGCTTCTGGTCTAGAATTTCGAAGTTTCTAATTATTTTCAAACTTAATCCTGAATTGGCTGTAGATCTACTTTCACACAATTCAATTTGTCACGGGCAGATATCAAGGAAGCACTCTACTCGGATAATTTATAGTTGGCAATTGATGTGTGCATAGTACCTTCGAGGCCTCCTCCCTTCCTTTCTTCCCCCTTCTCCCTCCCACTTAAATCCTTTTCCTGAATCCGGGTCATGTATTGTATTTATTGTAGCGTTCAATGTATAAAAGTTTTCATCCCTTTTGGGTTTGACGTCATCTATTGAAGAATTACGACGTCTTGTCTTGTCTCCATAGATCCATCATCCATGCACTGAAACTTATCAGCGCAGCATCAACGCAGCGCCTCCATTTGTCGATCGACGCTCGATACGATCGCGACGTGCTAGGCCATCCATGCACAATAATATTATTGTTTTCGAGAACAATCATCGAAGTGATCATTCTTTAATCGACGGACCAGTTGAAGTGCATTAGAACGTAAGTTGTATTATTTCTCTGTCTTGTAGTACGTATATAGCTTTCGAGGAATCTTTTGGAGGAATAACTACCATGTACCAAGTACCATTTGCCAAGTGGGCATCGAATTATACTTTTATAGTTTGTTTCTTGTTCTCGATTTGGTTTTGAACAGAGATAGAATTGAGCGAATTCGAGCCGGTCAACCACCCAGAGCCTCGGCGGACCGCAAACACATTATCCGTAGTCTGCCGTAGCCATAGTCCTAGAGTAGAAGTGTAACAATGCCAATGACTGATATGAGTGTTCAAACTTCATGCAAATTATTGTTTTTCTTGTTAAATTTATGAACGTGTCTAGACTATATCTATACTAGACTGAAAATTTCTTCTCTTTCCTTAGTTAGCCTCTTAATTTGCTCAAATGTCTAATAAAGCCTCGATCAGTCTTCAGATGAGATGTGGCAAAACTGCACCATTTTATTTTTATGATGTTGTTACTTTGTCGTTAAGTTGTTGTTGTTGGGTAATTGTTTATTGGCGTTCATTCAATGTTGAATATATACGCCATAATTATTTTTAATTTTATAAGGAAAATCAGTTATAAATAAGAAAACTGAGGATAAAGATTTGTAATGTCGTTAAGTGTAATATACTTCACATTTCCGATCTTATACACTTACATAGGCTACTATACTTTCAAAATCAGTTTATAATATTTGTAATATCATGTTTGACGTTTAATAGCAAACCGATGTGTTTGTGCCCATAGTAGGGCCCTGCAAGCTGCATCTTACATATCCAGATCCAGAAAACGACTGATTTGTTTGTCTTCTATTTGTTATAAAAAAAATTCTGTTCATATGAATGTTTTTACATTAGGGCTTGTTTCGATGGAGTCGGGCTAACTCGGCCCACGGGACTACTCGGCCCAGCTGGAAAAACTGGGCCGAGATGTCCCGACCTGATTAATCGATCGAGAGATACCAATGTGTATATGTTTGTGCTCTTTGTGACTTAATAATGCCCTTTCCAACCAAAATCTTTAATGGAATTGTGTTAAATGATACCAATGAAGACAATCTATAACTTATCTTTAGGTAAAATGACAAAAAAATGACATTTCGGACAATTTACTCACAGCTCGCAATCCGCATTGCCGCACGTACATTAAATGTGCGTTGTATCTACTCGGACCACTGAAATTCGAGCAGTGTTTTTGTCGGTAAATCACTGCAAAAATATCATTTTTATCTCGTATGAAGGTCTATTTTTTTATTCCTGACACAGATTTCATTATTGAGAAGTCGAATATAGTACATTTTAGACGAGATGGTTGATGTTTGTTCACATTCTTTCGTCCTGGCCGTAAATTAGCAGACTACTGCCTAGTGCTACCGCAGCAGCTCAGCTCAGTGTGCAGCTAGCCGTACAGCGCCGCCCCCCGGGTCGGCGGGGGAATTCACTGACTCGTGCCGGGCCGCTGCACTGCATTGCATGATTGTACTGCCCAATTTGATCGAGTGAATGTGTGAGTATAACTAATCAAACTAGATCTATATCTACTGTATTATCATTATTCATTCTGAGTAGAATATCCAATTTGAGTTAGTGAGTAAACTAGACCTAGATCTATATCTACTGTAGCTACACCATTATCATATACTAGATTAGTCATTCAGAGTAGAATATTCGATTAATGAAGGAATGGAATTTTTCTTTTTCATAATCAGATAATCATATTTTACTCCTAAAAGTTAAAGACTTGATAAATAGCTAGATCTCTCGTAAGGGCCTAGCCTAGTACTGTAAGAGAAGTGAGCTGAAGAATCGCCTTCTTTTTTTTATTTTGGAGGGGCAGGCGCGTAGCCAGGGAGGGGGGGCAGTGGGGGCGGTCGCCCCCCCCCCCCCAAAAAAAAAGGAAGAGGACGTAGGAAGAAAAAGGATTAAGAGTCGAGAACGGTACAACGAATCGTCTTCTTTCTCTAATTATTTAATGAAACATCAAAGCTTCCGCGCTGTGCGGGAAGGGGGGACGGAACTGAATTCAGATAAGGATAAATAGTCGAGAACGGTACAACGAATCGGGGTCCAGACAACTCGCCACAAAGACAACCCGCCACAATACCTTGGACATCCCGCCACAATACCCTGGACAACCCGCCACAATACCCTGGACAACTCGCCACAGCCTTTTCGGACAACTCGCCACACTTTTTCCCATCATGATTTCTAGATCTAAAATGAAATGATATTGTCATTTTTCATGATTTTCGTGCTTTTATAAACACAGTCATTACAAAGAATAAAGTTGATTTCCCTTGTAACAATAATATATATTGAAATTAAATTGTCATTTTTCATGATTTTCGTGCTTTTAAAAACACAGTCATTACAAAAAATAAAGTTGATTTCCCTTGTAACAATAATATACTTTTGATCTAGAGGTCTATAAAGCATTTCTCTGTCCCAGAATTTTTTTAATGGTAGAATACTGAAAGCACTGGCGTACTGATAGGGGGGGGGGGGGGGGGGTGGGCAGTTGACCCGCGAAATAAAATTGGAATGTGGTTTATTTCTAGATTTTCTGGGTTAGTTTTGTCAGAGGCGGCATTCTTGGTTGGGGGGGGGACACTGTGCCCCCACTTTTCCAGGTTCCCCTAAAGTGCCCCCTTATCCTTTGTACATGTCCTTTTCCCTTCTGATAATTTTTAATGGTAGGAATTCATGGAAGGATAGGCCTACTGGAAGCACTGGCGTACTGATGGGGAAGGGGGCAGTTGACCCGCAAAATAAAATTGAAATTTGGTTTATTTCTAGATTTTCTGGTTAGTTTCGCACTTTTGCCCACAGTCAGAGGCGGCATTCTTGGTTGGGGGGGGGCACTGTGCCTCCACTTTTTCAGGTTCCCCTAAAGTGCCCCCTTATCATTTTGTACATGTCCTTTTCCCTTCTGATAAGTGCCTACTTTTCTTTCTCAGATGTTTTAATTATAATGTTACTTATAATTACATAAAAGAACTTTTCAGTCTTTCTTCATTAAATTGTCTTTAATATTCATCATGTAATTTTTCAAATGGGACCTTCTACTTTTAGCTCGCTTGCTCGAAAATCGATATTCAGTCCATCACACCAAATTGCGAAGTACGTTGCTTAAACAATAATGTTGTTCCACGTAGAGAAATAAACAAATATTGATGTCATTCGTGGTAATGTATTCACAATCTTGACGAAGGCGTAGGCCTTTATACAAATATCTAAAAATGGTTTTTATTATTGTTGATGTGTCCCTTTGTAGGTGCCCCTTTTTCAGAAATCCAGCCATTCTTGCGATCATAGGCGCCAGAATTGGGGGCAGGGGACTCGCCCTCCTCCCAACGAAAAAGTGTGTGTGTGTGTGGGGGGGGGGGGGTGGGGGTCAAAACGAATTTCCACTCCCCCCCCCCCCCAAAAAAAAAAAAAAAAAAAAAAAAAAAACAGTATAAAGCAGTATAATTGATTACAATTTAGTAACCAAAAAGAACATACAAAAATAATAAAACCTAAATTGAATCAATTTAAAATGATATTCCATTCAAAGAATTAAATTTCATAATTAAATTTCAATTTACATGACATGGGGTGGAGATGATGAGAGGGATGGAGATGATGAGAGGGATGGAGATGATGAGAGGGATGGAGACAATGTGAGAGATGGAGATGATGAGAGGGATGGAGATGATGAGAGGGAAAGAGACAATGTGAGGGATGGAGATGATGAGAGGGATGGAGACGATGAGAGGGATGGAGACGATGAGAGGGATGGAGACAATGGGAGGGATGGAGATGATGAGAGGGATTGATGAGGGATGGAGGTGATGAGAGGGAAGGAGACAATGTTGATGATGTAAGGGATGAAGACGCTGTTGATGAGAGGGATTGGTGAGGGATTGAGACGGTGTGAGGAATGAAGATGATGAGAGGGATGGAGATGATGTGAGGGATGGAGACGGTGTGAGGGATGGAGACGGTGTAAGGGATGGAGATGGTGACAAGATGGTGAGAGGGATGGAGACGATGAGAGGGATGGAGACGGGAGGGATGGAGACGTCTCCATCCCTCTAATCATCAATATCGTCTTCATCCCTTACATCATCATCCTTGTGTTGTGGTATTGGTACGTATTATTTCATATGCAATTTACAAGGCAAAAAAAAATCTAAATAAATAAAGTTAAAACAATTAAATAAAAATGAGGACATGTTTGAAAAACACACATAATAGCAATAAACATTATTTGTTTACGACTCCAAGATACAAATTCCAACAAAACGACGTCAAGCTGACTCAAAATAACAAATGATAAGCAGGTGTAATCGTGTATTAATTTTATGCCACGTTGTGGTAATGCAATTTTGTTTTTTTATTTATTATTTATTTATAGTATGTACATATTTACAGGTACACAAGATCAGATATAAATCTGTTAACCCCCAGCCTCCCCTCCCCCCCCCCCCCCAAAAAAAAGCTGTAACATGCAGAGACCAGTACAGATGACACGCCACACCATTCCTTGTGTTGTGGTATTGGTACGTATTATTTCATATATTGAAGTTACAAGGCAAAAAAAACCTAAATAAATAAACAAAGTTAAAACAATTAAATAAAATTGAGGACATGTTTAAAAAACACACATAATAACAATAAACATTATTTTTTTACGATTCCAAGATACAAATTCCAACAATATGACGTCAAGCAGACTCATAATAACAAATGATAAGCAGGTGTAATCGTGTATTAATTTTATGCCACGTTGTGGTAAAGCAATTTTGTTTTTTATTTATTATTTATTTATAGTATACATATTTATACAGGTACACAGATATCAGTTATAAATCTGTTAACCCTCAGCCCCCCCCCCCCAAAAAAAAAAAATTGTAACATGCAGAAACCAGTACAGATGACACCACACCATTCCTTGTGTTGAGGTATTGGTACGTATTATTTCATATATGCAAGTTACAAGGCAAAAAAAAACCTAAATAAATAAACAAAGTTAGAACAATTAAATAAAAATGAGGACAAAAAAGATTAAAAAGGGCACTTATTCAAGATTATTTCAAGATTTATGAGAATGGAAAATGGACACTTATTGCAAAGGAAAATGGGAACATGCCGAAGGAAAAGGGGCACGTGTCAAAAATAAAAAAGGGCACTCGTCAGAGGTGAAAAGTGGGAAGGGGCACATTTACTAAGTAATAGGGGCACTTGTCAAAGGAAAAGGGGCACTTCTTACAAAATTAAAGGGACACTTTTCCTATGTAAAAAGGGGCACTTTTGGGGTATCTGAAAAAGTGGGGGGGGCACTGTGCCCCCCACCCCCCGGGAGGGCCGCCTCTGCCCCTGCCCCTCCATGCACCGGCACGTCATTGCAATATCATGTCTTAATTGCTTTGCTTTGTATATATCTCTTTGATTCCCAGAAAAAGGGAACAAAAAGGAGATTTTTTGGGGGTTTTTGTGGGGGGGGGGTGGTGGGGGCTGCATTATTTATACTAAAAACTTGAAGCCATTACCTTCTTTTTGTAGAATTTTTTTGAAGCAGCCCCCTCCAAAAAAAATAAGAAGGCGATTCTTCAGCTCACTTCTCTGCTTAGAGTACTAGGCTAGGCCCTTACGTTAGATCTACATGTAGCCATTTATCAGGTCTCTAACTTTTAGGAGTAAAATATAACATCCGATTATGAAAAAAGAAAAATTCCATTCCTTCATTAATCGGATATTTACTCTGAATGACTAATCTAGAATATGATAATGATGTAGCTACAGTAGATATAGATCTAGGTCTAGTTTACTCACTAACTCAAATTGGATATTCTACTCGGAATGAATAATGATAATACAGTAGATATAGATCTAGTTTGATTAGTTATACTCACACATTCACTCGATCAAATTGGGCAGTACAATCATGCAATGCAGTGCAGCGGCCCGGCACGAGTCAGTGAATTCCCCCGCCGACCCGGGCGGCGGCGCTGTACGGCTAGCTGCACACTGAGCTGAGCTGCTGCGGTAGCACTAGGCACTATATTCGACTTCTCAATAATGAAATCTGTGTCAGGAATATATAATAGACCTTCATATGAGATAAAAATGATATTTTTGCAGTGATTTACCGACAAAAACACTGCTCGAATTTCAGTGGTCTGAGTAGATACAACGCACATTTAATGTACGTGCGGCAATGCAGATTGCGAGCTGTGAGTAAATTGTCCGAAATGTCATTTTTTTGTCATTTTACCTAAAGATAAGTTATAGATTGTCTTCATTGGTATCATTTAACACAATTCCATTAAAGATTTTGGTTGGAAAGGGCATTATTAAGTCACAAAGAGCACAAACATATACACATTGGTATCTCTCGATCGATTTATCAGGTCGGGACATCTCGGCCCAGTTTTTCCAGCTGGGCCGAGTAGTCCCGTGGGCTGAGTTAGCCCGGATTCGTTTCGATTACTCGCCTTCTAATCTATTTGTATATATTTATATGTATGTTTTATTTAGCTTTGTATGTAAATCATGTTAATCTATAGAGTCTAATGTATGGTTTTTTGTAAAATTGTGATTGCTTTTTATATGCACGGCCATGCTGAAGAAAAGCCATTGTCTGAAGTAATAATAATAATAGCCTAATAGTCCACTCCAAATTTTATTAAACCGAAACGGAAATTCTTTTTGCCCAATTGATTGTGAGCCCGGCAGCCACTGAGCAGCGCCAGATCGACGTTGCTCTATCCCTTATTGTTGAACGCCAAACAAGATAGCAACAACTCCCATCTTTTAACGTCTTTAGGTATGACGCGGCCGGGGTTCGAACCCACGACCTCCCGGTTGTGAGGCGGACGCTCTACTGACTGAGCCAACACTCCGAAGTATGCCACCGTGCTAAAATAAAACAAACAAACAAACAAACATGTACATGTACATGTGGCTTTCTTGTAGGGCCTTTTTGCCATTCAAATACACTTTTAAAAAAGCACAATGGTTTGCGGCGGTTTACTGTGTCATATCCGAACAAGCCTTTGTATGTATCATAAAAAGATTTTGTTTTGTTTAATTCCATACAGATTGAGTGCTGGGAGAAAGAAGATGAAGATGATGCAATCAGGGTCAGTGGTCCTGCTGGTCCTCTTTGGAGTGATCTTAGGGATCAATGCTCAGGAAAGACCACCTTTTCCTCCTCCAGATCCAGTGTTACCAGTTGTTCCTACTCTTACAACTCCTACTGTCTACCCAGGGTTAGTCATAATTATCTCTTTTACAGGGAGGGGGGGGGGGGGGGGGGGGGAAGGGGGTTGAGAACTTCAATCAGCTGTACTTCCATTTGTGGATTAACCTGTAATGTGACGTGACACGATTTTGAAACAAGGTCCATCAGAGTCATAGACGAAGATAGAGAGCTGATTGTACTACTACTAGACCATCTCACCTGTCGCTCACAGATGTGGAGATATGGATTTGCAGTTAGATGTTAACATCTAATGAATATGGTCTTAAAATTGCACTGCATACATGTAGCATGAATAAAGGTTAAGCTCTTGCAATTGCTGCTGTATTGATAACAAGTATTAAAAAAAAATAGAAATATATATTAGTGTTTTTGTCATTTTATACATGACATCTGTCAGGATATTTTTTGAAAGATTCATGAAGCAAGCAAACTTATTTTACACACTGTTTGGAACATTCTGTGAAGACTATTAATCTGTCGAAATAACCAAGTTGTCAGAACATGTTACGTGTTTGGAATTGATTTAAAACAAATATTTGATATGTGATGTCTGATGGGTGCCATACACAAGTCATGGGTACTATGAATGTCTGAACTTGTTGATATTAGTAACACATTTTCCCCACCTTTCAAAGGAGTCTTTATCTTCAAGAGCCATGGACTCAATCAATTTTAAATGTTTCCATTGGTATTAGGGACTTTCAGATTGAGTGGACGAGAACGGCGTGAACTGATCATGCTTGTCTATGGCAAGCTGTTTTAACATTTTTTCCTATTTCTTGATATCAAGAATTACCATTGCTTTATAACAGAAAATTATTTCTTGATATCAAGAAATAGGAATAAATGTTAAAACCTTTTGCCATAGACAAGCATGATCAGTGGACGTTCACGCCGTCCTTGTCCACTCAATCTAAAATTCCCTATTATGATCACCATGGGGAGCCACTCCGGGAATGTTTGCATTTGTAGAAGTGGAATAGTGAATTGAAATGACACAATTTTTTACCCCTCAAAGCATTAAAATGCTTGGTTTCCCTTTTTGAAAGCTGGAAAATATCCATGCTCTCATGAAAAAAGTATCCTTTCTTGCTAAATTGAGTCAACTCAAGTTAGCAAGAAAAGATTTTATACTCGCCAAAGATTTTTAGGAATTTTAAAATTAAACAAGCTACTTTATTAATTTCTTGCTGTGAAAAATGCAAAATTAAACAGTAACAGCAGCAGCATCAGTAACAGATAAATTTTACCTGCTTTCTAAAAACATGCCATATTTTGTTGGGGGAAATGGAAACTAATTTTAATTGGAATGGATGATAGAAATTGAGATTTGATATAATAATATAACTTATTTAAGAAGTGTCTTTTTTGTAACTTAAACAAGATACAGCTGCCCGTTTACACGTGCCTGTTGCACATGGGTACATGTATTATATTCTGGCCCAGGATGTGATTTTTATCCCGAAATTTGTTCGATATTCCCATAAAGATATTTAAAGGGAACCTGACATCGAATGAGAATTGTTCATATCTTACTAGTAAAGAAAACTTAAATAAACCTTTTGAAGTTTATTGGAGCTTCCCAAAACTGTACCTAAGCTTCAACCCCACCATCTTTTTACCCTGTAGATCACACAAATTTTCAATATTTTCTTGAGGACACAGTCTAACTTGAACATTTTTGCTTAAATTAATTATTAACGTGTAGAAGAAGGGCATGTCAGAGCAAGCGGAAATTCCATAATGTCATGAAAATAAACCCTTAAATTTTGATTGAATTAAACCTCACTAATCCAATAAGGTGGGTTACAAAATATCATGTGTACGAGACCTTCAAAATGAATTTCTTCCATGCACGTTCGTATGCCCTCGATACAACCTTTGCTTACATACTTTTACATAATTTTAATGTTTGTGTCGGTTTTACCCCGAGGACTGATCCATTGTTTGATGGAACGGGTGGGTTCACGGGGAGGAAAAAATCTTGTTTTTTCCTGCCCATGAACGCAAATTGATCAGCAAAAAGGTCAAAGCTACTGAAATAATCTGCAGCATAAACATTCAGTGGGCTTAAAAGATTCCTGGCTAGTAGAAAAATGAAGTAAAAAGTCTAACGTGTTTAATCAAGAAATGGGAATTGATTTAGAATGGTACTAATAGTATGAAGGAAGTTTTAATTAAGTTTCCCATGTTGAAAGCGTTTTACTTACTTTCCCTCATCTTTTCCGGATAGTGTAAGATTCTCAGTTAACATTAAAAATGGAATGTTTAATTGTTGAATTGAATTGAATTATATTGATAAGTATTCTTCATAGTCTCAGCTACAAGCTGGTGCATTTGAATTTACAGAAGAAAATTGTTTTTGTTTTTGGGTTGACTGTCCTCATCCTTGTAACAAAGTATTCAAAATGAATGTACATGTACATGTTATGGGCTTTTTGTTTGTTTTCTTGTTTTTTATATGACATGTGCAATTGCAGACAATAATCACTGTATCAATAAATAATTGTTGACAGTCTGTTACACCAGCAGTTCCTGTAATGAGAGTCCCAAATAGGCCAATAAAATTGGTTTTGCTGCTCCTCAGATGATGTTATGTTTCACAAATCTATTCAAAATCAAAAGTAACAAAACATTTCTTGTACATTTAAAGGGAAAGTCCACCCCCAAAATAAGTTTGTTTCGATAGAGGCAGAATAATAAGAAAATCAGGTGAGTGAAAGTTTGAGCAAATTCTGAATGAAAATAAGAAAGTAATGAATTATTGAAGTTGTGATCAATCAAATACAAATTGGCGACTCTGTGACTTATCATACGAGCTCTCCTTCATTTGCTTTGTGCATAATATTCCATAAAATCATGTTTTCTTCGTTATTGATGACAAAATATATATTTGTTCCTTGCAGGGGGAGTATAGAAACATATTTGCAATTATTATATTTAGGGTGCATGTATGGTTGAAATTTTTCTTGAGGGAAAATGAAAATTTTAGATTTTTTTAGTACTGAGCAAATGGAAGTTGAGCTTGCATGATACGTCATAGAGTTGCCAATTTGTGTTTGATTGATCACAACTTCAAAAATCCTAACTTCCTTATTTTTAATCGGAATTTGCTCAAACTTTCACTGACTTGTTTCTCTCATTTTTCTACTCCTATTAAAACTAACTTAATTTCAGGGTGGACTTCCCCTTTAACATTTGAAATTCGTGGATCACACAATGTAAGAATGTCAAAGTGTTTATTACATGATTTAAAAAAAGCTAGGGTGACCCTACCAGAAGAAAATTTGAAATTAGAAAATAAAATAAGAAGGTAACAGCATCAAGTGCTAGCTACTGCATTGTTCTGTGGCAGTTTAGAGATCAACTTCAACCAGCTCATAAAAGGGCTCTCAACATCTCAAGGATAAAAATATATATTTGTTGGCCTGTCATTATTTATGAGTTGTCCTTCCGTTTGCTTTCCTGGAATTCATATGAGTAGAATCCGCCAGTGCTAGTAAAACATCTGTTTGCTATTAAAGTATGCATACAGCTCTCTTATTCTATTAATCCATACTGTGGACAAATTTGTAAACATACCCCCAAAAATGAAAAATATGATGTTTTTATACAGAACTGTTTCATTGGTATTACCTTGAACAAAGCAAAGACAAAAGGTTAACAAGATTTCTAACTCATCTAATGGCCAACTTTATCTAATTTCATCTTTTTTTAACCATGTTTATAGTAGTGTAAGCACAATTGTATCTAAGTATATTATGTAGCTCATTGTAAGCGCCTTGAGCACCCTCTGGGTGGATATGTTGCGCGTTATAAATGTCTGTATTATTATGATTATTATTAAAAAATATGAGAAAAACATCAGCAAATGCTTTTGTTTAACTACAGCGCCCTGGGAATGTGGATGGATAGATCCTTGTGCTTTTGATCGAGGTCCCAGGATGACTTGCATGGCAAGCATTAGGATGTATTGACAGTCAGTGAACAATGTCAACTTACATTTGTAAAGCAGTCAGATTCTTTTGTCATTCTCCACCCATCCCTGTCGATTGACGTACTTTTTGGGTCACTGTAGTAGGTACAGTACTTGCATTATACATGTAGAGTGAAACCAAAAAAGACTACTCAAAGGAGACAATAAAGATAGTATTAAAAAAAAATATAGAGTCTACATATATATAGGGTGCGTTCAAGCAATTTTTCAAAGCTAGAATCACAAACATGAATCACAAATCAGAATGCCATTACAAAGCAAGGTCACTGCTGGAAAGCGTTTTCCGTTTACGCTGATTCTCGCTCATTTCGAGCCCAACCACTGCGCATCACACTGCGCAGTTTGACCCAGGCAGTACAGGTCAACTTCGGCGCGCGCTTTCTGGAATTGTTTACGGCCGACTGTCGACTGCTGTTTTGAGCATAAATCGCAATAATAAAACAAAGAATGTGAAGGTGATAGAAGGAAGAAACAAAGAATAACATAAGGAAAGACAGAAAGAGCATGTGATAGAATTATCAAAACAAAGAATAACATAAAAGAAGGTGATAGAAGAAAGACACAAAGAATAACATAAGGAAAGACAGAAAGAGAAAGTCGATAGAATGGTTAAAACAAAGAATAACATAAGAGAAAGTGATAAAATGATGGAAACAAAGAATAACATAAGGAAAGATAGAAAGAGAAAGTGATAGAATGATTAAAACAAAGAATAACATAAGAGAAAGTGATAGAATGATGAAAACAAAGAATAACATAAGAGAAAGGTAATATAAGGAAGAAACAAAGAATATAAACATAATTAAAGATTAAAAGAGAAAATAAGAATAACATAAGAGAAGGTGATAGAAGGAAGAAACAAAGAATAACATAATGAATACAGAAAGAGAATGTGATAGAATTAGTCCAATGGCTTCTATTGGTAAATCAATAATGATAAATCAAAATCGATTTTAGCAACTGTCCATCAAAAAACAAAGAATTACATAAGAAAAGGTGATATAAGGAAAAACAAAGAATAACATAAGAATAGAAGGAAGAAACAAAGAATAACATAAGAGAAAGTGGTAGAAGGAAGAAACAAAGAATAACATAAAGAAAGACAGAAAGAGAAAGTGATAGAATGATTAAAAAAAAGTATAACATAAGGAAGACAGAAAGCGATAGAATGATTAAAACAAAGAATAAAATAAGAGAAAGTGATTATGAAAAACAAAGAATAACATAAGAGAAGGTTATAGAAGGAAGAAACAAAGAATAACATAATGAAATACAGAAAGAGAAAGTGATACAATGCTTAAAACAAAGAATTACATGAGAAAAGGTGATCAAAGGAAAAAACAAAGAATAGCATAAGAATAGAAGGAAGAAACAAAGACCCCGTTCTCACTCACTTTGAAAGTGGTCTTAATTAGACCGCTCCAGACCGCTCCAGAGGAAAGGGTCTTGAGAAACGGTTTGCGAGCGTTCACACTCCAAGCAGTTTTTATGGCTCAAACCGCTCCACGAGTCAAAGTGGTCTTGTTGCTATGGCAGCTCAGGTAGGCGGGTCAATTTTTTCGCGCGCGGAATACAAACCGTATGTACCGTACTACATGTTTCGCACGGAACGTCACTAGCTCACTTCCGCTCAAAGTACGCTTTCCGTTCACATTGCACGTTAGAGCGCTCTGGAGCGCTCTTAATAAGACCCGCTCCTCAAGACCACTTCGGAAGGTGGACATCTGGAGCGGTCCAGAAGTCCGTTTCCTGGACCACTTTGAGCGTTCTCACTCACCTAAGAACTGCTCCTGAGGAGCGGGTCTTAGTTAGAGCGCTCCAGAGCGCTCCAACGAAGTGAGTGAGAACGGGGTCTAAGAATAACAAAAGAGAAAGTGATAGATTTATAAAAACAAACAATAAGATAAGAGAAGGTGATAGAAGGAAAAAACAAAGAATAACATAAGAATAGAAGGAAGAAACAAAGAATAACATAAGGAAAGACAGAAAGAGAAATGATGGAAGTAAAACAAGGAATAACATAACGGAACAGGCCACAATAAAGAGCATGATATAGTGAACGTAAATTACATGGAAAGCAGGCACGCTGTTTTTGCCCAAACCGGAACAGGCGTAGAATCATGATTAAGATCTCCGTTCACTCAATCAAACTTTAGCGACCATGATTCTGCAGAATCATGAAACAAAACGCATCTTTTTCAGAGTTGCATGTTTGTGTTTTAAACATGTTTATTTTTACGACCGACAAAAAAATTGCTTGAACTAAACGTGTTTTAAACTAAACGTCTTTAAAAATTGTGATTCTAGGGTGAAAAAGTGTCAATTGAATGCACCCATAGACAGGACATGTAGTTGCTAAAGCAGGTTTGACAAATTGCGTCTGGTAAAAAAACATAATCACATGAAACTACTTTGAACAGTAAATATTGTTTTGAGTGTGTTCAAGCCTCGATCATGTATAAAATTACAATTGTCTTCAGCTGTGAGATTTGATATGCTTATCTGAGTGAAACTGAAATACAATGGCATTCAAGCTCACTTAAAACTTATTAAATTAGGTTTTAATGAGCTATTTAAACAAATTGAATGATATTTGTTAGTCAAGTTTTGTCATAAATTTGTTTTATGAAGATAAAATGGAAAGTGGTGAGAGTGAAAGTAATTGAAAGACCCTAAAAGCTGAGTCATATGTACTTTTAGCATACATGTACATGTACATCAGCATTATAAGTATTGTTTTAAGAGACATTTTGTACAGTTTACACTTTACAGTATATGTTTAGATCATTAATTTCTATGCTACATGTATGTACAGTCAAACCTGCTTTAGTGACCACCAGTCTACAAAGACCACCTGTTTACAAAGGCCACATTTGTTGTTTCCCTTCAAAATGGATTCTCATTGAATCATGTACTAAAGTGACCTGTCTACAAAGACCACCTGTCTACAAAGGCCACTTTTTGTGTTTCCCTTGGGCGGTTGCTTTAGACAGGTTTGTCTGTACAGTGTAAATGTATTTCAGGTTTTTTTTAATCAGGCTATAAAATTTATTTTGTATTTTACTTCAATTTTCAAATATAAATTGCAGATCCTATGAATCTGTGAATATGTGTTTTTGATACTAATTAGTTCTATGAATGGCAGTGCAATAGGTAGAACAGGATATTAGCCATTGCCAATCACTATTTGACAAATTTTATTATTAAGTCCACTTGTCGTGATCGATGAGTATTCTTTCCTGTACCAATCACCGGTACCATGGATCCTGTATTCATGAATCATAATGTAATGTTGTGATTGTACCCTGCGGGATTTACATGTTTACAAGGTGTTTTTGATTACCCCCTCCCCCTGATTCCTATAGTGACTCATAAATATTAGACCTACATGTTCAATACGTGTCTATAGGACGTTATATACACTCCTTTTTTGGAAGGAGATCTGACTTTATAATATATTATGCAATCATGCATGGGTCCTTTGTTTACATTTTGTCATTTTTTGAGTCCACAATTGGACTTTTGGCACCCATATGTCCCGGGCACTTGTTAATGTGAAGCACTACAATCACTGATACAGTATAGGACCCATTGTAATGGTAGGGCAATTAGTACTTCAAATGATTGGACCCATCACCAATGGTATGTAGGACCTGTAAGAAACCATTTACGCAGTTACAGGAAATTCACAGATGTACATGTAGGCCTTCTTTCGTTCAAGTGTATTACCGCTAAGTGATTGCTTTGTATAAAAACCAACAATAGCGTTCTCAGGTACCCTGACCTACATATACGATGTAGGCGTTCATGTACAGTGGTCACCCAAACCATGAAGGTCAGAATTGTTTTGTTGTTGACCTTTGCCTGACAAATTAGGTGAATTGATGTAGAACTCAGTGCTTTTTCTTCTTTTCATACACATATAGATAGATATATACAGCATACTGTGTGAAACAGATGATTCAAGGCTGGCATAATGATTTCATTGAATAGAAAATGTTATTTCAGAAAACATTTTTTTTGTAAGATGAAGAAAAACAGATGTCTCTGAGAAGAACTTAAACACTGTCATGGCCACTGTACATCACATGGCACGCATTTAGTTCTACAAAAAAAAACAATGGGAAACTCTTAGAAACCGTGATAAAAACAGAACTTTAAAGGTAAAGACCAGTATTGGCAACGCCCCAATTTCAAAAAATGAAATGGAAGCTCTCATTACCAATCATGTGAAAGAATATGTTTTGACTAATACATGATGATAAAAAATTTGCCGGGAAACCGCCTACTAATTCATATATTTGGTAAATTTATTTCTCTCATGGTCTGGTGAGAGAGATAGGGTAGTCCCATATACATCTTTCTGTGTATAGTGCTTGTAACTTTACGAAGAATGAGCCAAATTTCTTATCATTTTGATGATTCCAGAACCTTGCAGATGCTAGATGCTAGATGATCGACCTTTTCTGATCGATTCCACAACGTTTCTTTCACAATGCAATCGCATGACCATTACTGGTCTTTACCTTTAATACAATGTTACTGAAGCCATACAAACACATTACATGTATAATTTGTAGAACAATTTTGACTGAATATTAGATTTATTGTTGTCCAAAATACCTCCTTTTTATCTTTCTCACTTCTCAAATGTCTCCATTCTATCTCATCCACCATCTTCATCTTCTTCACAAATTCCTGTTTGTTTCTTGCTTGCTCCTTATCATTTGTTTGACCTTTCTTATTCCTTCATGTAGATAATTTCATCACTTCAATCAAGGGCCAATCTGTCCTCTCTTTTTCACAAATGTAGGACTTTTTTCCACTGTTGTTTTCCTTGATTATTTATGTTCTCACCTGGCCTGGCCTGGCCCATCCCTTTTTGCCCACCCTGACCCTGCTCTATATAATATCTTTACTATCACTTGTCATTTTAACACCTACTCTGAAGTAGAAAACTTGATCTGTACTGCTGGTATGAAACTTGAACTTTACTCGATCTTCTGGATCTAGATATCCAAAGAGCCTTCAAGGTCAGAACTTTCATTTATGTCACAATTAGGATTGTAGAGCCTGGCTAATGGGTGAGAGCAAATATTACAAAAGAAGGACGTATTTCTCTTAGGACTGCTTCTCCTGAGGGAGAAAAATTGTTCATTTGACTGAATTTGAATTTGACATCAATTTGACACTAAAGAGCAATATCACTAATAACTGAATTTGACTCCTGCAAGTACAAAGAACAGATTGATGTTTCCATAGCAACAGAGTCAGACTGCATACGTGTACATGTAATTATCAACATATTTTTTTAATGAAAATTTTTCTTGGATGTAAATCCAACATAAGATTTCTTGTAGGATACTAAATCCCATGGCTCAGATCACTGTGATATTTTCAAGCAGATAATGGTCGCAGCGCAGCTTTTTTGAAATTGAAGTCAGAGTCTACAGGTTTGATAACTGTTAAACATTCAATACTGAACACCTTAGATTTTTTGAAATCATACTACTGAGTACTGACAGTAAATAACATCCATGCTATCTACACTGTACACTGAGCTTGCACAAAACACAACCCACTCAAATTAATGCTGGTCGCTGGTTTGAGCAATTCCATGAAATAACTTGCCATAGGTAACCAAATCATTTCATAATTCATATTTCATTACCCGTGGACAGTGACATGCACTATAGGATGATCCCTGACTAAAAGCAAGGATTAAAGAGTCTTCCTGTTTTTACAGGAAACCATGGGGGCGGGTGGGGGGGGGGGGGGCGACGCAGTGACAAAACATCTAAGCTCAGTGTTTGGATGATAGATCAAAAGATCTGTCTTTCGTAGGAATCGACTTGTTACTGACTGGGTTGATACATCAGCATGCCAGTCATAACATATGGCAAGATCTTCATTTTTAGTTAGATTTCTCAGCAATGGGCGATTAGTCACATCTGACTGGCAGAAATTGAGAAGGTCATCAATTTATGAAGACCCAAAGACTGAATCACCATAATACTAGGTTCATGCTCACCAAAGTACTGTACATGTACATGTACATGGCATTTGCAAATGAGCACAGATTATCATACATGTATATGCCAGCGCAGCCTGCAAACTCCACGGCCCAAATTCACAAAGGAGCTCGTCGACAAACCGAGGTTTATGTACGTCATATGATGCGTTATGACGCGGTTTTTTACAAACCTGGTTTGTAAATAACAAAAGGAGGTTTGTCGAGACAAAAGGAGGTAGCCTCCTTTGTGAATTCGGGCCAATGCCTTGCATAACTAGGGTCTAAGTGTATTTAAGTAGGCTATTAATTGTGGACAACTGCAAGTGAAATGGAAAGAGGAATGCAGGCCACACCCGGCCACCAACTGTATTGATGCATTGTACTATTAGGAAGGAAAAGTAAACCAGGCAGGTGAATCTATATTTAGGGCACAGTCACATCTCACATGGGGGCCCCCAGTTATATTTTTAAGGTCTGTAATGAGGCTCCTGGATAAATTAGAAAATTTTGTGTGACCACTGTTAAAACATTTTAGAGGCCCAGGGGATGAAATTCCTCCACCGATTTCGATATATCAAGATGGGGGGGAAAAAAAATATAGTTAAACTTTTAGAACATCATTAATTGTACACCTAGCATTGACCTCACAACCTTATGGCAGTATTTTTCTCTCATCTGAACAATGTTATAGAGTCCCTTTAAGCAAGACGTGGTTACAAATATTTCTCAAATTTAGAATTTAAATGCAAGGAAAATGTGTCATTTTACGTAAATATAGTTTTCTGCGGAAAGGGGGCACGCCCCCCCCCCTTTTAATCCAGCCAGAGGCGTTGCCCCTGGACCCCCATTTAATCTTCCTCCTATTTTGGGAATTTTTCTGTCTCATCCCTAGGTCCATGTCCATGTGTCTGTGGTACAGGTACTATTGAAACCTAGTATACAATGAGTGACGAGAGTCGGAAGTTTCCCATTATCTGTCCGTTTATTTTTTTCCCAATTTCTCTTTATTAGTTCTTTATTAGTTCTGCTTCTTGCTAAGCCAAACCGGGCGCTATAAGGGCTACAAACTTAATACAATACATTGACTGGAAGGGGTCAGTAACCTATATAGCTTGGACTTGCTCTTGCCTTCTTGTATTAGAGTGTGAGATCATAATAAATAATAATACTCAATTCAATTCAATTCCATGTTCAATCATTACATTTTTTTGCAGACAATACATAATTCTTGCTGCTAACACGATCCGCCCTGGGATGCCTCTCACCCTGAGTGTGACCATCTTTGAGACCCAGGGAGGTGCTCCTGTGTCTCTGGAGGCAGCTATCATCAGGGATAATGTGGTTGCGGTATCTACCACGGCAATCCTCCAAACGGGAACCAATCAAGTCACCTTACAGGTGGGTGAAATCACAGGAGATTTATACTAAACTTGTTAACTGCTGAATTCTCCTACTCTCATTGACTCAATATGGGAACCAACCGGTTCTGGTAATTAGTGGGTTAATGGAATTTTGTGAAGAAACGTTTTATGGTTGTTCTGATGGTAGTGATGATATCATCAGGGATAAATATGTTAGAAGTATTGTCTATGACCACTCTGCGAAAATGGACTATCAAATTACATAACGTGAGAAGAAGGTTGTGATGACATAACTATTTGGGCTGTTGTTGGTCTGATGTTGCAATATCATCAGGGATTATGATGTAAAGGTTATCTGCTACAGCAACTTTACAAACAGGAAGCAATCAAGTCACATTACACATGAGTACTCGAAGGTTGTGATGAAATGTTTCTGTTATGCTGGTGTGATCGTGCTGTTGATATGATCTGAGATAGTATTTTAGAGACTGCTACATACTGTATGGCCATATTAGGAACAGAAACCAGCCAAATCACTTGGCATAGGATTGATTTGAATCTGTGACCCTGGAGTACAAAGCTTAGCAATATGCCATTTTCATACTGTAATCTATTCAATGCACAAATGTTTGTTACGTGCCTCATTAAAAATTATTTCATTCACCTGTTATGAATAATCGTACTTCAATAGTTCAAATGGGAATACATACTTTATGTGTTGTTAGGTAGGACAAGTCATAATTTTTGTCCCACCTAGCAACAATTTGTGTACAGTGTATACAATTCCTATTCTGACTATTGAAATGCAATTATGCATAACGGGTGAATGAAATAATTGGAAGGAGGCACTCAACAAAGAGTTGTGTATTCAATGTGATCATAACAGAAAATGGCCTATTGATTGCACAAATTATTGATCATTTGTAGAATCAATTGATTGTTCATCATAGTTGATTGCAAAATATTTATCAATTGCTAACTTAACTTTGTGTTATGAGGCCTTGCTGTTTGTATACAACATTATCAGAGAGGAAACATTAGAGATCATGCGCACATTAGTACTCCACAAATTAATATCCTAATATTACCTCGGTAATCTCAACTAATCTTTTAAGAACAAGGTTTTACCAAAGTCTGTAATAAAGGATTATGGGATGAACAGTAGCCCAAAGCTATATCAATTATCATTTAGTTCAAACATTTTTCTGACTATTGTGCAATCATGAATTACAATTATTTGCCCCTCTAAATAGGTCTAAAACATATTAACTTTTCCGTCCAGATATAAGTTGATATTAATGATATTTTCAATTTAATCTGGGACTGGGACTGACAAGTCCATGCTTTAAAGTGCGGGTTCAAAGAAAATCACAAATATGGCAAATAACGTATCACTAGAAACTGGTAAACTAATAGATGGCGATCGTACAAGTTTTAGGTCAACTACATATCGGGTGATTTATAAAAATACAAATAAAACCACCTCCATTTAAGCGTTTTGTAATTGATAATAATCATTACTTCGAATGTTTCCAAGCATTGAATTTGATAACCTTGTCCAATCAAAGTTTCACCTTTGCAATAATGACAATAAAGTTAGTTTTTAAAATCAATGAACCTTCTCTTTAAATGTTCACTAATGAATGGATATATCCAGTAGTACAGTCATTTCAAATGACTGTGATCATGTTACATAAGATAATTATTTTCCCCCTGTATACATGAACTATCTTTGCTGAAAAGTTCAAGAGCCCCTTGTTGTTTTATGACAAGTACATTGCACATCCTACTGAAGTTTATTTGAAATGAGCTTTTGTGAAGTGGAAAAAATAGATTTATGAAAAATTCCCTGTGTAATGGTTCTCATTGCCGGTTGCCCTCAGAACACAACTTTTATCAGCAGATAAAAATCTGTTTTTATTCAGCTGTGAAGCTTATTGAATCCCAAATCTACACTGGAATTTTTTTTTTTAAAGTGTACACTACGTTTTAATGTAGTGAAGATTTCATCAAATAAATATTTAATATAAAGTTATCTTTTATAAAGTATATCAAAACGAACGTAAATTTAATTTGTCTTAAAGATGATATGCTATTTGAATCATACCATTCATGCATGAGTGAGCATAGAGGCTCTGAAAGAAAATTGCAAAAATAGGGCATTAATTACGCCAGTCCAACATTGATGAGCATTGGAGGTATCCAATGGCTTGGCTATATATATGGCTTGTCCAATCAACGATCTTGGATGGAAAGGAGAGGCATTTTGACTTTGCTTGTCAAAACCATGCAGTGGGGTACAAATACATGAATGCTGTTTGCCTACTTTTCTTCTAATTCTAGAAGTAAACTGTGTAGAAAAAAGTGGTCTCTCAGTCACTTTAAAGTTTCTCACGGCCTTTTCATGAAAAAGTGAGGAAACTGTAAAGAGAAACCTGTTTCCTTATCTCATAATGTACATGTTGGAAGAACACTTGAGATTCATTTGTGTTTGTGGAACAAACAGATCATAAGCGGAAGGATGGTGCATATCAAGTTGGCACAAATTAGCTTCCATTCTTTCTCAAGTTCTAGTGCAATAACATGCTGTCACAACAAGGTGATTTCGGATACCGTAATGAAAAAAACACAAACACAACTGTGACGATGACGGTCGTGGTTTAATCGAAATCTCCCCTTCACAAGCGGGTATTCTGCCCATGCGCATAATTAACATACATGAATATGTATAAGGTTTGTAATAATGCCCAAACTGCTATTTCGCTTTACAGTTTTTTATTTGATTTGATATTAATATGTGAATTATACAGATTATTTGATTATTTAGTATCATAGGAAACATCATAGACATATATTTTTAATTTCTGAATGTGGATCAGGACCCTTGTTATAATTAGAGTTCACTTCACAAACATGAACATGGAAGTACCCTTTTGCCTGGAATATATATATAGCATTCAAGAATTAATGTGAATAGTTTATATAAGCAAGGCCGTTTCGTGATTAGACCATTGATCTTTTCCTCATTCTGTTTATTGAACTCTAGGTTATTATCAACTTGTTTTCACAAGTATGCACTGATGCATTTCAACGTACATAAAGGTTCTGAATGGATCCTGGTACAGACTTGCACTGCTTGTTCTTGTGTGCACACTGGGGGAGTGGAACCTGGCTGTGTTTGTTCAGAAAACTTTCTTTTTTAAAGTGGAACCTAACTGTGTTTGTAAATAATTTTTTTTGCTTACAGCCTTGCATACAAAATTACAAAGGATTTTGCGATGCAGCGGAATATATAAATGTACAATCAAACTGTTTGGCTGTGAGAAAGGAGTTCTCTGTCTCCATCTCTGTCTCTCTTTCTCTCTCTCACTCTCTCACTCTCTCTCACTTTCTGCCTCCCTCTCTTCTCTCTCCCTCATGTATTTTTTTTCTTCCCTGCAACTTTCTTTCTTTCTCTCCCTCTCTCTCTCTTTCTCTCTCTTTCTCTCTTCTCTCTTTTTTCTCTCCCTCTCTCTTTCTCTCTTCTCTCTCTCTCTCACTCTCACTCTCCCTCTCTCTTTCTCTCTTCTCTCTCTCTCTCACTCTCACTCTCACTCTCACTCTCTTTATCTCCTACATGTCCTCATTTTCCGTCCCAAGCTCTTCCCCTCTTTTTTGCTCCCTCCACCCTTTTTTTATTTCTTTAATCTATCCTTTTTTTCCTGTCATCTTCTTATAGGGCCACTCTAACCAAAACGGGCTAAAAAATGAAGTTAAAAAAACATGTAGAATAATTTTTGATGGATATTCCGAACATGACAATGATTTTTCTTAGAAATCATCAATAATTTTGGAATCTAGCTTTAAAAATGAAGACTCAGAACGCGCAGAAAAAAGCTTAGTTTCGGTGATGACGTAACTGCAGCCGTCTCTCTGGTGAAAAGGAGGATGATTTAGGCATTAAAATGTCTTTAAAAAGGCAAACTATGATATTAATTGAAAAAAAAAGACATTTATCCAAAAAATAATATGCACTTGATAATCCTAGTACGTTTCTGGCAATTTTGCTAATGATGAAATTATCAGATCGGACATGCCCGCAATGACATCAAATGCGTCATCAAGCCGCATGACTGTATTACCTTTTTTCGAGGGGCGTAGCCCAGCAAGCATGAGAACTGTGAAAAATGGATGGCTATTATAATTTTTTGGTCAATTTAGAGATTTTCTGAAAAATCAGAGGCTGGAATATTAATAAGTAGATGTGTATTCATGATTTGAAAGGCTATGTTAGTTGGGTTAGACAGGCCCTTTAAGAAAAATATTTTTCAATGAGAAAGTTGTATTTCTTCTCTTGCTTGCTGTCTTTTGAACTTCTCTTCACTTCTTTCTCTCTCTTTAACCCTGCACTCCACATTTCCTTCCTCTATCCTCTATCACTGTTAATTGTTGTTAGTCCAGCTGTATCGGTGATGAACCATACGGTATGAACAAACGTTAGTTTGACTGTGGCGGTACAATATGGCAATTTAAGCCATTATTTCCTTCCTTCTTTACTTGCATCATCTAAGGAGGAAGGATATAGATACTAGAGCAATATATCTTAAAGCCCTTCTTTAAATGTTAGGAGCCCCAATTTCGCAAAAAAAAATTGGTGGCGAAAATTTCAGAAGATCGATTTACATACATTCTACCGCTACATAATTTTTTGGTATCAAAATGAAACTTAAAGCCTCTCTAAGGTGTTGGGAGCCTAACAAATTTAATGGCAAACATTCACTTCAATTGTATAATGAAGTGAAAGAGGAAGTCTTATAACACTCAATTCTGCAAGGATTTTCAAAACAAATGTGTTTGAAGACGAATACAAAGTTTTGGGAAATTTGGAAAAAATAGATGGATAGTAATTCTTTTTTTAATTCTTTTTAAATTTGGGTGCCCCTGTGGATGTTATATAAACACTATTAAATTTAGCCCCTAAAACACTTCTGCTTTCAAGGAAAAATTGAAAATCAAAATTTACCGGTGCTCCCTGCAAATTTTGATAAATTTCAAACTGCGCCTTTGGCTTGCAATGCCGTCTTATTAGTTGCTTTAACTGTGGGAAATTTTCCACATGATATTTGTTTACCAAACTCTGTGTTTGTATTGTGCAATATAGATTGATAAAACGTCAGTAAAACTGTCAGCGGAAAATCGCTCTGACAGTGCTCTCTAGAACCCCCCCCCCCCAAAAAAAAAAAATAATAATAATAATACTGTCAAGAACGTTAAACATCAGGGGGTCGTTTCGCGAAACCTTTTATACATGTAAGTACAAGATCAAAGACATCTTGATTTGTTCAATAAGTGTTTCACAAATAAAATAATCGTCTTTGCCAAGACGAGCAAACACTTCCCTGACAATTTAAGAGCCAAATGAATCAGCCCGCATCCACTTCACCCAGTAATGCTCATAATTAATTAATTATTTCTATTGATATTCAATCAGCCTGAGGACTACATGAAATTGTCAGTGGACCGATCTTTATGTTCATGACAGACATTGCAAATTGTTTGCCTCAAGGACAGATTAAACAGTTTAAATATTGGATCTGATCAGAAAGGTCTGCTCATCGAGATCATCAAACATGCTTCTAAATGGCCTTGGGGTCTGCTGACATAAAAAGGATGCTATGTAACAGAATTTTTGTTTTTTCTGAATATGACAGGATATGACATCAAGAACAAATAGATTTTAATTGTTTGATGAATGAAAAGAGTAAACCACTAGCAAATTGATTGATTTATGGTATAATGTTTCCTTCCTTCAAGGGCACATTACTACATGTACATACTAGTATTGGTAATGTACTTTTAATATGACTTTTATTTCCTTTTCTGGTAAATCTCACCCCCCCCCCCTTCTCTCTCTCTCTCTCTCTCTCTCTCTCTCTCCCTCCCTCATTCCCTGTCTTTATGCTTTTAATTATGTCTCTGTATGATATATTCAAAGTAAGTGTACAATGGCATGAATTTTATATTTATTTATGATAAAATTAGATCAATTTGTTAATGAAAGTTAATTTGTTTTATTTAGACGATAAAAAAACACAGTGGGCTTTCAATATAATATGGAATAAGTACTTTAAAAGATTGTTTCTTTCTTATTTTGTATCTTTAGATTCCAGTTGCAGCCTCAGCTGCAGGAGAATACTCCCTGCGTGTGGTGGGCACTGGTGGGTTGACTATCAACGAAACCAGGAGTTTGTTCTTCAACATTGATCATTTCTCTATCTTTGTGCAAAGCGACAAAGCTATCTACAAACCTGGACAGACAGGTGTGTTTTAAAAGGCATTCCTTCCTCCCTCTCCCTCTCCCTCTCCCTCTCTCTCTCCCTCTCTCTCTCTCTCTCTCTCTCCCTCCCTCTCTCTCTCTCTCTCTCTCCCCCTCTCTCTCTCTCTTTCTCTCTCTCTCACTACTGTTATGATGAGAAATCTTGATTAGTGTTGTTTTTGAAAATCAATTCAAATAAAATCAAATTGATTTATTGAAATGGAATCCACAAACTTGGATTATCATCAAGATACAAGTACTTGGGAAAAAGACGAATCTAAACAGGTCACACAAAAATAGTTTAAAAATACGGATGAAAAAAAAATACTCCAGCACACTTTTAATTCTGATTGATTGATAAATACAATACCATATGCACATATCAATACGTCATCTTCCGTTTGTGGTTTTCATACCAAGATATTGCAATCTTGATCAAACGGCTGAACAGATCTTAACGATCCATTTGCTTCATGACAAACAATTTAAGACTTCCAAGAAATTCCTTTTACACTGCCAGATTTATCAAATACCAGAACTGAAGGCTATTATTGTTCAAGAGAACCTGAATATAGTAATATCAATGAAACTGCAGCTACTGCTCAACCGTTATTACTCCCATCACTTCAATTTTGACCTAGAAAGTTCTCCAAAAAATGGGAAAAAATTACAATGGGATGGAAAACTAACAATTTGTATGTTATTTTTGTCTGTTTTTGATTGGTTGTTTGTTTTTATTTCCAGTGCGCTACAGAGTTCTTGCCGTGTACCCTGACCTGAAACCTTATGTTGGACCTTTCACATTGACCGTCAGTGTAAGTATTATGGTAGTCTAGATACATGTACACGTACACCTTATGTTGGACATTTAACTTTGACCATCAGTGTAAATATTATCATACACCTACACCTTATGTTGGACCTTTCACTTTGACCATCATTGTAAGTATTATGGTAGTCTAGATACATGTACACCTACACCTTATGTTGGACATGCTTACCGTTCATGATGTCCATGCAACGCATCTGAAATCTCTTGATATAATATTAGATAGATATATTAAGATGTGGTTAGGAATACCGTCACGTGGTGCCAATCTTGCTGTGGTCCACGATCCTGATGGCTTAAACATACCTTCCATTTCGGACCTTTACCGTACCTGTCATTGTCTGGCTTACAGTAGATCTAGGGTCAAAGGCGACGATGTTGTAAATCACGCCCTTGACCGAAGACTAGAGAGGGAAAGGGGATGGTCACGACAAACGTCGTTCTCTTTGGAAGCACATGAAATTCACTCAAAAATACCAGGCTCTGTAAGCTGGAACCAGACAAAAACTGTGATTAAAAAAGCAGTTCAAGATGTATGTAGAGAAAATTGGAAAAGAGTGATCGAACCTTTACTTGTTCAGGGAGAATTCATGAAAGTTGTTCATATGGAAAGTACTGATGTAACCTGGAAGTCGATTATTTATAACTTACCTCAGAGTGTAATGAAGTTCAGTGTTAATGCAGCAATAGATAGTCTTCCTACTAACAAAAACCTGTACCGGTGGGGAAAAAGAATATCTGATACATGTAACCTTTGTAATTGTACTGGCACTCTGCATCATGTTCTTAATAACTGTGAAAGAATGCTCGACCGATATACCTGGCGCCACAATAACATACTACGCATCATGCTCAAACATATTAAAAACACTTCAAACAATTCCACCAAAGTATATGCAGACATAGAAGGAGAAAGCATCAATGGGGGCACCATACCACCAAACATAATACGTACCCAACACAAACCAGACATCTGCCACATTGACAACAAAAATAAGGGCATTATCATCATCGAACTCACAGTCCCCTTCGAAACTAACATTGACAAAGCACATCAACGGAAACAAGACAAATACGCAAGCCTCACACATGAAATAACATCAACAGGGTGGAAGAGCAAACTAATCTGTATTGAAATCGGTTCACGTGGACTCATAACCCCACAAAATAAATACCGCCTAAAGGAAATCCTCAAAATCACTGACTCAACTAGGTACCCAGAATCCAGGGACGAAATATTGAAGGCCGTTCTTTTTAGTTCTTATGTAATATTCCAAGGTAGACGTGAGCCAGCATGGCAATTTGATCAATACCTTTAATTTATCAATCTATATACATTAATTTTTCATATTTGTTTTGTCAATGAACTTGTAACCATTCTGTACCAAACTGACAATATTTACCGTAATACGCAATTTATATCGATTCAATTATACACTATTCATTTATGTATCTTGTATGGGGATCTTCTAGCTTCCTCACCATAATGTTACAATCTTCTTCTTTTACCCTGTTCTGTACTATACCACTTCTGTTTTCCTCTCCTTTTCTCCTTCTCTCCTTTTCTCCTTTTCTCCTTTTCACATCTTCCCTTTCCCTCTCTCTTTATCCTAGTGCTCCTTGTTATCACATATATTATTACACTGTAACTTGTATTATTGTTAATGTACTTTGCTATTGTATGTATTGTTCATTATAACCTGCCGCCTGAACCCACTGGGTTGACGGACCTGGTTTTTGTGTACATGATCTCTAATAAAGACTTGATTTACCACCATTATGGTAGTCTAGATACATGTACACCTACACCTTATGTTGGACTTTTAACTTTGACCATCAGTGTAAGTATTATCATACACCTACACCTTATGTTGGACCTTTCACATTGACCATCAGTGTAAGTATTATGGTAGTCTAGATACACCTACGCATACCCTTGAACTACCAGTGAAAATTCATATTTAAAACGGTATGTTGGTTTACGCCTTCAGGACCTTGTAACATAAAGAAATAACCCTACAATCAGTCGTAAGAAATCTAGTGTCTCTCAAATCTTGCTGCAATTAATCGTATCTTGCCATGCGTTGTATCTATCTGCAACATAATCGCAAGTCGCTATTTATTGAAAAGGTAGAACTGATTGAAGGAGTGACAATCAATTGTAACTTTTTATGTTAAAGGTATTACAAAGTTTTGGTATGGGGTCATGAATTTGGTTCAAATTAACATATTGGAAGCATATGCGTTCCTACAATATTCATTGATCGTTGTCGCGGTTGAAATCGAGTCTAAAGTTATGAAATTATAAATAATAAACTCTTTATGTTGTATAGCTCCCTCTCAAGGTCAAGATATTAATTTAGTTATGAAACAATGTTTCTTGACTAAAATCGACCGATTAGCTAATCCCGTTTGGAAATTATATATCACAACTACATATTCTGAGATTGTCATGTTCGCAGCTACCATTGCACGGCCGTAGGCGCTATTTGAAATTTATCAAAATTTACCGGGAGCACCGGTAAATTTTTATATTCAATTTTTCTCGAAAACAGAAGTGCTTTAGGGGCTAATATTTTTAGCGCTTATAATACATCCACAGAGGCATCCAAATATATCAAAATTGTAAAGATTCACTATTCACCCTATTTTCAAAATTTCCCAAAACTTTGTATTACCTTTAAAGGGCCCTGATGTTGATACTTACATGTATACATGTCAATGTAACCCTGGACATCAAATGCAAATAGAAAACTACAGTGATCAAGATGTACATCTTGAACAAAAGAAAATACATAGAAAGAGAATTAAAATATCAAAATATTTTTTTTTTTCTATTTTTGGACTTACTGAAAATGTAAAGAATTGGTGACGTAGATACACGTCCATTTGCCTTTGTAGATTCTATGAAATAGTTGGATTTGATTGTCTTGACACCCCTCCATGTACCCTTGTTATCCCATTGAAAATAGAAAGGTATAATAGTGTATATACGTCTCCATATACCTTGGAGATTTCAATGAAAATATCAAATATATTATGATGGCCTAGATATTACAATGATATGTATACCAACATGTGTCCTCACTGAATCAATGGAAAAGTAAACATTTGGTGTGGTGTAGATATAATAATAATAATAATAGTGGGTTCTTGTATAGCGCTCATGTCAGTCAGATTTGACCCTCCTGGCGCTCCCGATTATTACCCTGGCTTTAGCACGGCGCTCTAGCATTTCAAGGAATAAATTCCTACCAGGTATCCAGTTACTTCACCTGGGTGGAGTGTGGAAAAAAGGAAGATCAATGTCTTGCCAAAGGACATTAGTGCGGCGGTGGGACTCGAACCGCGGACCTTGTGATCGACAGTCCGGCCACGTATCCACTCGACCACAGCACCTCTACATATACATGTACATACATGTATAGATATAATGAAAAGGGTAAAGATATGTGGGTCTCCAAAAAAAGTAGATTGGTAGTATGGTCTTGAAATATGTGTGCCTTCATTGATCTGTGCAGGTTCAGTGATAACTTTTTTGTAATTTTTTAATGAAAACATTAATCAGAAAGAAAATAAGATTATTTAAATTATTATTGTTATAATTATTATTTTCATTATCATTATTATTATGATTATAAGTGTTATTATCATTATTAGTATTTATAATTATAATGATTGTTATTATTATTATTATCTTTTTTGAGAGGGGGCATCTAGTTCCACCTACATGTATTTTGGCATGTTCAATGAATACAAGTAGACATTTTTATCAGTGGGGTTGGCTTTAACAGGGAATTTAATCTTTATATAACGTTGGTCTAGTAGAGGAAGCAGATAGAAATTAAGAGAAACAGATTTGTAAAAGTTTAAGTGAAATAAAATTATCTGTTGTACAGCTTTATAAAACTACTCTCACTCAAACCATTTTGATATGAAGATTCAATCTCCCTTTAAAACTGGCAAATATACATCATTATAAAAGAATATCCAGTCCAACTGTTACTTTAGGCTGTGCATTTTCATTTTTTGCTATGGAAGGATATTAATTGATAATATCATAAAACCTCATTCTCCACAGTTGTCAGCCTTTTCCGTATAGTCCGCATGGGTAACCATGGAAACCAATATCATCCTCGCACTGTGGCTCGTGTTTTATGCTCTCTGTGTTAATGCATGCAAATCCCGGAATTACTTTACACTAATGCATAGAAAATGGGCTTGCTTCGATCAGTTGTGGAAGAAACACCCAGATTTAGTGTTGTACTATAATGAGGGAAATATTCTGGGTTGCCACACCCAATCCAGGGGGAGGGGGGGGGGGGTAAATGGGTACCCAGCAGGAATTAATTCCTTGAAATGGTAGAGCGCCATAATGGCAGCCATGGTAAATGCAGGTAATAATGATGAAGTGCCAGACAGTAACAATATACAAGACTCCAGGGGGGGGGGGTGTTTCACAAAGATTCTAAGTCTTACTTAACTCGATTAAAGTTGGACTTAAATGTAATGGAGAGCCATTTGTAGTGAAATATATTCAAAATAAAAAATTCAAGTATTTTAGACTTTTCATAAATTCCGCATCAAGAACATGTAATCTCCCATGATAATAGAAAACATGAATGATTTGAATCAACTTTTTATGCCTTTTAAAATAACTTTTACAAAATATTTTCAAGGATGCTTATGGCTTTCCATGACTATTAAGTCCACTTTAGAGATAAGTTCAACTTAGGATCTTTGTGAAACCCCCCCAGTATTATTATTATTACAGCATGTACATCGTAATTGATTGGTCACTGTGCTATTGTTCTCAATTATGTAGGATGCTAAGGGGAATGTGATTGAGCAGATGATGGACAAGCAACCTAATAAGAATGGAATCATCTCAGAGGAGATGGTCATGTCTGATCAACCTGTCCTAGGGGACTGGACTATCAAAGCAGAAGCAGAGGTAATTTCTCTCTCCCCCCCCCCCCCCCCCCCCATCTCCTTTCTCTCTATCCTTTTCCTTCATCTTTTCATACTTTTTTTCTATCTGTGTTTATTTTTTTTCTATCTATGTCTGTCTGTCTTTATCTTCAAACCTTCATCTTCATCTCTCTTTCAATCTATTTATCCATCTCTCTCTCTCTCTCTCTCTCTCTCTGTATTTCTCTGCTCTCTGCTCTCTTTCCCCCTCTCTCCTCTCTTTCTTTCCATCTCTCTCCTCTGTCTCTTCCTTCCTCTGTCTCCTCTCTATTTCTCTCTGTCCATACTTATCTCTGTTCCTATCCCATCTCTCTCATATAATACACACACACTCTCTCTTGAATGTTAAATTGGATGGTGGCAAAGAGTTCCAGTCTGTAAGTGTTTATCAGAAGGAATGAATATTTGAAGAAATCTTTGTTAACCAGTATCAATATTTTTAATAATTTCAAGACTAATATTGTGTGATCTCCTAGTTGAACGAGATCGCACTGTGATGTAGAGGTTACATGGTCAAACTGTTATGAGCCGACAAGTAAAATCTGTGTCTCTTACAAAAAAAAATCTCTCTATCTCTCTCTCTCTCTCTTGCTTTGATTTTGAATGTGCAAGGTACATTGTAAAGATGATGTATTTAGTGAAGATGTACGGACTATTCCTACAACTCTCTCTCTCTCTCTCTCTCTCTCTCTCTCTTTCTATACTTACCATATCACTCTGTTGCCTGTCAGTAATTATTGTTTTGGTCATTTGATAATTTGCTAGTTTACTTGATGATATATACTTGTAAATCTTTTAATTCTAACTACAGAGCAGAAAGATTATCAGATGATTTTAGAGGATTATGAGCTTAAGCAATTGTCTGCATGCTGTACTAGTAGCATGCAATTTCTCTTTTTTTATTGGAAATACAATATGGTTTTATTGCTATGTCTATTTTCATTTCCAAATTTATTCTTTACAATTTTCAGGGTCAAATCAAGGAATACACCATCAAGATTGATGAATATGGTAAGTCAAAAACCCCATAAATCATTTGATTAGGGCCCCGTCTTATAAAGAGTTGATATTAATCACAACTATGTTCATAAAGCGATAGGAGATGCAAACTTGCGAGTGATTGGCGGACAATCACAACTCTTTATAAGATGGGGGCCCTAGATCATACATTTTATTTTAACCTCTTTATATGCCACAAAAATAATCACCCTGGGGTTCATCTGCCAAAGGCTCAGGTCATTTAAAGCCCCTCTGCACTAGTGTGGCCAGGAGGGATTATAGAGTGGTGAAGTGTGACGTCATCAAAAAAATCTGTTTTGGGAATTTTTCCATTATTTATATAAAACCAATTGAATACTGGTATGTTAAGTATTGGTAGATTTAGTGTTATACATGCACATTCTCAGTGTGAACATCATAAAAAAAATGTTGTATACAATGATGCATTCAGCAACAACAACAAAACAACAAATCACAAAAATCATTTGCAGGTACATGTACAACTTCATATAATCAATTTAAAATAATTTAATTGAATGAATTTATTAATTTGTACATGTACATGATATGCTTACGAAAAAAGAAAAAAGATTTGAATTAAAACAACAAATATTATGTAGTATGTTTTAAAAAGATACAAATTGTATGTGCTTTCTGTTGGGACAATGTACAGCGTTTAAAATCTTATTTTAAATTATGATATTTTCACACAAATTCTTGTAAAATCTATCTCACTTTTTAAAGTAAAGTTCATGTATCTGGAGCTGTGTTGCAAATGTTGTCTCAATAAATTTATGTTTATCTCTCTCAATCTCTCTCTCTTTCTCTTTCTGTCTCTTTCCCTTTCTGTCTCTTTTCCTTTCCCCCCCCCCCCCTCTCTCTCTCTCTCTCTCTCTCTGTATTTATCCATATCAGTACTTCCCAAGTTTGAGGTGATCATAACAGTGCCTCCATGGATGGATGCATCACATGACCAGGTGCAAGTCACTGTCACCGCCAAGTAAGTATTGACTTCTATATCTAGTCTGCATCACAGATTCTGGACAGTCGTTACGCTTAACAGTGTGTCTGCATTGTAAGACTATGTAGACCACACAGTCTACTGCACTATGTAGACTCTGTACCATAGCAGCTGCTCCTGTTATATCCAGAGTCTGACAGAGTTTAGCCAGGTGTAAAAGCTTTATGGATTTGTGTTGAAGTGTCCAATAGGGTCTGTGCTTTCAGACTATTCTCTAGTTTCACATAGGTTATTCAGTTTGACAATAATAAAAGAAAAGCCCCAAAACACATACACCACCAAAAAACATAGACTTTATGAAACACATCAAGCGTAAACAGTTCTTTGAAGGGGACATATCAGGTTTTTCTTTTTGTGAATGCTGTTATTCAATAGAATGACTTACCAATGTTAATGCTAAGGATCATTTGAACTATGTTGCTACTTAAAGAGAAGGTTGAGTTCTGGGGAGAGGTGAAAAATATGTTGTGAGTGTTTTCATTGTTATTATGCAAGTGTGGAAGAACATCAGAGAAAAATTGTTCCCTGAAAAGCATGGCTCTTTAAATGCCTTTATATTGTAAATATGACAAGTAACAGCTTAAAAAGGAGGCCCAATTTTTATCCCACATGATTGTGTAGTCCCATATGCATCTTTCTGTGTACAGGGCTTGTTACTTTTCCAAGACTGGGCCAAATTCTGTATAATTTTTAATACTCCAGAACCTTGCATTACACACCGATACTTACATGTATATGCCACATGATCAACTTTTTTGATAGATTTCACTTCATTGCTTTCACAATGCAATCGCATGACCAGAATCAACTTTATCATTAAGCATTATTTACTATGTTTTATTGTGATTGCCAATGATTGCAGCTGGAATGGAACAATGTATCTGATAATTTGATATCTTCTTGAATAATAAAGAAATTTTTACAACTCTGTTACAGATACACATTTGGGAAGCCTGTGGAAGGTACTGTGTCACTTGGTGCTAAGCTAAGGTACTACAACAGAGAAATTCATAAACGTATACAGGTAAGAGTAATTGAAATGATGACATGATAATTCAATTCAATTCAATTCCTATACACAACAAACACACTTCATGATTTGAATAGGAGGAAACTCTGGACACTTGGTGGAGTGGTGTACATTGGCCTGATCATCCTGATCAGTTATAGTGGAAGGTGAGACCTGAGGGTCATAGCCATTACGTTTGCTCTCCCCCCCCCCCTCCTAGGCACAGGTGATGCCAAATACTTATTGTTAATGATGATGATGATGATGATGATGATAATGATAAATGATAACGATATTGAAAGAGATAATGACAACATTGATAATCAATGATGATGATCCATGATGATGAAGATGATTATAATAATAATAATAATAATGATGATAATGACGATGATGAAGGTGATGATGATGATATTGATGATGATGATGATGGTAATAATATAATAATGATAATGATGATAAGAGTTCCCACCATCTTCTATCTTTTCTCCCATACGTCAGGTGGATAACAATGGCAAAGCGGAAACAAACTTCACCTCAACTGAGCTTCTTGGATTGAAGAGGCAAACGTACAATCACAATCCAACTTGGTATAATAATGAGCAGCTGGTGTTCACAGCCAACATGACGGAGACTCTGACAGGCATTACACAGCAAGCTGATGAAGCCGCCCTCTCCTATCATTCCTTCCCTATCAAAATAGTGTTCCAGGACTCTATTAGTCGATCTAACTACAAGCCAGGACTTCCATATCATGTCTATGTAAGTCACAGGAAGCATTAATACATTTATATAAGTGATTGTCTTTATGGCGGACTAATGAAAGCCCCACTGTCCTACTTGTAGCTACTTGCTCCCTCTATATAGAAAACAATGCCTTATCGGTGACCATTGGTCCCCCATGATCCTCTATTTCCCATGTTAATTGAGAGCTGAGTTGATGAGATAGCCACCTGTCAGTGACCTTGCTGGGTGGTCTAATCCCTTCTGGCCGAACTAGTACAGATGGCCTTTAATGAGTCAGAATGAATCAGGAGAGCTTAATGGGTATTTGTTTCTAGTTCATCGTGACTGTGCCATGGACCAGTGATGGCCTGGTTGCCCGGCAAGCAGTAGATGGCAGGTTCAAAGATTTTTTCTGACTTGTTTTCAATTACGGATCAAGCACGCAATCTTCATTTACTGGGTGTAAGCCAAAAATATGTTTAAAACGATTGAAATTTCTCCCAGGAAGCTTTACATTCATAAAAGTAAATCACATTGTAATCCATGTTCAAAGGGGATCTCCATCCTATCATCCAGTTACTTTGATAAATCAGCAGAGAAATGAAAGAATAGATAAGAGAAATATCAGATTTTAAAAGGTGTAGGTCTGTGCAAAAATCCAAAAAGAAAATGAGAAAAGAGAGAGGTTTGTCCATTAAAAGCTTAAAAGTATCCCTGAAAATATAAGTTCATTCGTTGCTAACAAGGAATGTCATTTTTTCATAGAATTTGTTTTAAAATGGTGCTCCCAAAACAAACAATTGATTGTTGAAATAACTTCTAGACTTGTGAAATTTTTAAAAAGAATTACAGGTGGTAAATCTAATATTCTATTTTCAAGCTACTTTTTATTGGTGAATTGGCAAATTCAAGTGAGTAATGGTAATGGTTTTATTGAAAATTCATTTGCAGCCAGATGGCTGAATTGCAGAATTGTACATTGCGTAAAAACATAAATAATTATACAAACATAAATAAACTACAGTAAAATTATCCAGAGTCGATGAATGCATTTACCATTGCTTTAAAAAAATATATGATAGCATGTCACTTTTTCACCCTGTTATATTTCAGCTTATTGTGAGCCATCAGGACGGCACTCCTTTGACAGAAGAGGAACGTTTGAGGGGCGTTGAACTGAGGGACTGCAGAGAAAGGTGCTATGGAGATAATGCATCTTGGAATCTACAGAGAATCACCATAGAACCACAGACAGGTGTTGCGGAGGCTTTCATAGCATCACGCAGTAGTGACTTCTCCATTCAACTTTCGGTATAGTGACTATAGTTATTCTTCCAACCCTGGTAACTCGTAACCGTGTCTTAGGCTCTGAATCTCGCCAAACTGAATTCTGAACCTTTTTATCATGTGCAGAGAGCCAGTAGGGTGCTTACTGAGATCCTTCAACTCACCGGTGATTAAAGGCATACCAGTTCTAGTGTACTCAGAATAGCCGCTGTACATGCTACAGACAGTAATATTAAGCACTATGTAAATCACTACTATTATCAATCCTGCTGTATTCTGATTCGTTCTGTCCACAGGCTGAATACAAAGGAGTCATCCCTAAAAGGTTCACCTTTCCTGGGTATTCTCGCAATGGCATTGCAGTGCCTCTCCCTGCTGGCACATACATCACTGCTGAAACCAAGTATCTGGACAAGGCTGCTTCTGATAGCAATACTTACATCCAAGTTAGTCCAGACAATGCAGAGGCACTGATGGTAAGCCAACCATATTCATCTTCATTTGCTATTTCATTTCAGCCACTATTTCGGTCGTAAAACACTTGCTCGTGCAACAGTTGCTCTGCATCAATTTCCTACACTAACAAATGATTAACTTCAACCCTGGATCCAAAGCTATACTTTGCCCTATATCTAAAGTAAAAACCGAATGTGAACCGTAACCCTCACCCTACATGAATAACGTTTTTACAAAATAAGCCTCAGAGCAGTTGATCAGATCACTACTAATTCAGATTATATTTGATGGCTTTGCTTTTTAAAAAAACAGTCATAAGACTAGGATTTTTATTAAGAAAACAGCTGTTCTACCACTTCACAGTATAATATTCAAGTATATTTCTCTAAAAGCAATAAAGTAACAGTGATCCCTGTACTTTGTAGACATATTGAGTATCCCTTTGGTTTGATCTGTGCACAGTATAAATGTTGTTATCAATATTGCAATTATCATTTTCATTTTCATTATCATTATTATTATTAATTATATTGTTACTATTAGTAGTAGTGGTGGTAGTAGTATTATTATCATTACTGCTGTTACTGTTGTTGTTATTATTATTAATAATATTATTATTGATATGTGTTGTTTAGATTGGTTCAACAGCATCCTTCACAGTGCAGTCTACCATGGCTCCAGGAAAGTTCACCTATCAGGTAAGATACACAAGTATCCTTCAACATCAGAGGCCATATGCAATGTTTGTTTAAAAATGAGAGGCTCATTAAACTTGTCTTACCTTTATAGTCCACCAAATTTATCAAACACCAAGTATCTACCCCTAAGTTCCGTGCAGTTTGTGTAACAAAATAGAGAAGCAAATTGACTTTGTTGTGAGAACTTGACGTTGTAGAAACAATTTTTTGTTTTGCTATTGAAGGTTGACAGATAATGATAGATGTACATGTACATGTAGATAGATAGATAAATGGATTTTATAAAGATCTTTGTGTCTGGCAGTTAAAAACTGAAATGAACATGAATTACAATGAAAATTTCCAAAGAACATTAACATAATAATATGAGATACCAATAGGTTACCCTGCAATGCACTCAAATACAATATTTATTTTTGTCTTTCTTTGTGGGAATGTTGAAATAGATCGTATCTCGAGGAAACATCTTGGAATCCGAGACCATTTCTGGTGTTACAGGGACAGAGTACGTCATCACTAAACAGATCACAGCTGACATGTCCCCCAAGAGCAAACTCATTGTATACTTCCTGACTGATGCCGGAGAAGTGGTCCTTGACAGTCTGGAGTTTGTGGTCAATGTGGTCTTTGCTAACCCGGTGAGAACTTGTTTGAACTGCTTTGAACCAGCTAGAACTGGATTTTATCAGTGTTTCAGATCCAATGTTGTATTTTTTGTCAACCAATTAGATATATACTTGCAATTTTAGGACACGAAAGCTGAGTATTACATGTATTTCATCAATTCAAAAAAGAATATTAATAACTTTCCTCCTAGCTCCTGTGTCTCTTAACATCCTCAAACATGAACATGTAATCAATTACTCTTTGCTGGGCAATCAAATATACTGGTCAGCGACAGTTTTATTTGTTAAATGTCAAAAAACAAAAAAGTGGGGTAAAACATGAGCAGATTTTGACCAGGATTGGTAATTGTGTTTGTTTGTTTTACAGGTTACAGCCAGCTTTAGCAAGATAGAAGCAGAGCCCGGGACCAGCGTAAGCTTTGATGTAGACACCACGCCTGGAGCCTTTGTAGGAGTACTAGCCATTGATAAGAGTGTCTTACTCCAGGCTGATGGCAATGACATTACTCATAACCAGGTAACTACTTAGATGTAGTAGGAATCCTTTGTAGGAGTACTAGCCATTGATAAGAGTGTCTTACTCCTGACTGATGGCAATGATATTACTCATAACCAGGTAACCTCTTAGATGTAGTAGGAATCCTTTGTAGGAATCCTAGCTCCTGCCTTGATTGTCAAAGATGTAGAAGTGTTGTGGCTGAGTGGTTTATGCACTTGACTTGCAATTCAAAGGTTTCGGTTCGATCCCCGATACGGCACTAATGTCCTTTGGCAAGGCATAAATCTTCATCTGCCACACTCAACCCAGGTGTTGTAAATGGGTACCTGGCAGGAATTAATTCCTTGAAATGCTAGAGCGCCGTAATGGCAGCTAGGCTAAAGCCGGGGTAATAATTAATGCGCCTCGGAATAGAATTTTTAGCTATAGAAATGCCTATAATTATTATTAAAGAAGTACACACTGCAATTTGTTTCTCTTTATAAATTACTATATTTGTATTGTTTTTATCAACATCTAGTGTGATAGGGAGGGTACAGTTAACAACTGAATAATTTACTACCCCCTAAAATTTGATGTTTTTGTGTTAATCTTCACTCAAGAATGAAAGGTGGATTGGTTGTATAAAGGCGTTTGTCGAATGCTTTCACATACTACTTTCACATGTGAGCTATAATTTGGCACGTTCTCAAGGACCAAAAATGGGAATAAATCAATTTTTCACATACTGATCAGAGAATGAATAATTTAGTTGTTAGTTGTATATCTTTGGTTCTAGTGTCTGATGTTTTAAGGAGGAAGTAATGATTGAATTGATATCAAACTAATAATGAAAGTGAAAATGATTCTTGGAATGATATAATTCCGCTTGTATTTTATTAGGTCTTGGAGTCAGTGGGGCGATTTGATACGACGGCAGATGGTTCAGGGGGCTTCAATCCTTTCTTTGACTTTGCATTCTGCTTCTTCCCATATCCCACCAACGGCAACAACGCAGGAAGTATCCTGAAGGTAGGTTCCATATTTCAATTCAATTTTTTTTTTAATTTTAAAGAAATGACATTACATTTAGGTGATTGACGGTGGCCATATTTTTCGATTGCTTTTGCCATTTTTACATCAGAGATTTAATCAGATGTTGCAAAATGAAAGATTATGTACCGATTGTGGTTAAAGATTATTATATTCCTTTTTTGTGTGTGATTTGTTTAATTGGAGGCCAGTAGAAGGCAGGAATTCCCTATATTACCGATGCAGTCATCTCGTTTAGAGAGACCAGTATGCATATCGTTGTTTATTTCCACATACATGTCAACAATTATCCTTCCACAGCAACACAGGCTACTTCAGCTTCAGTGTTGGTTCTTGTGTTAGATGCACAATATGTGCTTGGAAGGCTATAATCTTCATTTAAACATTGAATTTTTATTTTTTTTGGCACCAGCAACCAGATTGGATGTAGGATGTTGGAACGTCAGTGTTCAACTTATACTCCACTGTAATATGAAGATTGGATTTTATAATGTGCTGACTTTTATTTTCCATTACATGTATATCTGGTACAAGCAGAACATATTAGCCATGTGATTGTTACAATGATTGTCCCTGGTCAGGTCTTGAAGATTCTTCTTTTCACTTTGAATATAATTGACTTTGAATTTTAAATTCTGGGGGCTATCATTGTGATGAGAAGTCTTTGACGTTTGATGACTTGAAGTTACTTGTAAGTGAAGGAAATCGTTTATTTCCTGCAAAAGCATGGAAAGGGTATTGTACATTGCAATAGTTATTGACTGGTACAGAAACCTGGACAGGTTCCAATTGCGTTTCTCGTGATCATGATACAATGACTCGATATAAACCCTTCCGTTCATTGCTAGTCTTCCAGAACAGACCCTTGTTTGACAAAGGCTACTTGTGAGTGGCCATAAACCAGCTTCATCATGACAGGAGGAGCCAACGAGCCAGCTCATAGGTGCAGTCTGAGCATGAGCAGATAAAGGTCATTGCAGACCAAATTGTGAAATACACGGAGACAAAATACTGGATACGTGCCCATGGAAGTTATGTAATCATTATTCATTTATGTACAATCAGTGCACTCCATGATACACAGGTATTCTTTGAAAAGGGAAACAAAGGCTATTTTATGTAGCACCTCCATCGCTGTAGGAATGATTATATAAAAATGTGGATATTCAGGGTCATTTGGGACATGTGCTATCCGTGGACTGGCCAAATGAACGGTGGAATCCTCATGCCGGTACTAATGTGCTAAGACTAATAAAGGGTTTGTTTTTGTCCTTTCCTGCAATTAGGTGTGCCGACTCGGATACCTCATGTATTACTTGATAAATACTCTAAATGATACCCCCCCCCCCTCCCTTTCAAGTCCAACAGCATTTTTGATTAGTCAGACAGGAGGTTTCGTTCCCTCGGTGTCATCGTTGCAACAATGTTTGTCAATATGTGCCGAGTGTCATGTACTTTCAACTTACGGATGAGGAGGAAGAGGATGAGGAGGATGAGGATGATGAGGAGAAGGATGATGATGATGACTGGATTTATAATATGCTTTTATACCTGCAGTAGCAATGAAAGAATCTCATTATTTTGTGTTTTTAGCCAAGCTGAAAGCTTCAAGCTACATGAGGTGACATATGACTCTAGGTGTTACCCAAATACAAGTTTCCTCAACCTGTTTTCATACATTTTACTTAGAGGAAAGTAGGGATTTTTGTATGTAACAGATGGAAATACAAACCATTAATATGACTCTTACTACTCAGTATTTTTCACGGCTGATGAAGCTGTATGTGATGGTAAAAATAATTAAGAATTGAATGGAAATATTTATTTTACTACGCATCACCATTTATGTGGATGTCATGATGTTAACAATCTAATACTTATTATGCCTCCGCTACAAAGTAGCCGGAGGCATTATGTTTTCTGGTTGTCCGTCCGTCCGTACGTCCGTACGTCCGTCCGTCCGTACGTCCCGTTCTCGTGATCGCGTTATCTCAAGAACCAATTGATGGATTCTCTCTAAACTTGGATCATGTATGTATCTTGCAGAGCCAATGAACTGATTAGATTTTGGGGTCACGAGGTTGAAGGTCAAAGGTCACAGGGCTCATTATGTATTCAAAAATAGCTTGTGATCGCAATATCTCAAGAACCGATCAATGGATTCCTGCCAAACTTGGGTCATATATGTATCTAACAGAGCCAATGAACTGATTAGATTTTGGGGTCATGAGGTCGGAGGTCAAAGGTCACAGGGCTCATTATGTATACAAAAATAGCTTGTGATCGCGTTATCTCAAGAACCGATTGATGGATTCGTGCCAAACTTGGGTCATGTATGTATCTAACAGAGCCAATGGACTGATTAGATTTTGGGGTCACGAGGTCGAAGGTCACAGGGCTCATTATGTCTACAAAAATAGCTCGTGATCGCGTTATCTCAAGAACCGGTCAATGGATTCCTGCCAAACTTGGGTCATGTATGTATCTAACAGAGCCAAATAACTGATTATATTTTGGGGTCACGAGGTCAAAGGTCACAGGGCTCATTATGTATGCACAAATAGCTTGTGATCGCATTATAATGAGAACCAATAGACAGATTACTATCAAACTCAAGACATGTATATATGTATCTTGCAGAGCCAATTAACTGATTAGATTTTAGGGTCATCAGGTCAAAGGTCATGGGGCTCATTATGTATGACTATAAATAGCTTGTGAATGCATTATTATTAAAACCGACAGATGGATTACAATCAAACTTGAATTTTAAAAATTGCTTCCGTTTTGGTTTGTAAAGTTGCTCTATGGCGGAGGCATCATTTTTGACTGCGCGCAGTCAAAATTCCATCTAGTTTTTATTTTTATCTTTATAGTTGTGTATTATTTGGCACATTTTTGCAACATTGCAGCTTTGTTTCCTTACTATCAGAGTGACCAAGTTCAGTGACCACCTTTGAAGATCATTGATGTGTTTTTTTTCCCCATTATTTCTCACAACTGGCTGACATCTGTTTCACTGACTATGAAATTCACACCGATATCAATATTTCCATTTATATGTTGCCTCATAAACTCGCAGAATGCAGGCATCATTTACATAACAGATGGCAATGTGGTCTATGTGGAAGAACCTTTTTGGGAATATGACATTGTTGCATTTGCACAATTTGACGGTGGTGTAGCCCAAGGTAACTGTATGCAGTGTTTATACTTGACCCCTCATTTAGTCATTTTCTAATCCCAAACACTCATCTATGTCTTCTATTCTACATTTTTATATTAGTTTTATCATGCACCTTTTCTTAAACTTGTGGCGGTTTACACCTAGTGGCTTTGCACAAATAACCTCCTTGGTAACTGGCTCAACTTAAGGTAAAACTTACTACATCCATGTACATTACATCCTGGGCCCCGTAACACAAAGGTTTGCAATCAATTGCAAACTTGAATTAATGATTTTGATTGGCTATAAGTCTGTTAACAATGTGCAGCAATGATTTTGATTGGCTATCACCAATTTGCAATTGATTGCAAACCTTTATCCTGCTCCTCTTGTAATGCATGAGCTCTTTGATCTGTCAGCTATAAAAAAAGGTTTTTTGAAAAGGTTCTCTTCAAGTACTTAAATAAATAAACTCCTTTTTTGCAGGTTTGGCAATTGATCCTTTCTGCCGAGAGAGCAACTTTTATGCACAAATAAACAAGTCATTTGGTAAATTGTGAGATGATTGCCAGGACTTTGCACTAACCAGTGATTTTCAATCCTAATCTATTCGTAGAATGCAGGCATCATTTATATATCAGATGGAACTTTATGTCCAGCATTGGATTATCAGCACAGTTATTATCATCCACAAAGACAAAGTGCAGCTGGTTTTGCACCAAATATTCTACGTAAATCTAAAGGTAATGAATATTCTCCACCCAGGACTAGTCTTCATCTTTGTCTGAGCCTTTTACACCATTCAGAAAAAACAATTCTTCCATACCGTATCAGGCAGGCGCTTCATCATATCACAATCATGATTTTAAGCCCAAATATGTTTTACCTTCACCTCAGTACTTCTATACATTGTCATGTATGTTCCTCGGCCATGTGCGTATTGACCAGGGACCCGAGTTTCACAAAGCCTTTTTTCAATGACAAGTGACAAAAATCAATGACAAATCTGCTGATAACCAATCAGAAGCAAGGATTTCAGTAGCTTATAACAAAAACTGTCATTTGTCACTGGTGACAAGTTCTGTGAAACGCCCCCTAGATACTGTTATTGACATCTCGGGACTGACTTTTCACTCCATCATCTAAAAGACTTGACTCAGTTTTCAACTTGGGTCCATCAGAGTCGGGTTGTACATGTAGGTGAGGACGGAGAGACTAGCTGATGTCTCCCCATTATGTCTCATTCTACATGCATTTTCATCATTCAGGCAATTTACACATTGTTGATTTCATTGTGATCTTTATGTACATGTACATGCGACTTCATTGAATTTGTGTTCGGTGTTATCTTTTGTTGATAGTCTTTGAAAATCACCTCACGTCTATCAATTCTTGTTTCATTATATTGTTCCTTGGTAGATTGACATATTCATCTCTTCAAAGTTAAATTTTTGGTTTCTTTTTATTCATCTTATTTTCCATCTTTCTCCTCAGAAAGGGGCCATTATTCAAATGTATTGAAGAGAGGAAAAAAAAGAGCCTAATATGGAAAATTTATCTTGAATTATACCCAATGATAAATTTCTCTCTCCAGAATGCAGGTATTGTCTTCATAACAGATGGAAAAATGTATAGTCCACCCGACTATATATTTGAATTTTATGCTGATCCTGCAGCATTTGGTGTTGCTTTTAAAGGTAAACATGTCCAATGTTAATGTAATCATTGTGAACGTATTCAATGTGGTAAACACATATCGCTTTATAGAACCGTGCAGATCTATATAATTAACTCCAAAATGTGCATTATTGACTGCTTATCAGCTACATGTACTGGTATTTTTTAAAACATTATACTGTCGGAGTTGTGCATGAATGTGTTGATTTTTTTCAAGTCGCAATTCATTTGTCATGGTATAGTAACGTTCTTGTGTCATCTTTAAGGTGACAACCATTGTCCATTTTTCCTGTGTCAATGTTGCATTGCGTGTGGACACTGAAGATCGCACAATGCTCATTTACAAGCACTTAATCTTCATCTTTGCAGTCTTTTCAAAGACTCTAAAGCACACGGCACCTGTCGACTAATGGCAATTTTTTTCTCTCATTCTTTCAAAGTGGCACATGTGCCTTTCTGTCGTATAAGCAGCAATTTTTCAGTGACAGGATGGACCGTGTCTTGCTACGATGTCATCAGATGATTCAGGTTTATTACTTTCTTAACTCATTGACTCCTAGATTCTCTCATTCCTCTAGGGTTGTATAGGAACCACCCAATCTCTGTAGGCAATGGGTTAACATCTTCGGTTTTATCCCTATGTATTTCCAGAATGCAGGCATCATTTATATAACAGATGGAAATGTTGTCTATGTAGAAGAACCTTGGTTCAGACAAGAATTTTTCCCTGTCGCAGCGGCTGGCGCCGGGTTCGGTGGTGCAAGAGGTAATTGTATTCAGCATCTTGCGTTGCATTTGTAACATAATTTGTTTGCATTTATAGCTTGGCAGAGCTTCATTTGGAATGATTAACCATGCATATAAACATTGAGCATCAATATTAACTCCTTAATCAGCGATGGTTAACAATTTTCAGTGGGGGTCAATGACCCCTATAAGGGGGTAGTCTTCCAGACGTTCATCAGATGATGTGATTCAGAGAGGATTCTTACAGTTTGAGGGGTTTTATCCTTACTTGCAGAATGCAGGCATCATTTATATATCTGATGGCAATTTTGTATATCAAGAAGAGCAAATTTGGTACTTTGATGGAGCTCTTGAAATTCGTCCTGCTCTAGAGAAAGGTAACTCAACATAGAATTATTTCAACGTTCACTAAAGCTCATTCGTGTATCGTATAATGTGATGGGTTTAATATATACTCACAAACATCCTGCCAGCTGTTCGTTTTTGTTTAATGTTGCTTTGGTGCAGTGGCCTCCAATTTTTGTCAATGTTAACATGTTTTTTCTTCTTTAATTCCTAATTCTTCTTTGTAGGTATTTAGATATCTGTAGCCCTCACTGTTGAATATCTGCTGTTCACCAAAAATTGATCACTGATCTTTTAATCTTCAATGTCACGTTTTTCATTATCATGGGTAGAATGAAAGAAAGCTTTGTAGGCTTGTAATGGAAAGGAAACTAACATAAATTATTTGTTTTCAGGGATAGATGAGCTTTGAGAATGTACATTGGTAAGATGGTGTGCCAAAGATACCATACATGTGTATATAGGATCTTCCAGAATGCATGCATCGCCCAACTTTCATGCTGAAATGGAAGGACTGTCGTTCATCCTTACTTGTATGCCTCTCTGCCTTTCTCATAAAAATGACATTCGAGCCCTTCTGTCCGGAAAACAGCAGTTTTCAGGGGAGAGACGCAAACAAAAAAAGTTCTTGGTGTAACATCTCCATGGTCGCTTCATGTAACCAGCACCCAATCCATTCTATGCCTATTTGTTTCCAGAACGCAGGCATCATTTACATAACGGATGGGAATTTGGTGTATGAAGAAGAGCCTGTCTGGTATTATGACGACTATATTATGGAAGAAGCATTGCCCGCACCCGCCGAAGAAGGTAGAATGTCTCGGTGTTCACACCGACTCACTGAACGTTTCTTCTTTCAGATAGAAAGTAGCAATCAGTTACATCACTAGGAAATCATACATGCATGTATACATATATATATCATTCTGGTAGCCCTCTTCAATTAGTAACAATCTATACCTTTATCTTGAAGACACACATATGAATTCCTTCAGCTCTAAGTGTTATGGTGTTTCTACTTGGCATCATTTTCATCGTTCTAGTTCTGTCCTTCTCGCTTACATCTGGCTTGAACGAGAGATAAATATTTGCCAAACTTCTTGTCAAGGTTCAAACCATGTGGCTGTGGACTGAGTTTCAGACAATCAAAATACAAGAGGATTAAACACTAACCTACTTTCAAACTCTATCTCATTTTAATCTTTCCTAAGGCTTTGTTCAGATATGTAGCAGCAAAACAGAGACGTTTAAAAAAAATGATGACGGAAAGATGAATCAGGTCAAATGCCTGTATCTCATAACACACAGCTCAGTGAATACGTGCTGTTTATGCATAATAATGCTGCAGTGGTTTCTTTTGTCTTGGTTTACCGCATCGTATCTGAGCGCGCCGTTACTGAACGATTCATCTGACGTGATGGGGAAGGCAGTCAGTTAATTTTCAGCACCTGTCTCCTACTTGTGTATATTAATCTTGTGTTTTCTGTCGTGTGGAAACATCTCTATCAATTACACCTGTATTATTGTCTTGTTTGGTGGATTAACATTTTCGTTCACCTTATTCACAGATAGTTTTGTAGCATCTCATCTCTTTCATCCACTCATTTTTTATTTATCTACACAGGAAGGCTGAACTGTCTTATAGCCTTCTGTAACACCAGTGTTAAAGTGTACACAATATTAATTTGTCATGTTTTATCATAGTAGATTATTCGTCTTGGCACCTGTGTTGTTTCTAGTGCTTCATGGTATACCACCTGTTGATAGCCGGATAGCTACAGCGCTTTGCATAGAGTGATTGCCCATCTAGCTTTCTTTACATGTAGATTAACAAAATATTCAGTATTACAATTTAAGAAAACAGCTTGAAGTATTGTGAATGAGGTATTTTGCTCCACACATAACCAACCACATCAAAATTTTACCATATTTTATTATCAAATGAAGTTGATAGCCAAGTATACATGGAACTGGAATCAACCAAATATCAAGGGAAACGATAGTTCCAGTGTTTATCATATCTTAAATTCTATAGAAAATGGTCACTGATAGGACACAGAAAAACAGAAAACTTGTTGGACTTTGGACTAGCCCATTAATAAAGAACTAATTTCTAACTCATTTCGTTCTTCTACATGACTTTTGCTTTTATAACTTACAACTTGACAAATGGAAGTGGAATAAACTCCTTTCCTATAAAATGCTGTGGAAATGGTGGTGATGGATATCTGGGATTCTAAAGACTTATTCTATTGTTTTATATTTAGAATGCAGGCATAGTGCACATAACCAATGGACACATTCCTCCTGCAAAAGAAAGAGATTTTGTAGTCTTTTTTTCACCAAGTGGTCAGTTTGCCTTGCTGGTTGATCCCAAAGAATGCGTAGATATTTTCCAGATTTTTACCTTGAACGTCTTTAACATAGAGCCTGTGTACAATGGAAGTCACTTTGATCATCTAACCTCATCAACGCACTAACAATGTCCTGCAGAGAATCCATAATACCTTTCATTTTTATTCACATTAATTATTAAATATTATGCAACACCTACGTAGATCCTTGTCATTTGATTGGACGATTGTTGGTCACATGATATTCAATAGATGGTATATTGCACGGTCGTGCATTTTTGGTTATATGCGCCGTGCATTTTTGGTTATATGCAGACTGCGTACCTCTCTGCTGCATGTGCGCGTATCCCTGCGTGTATCTGACGCGAAGGCAATCTGCATGTAATCGAGAAGGCTTGACTCGAACTTTAATTTATCTTTATAAGGAGTAAAGCATAATTTGTTGATTAACGTTCTATTAGGTCTTCTTCGATGTTGTATAAAACAAATAATGAATGTTTTTCATTCGTTTAATAGTGCAAATATGTTCATTCGTTGAAAGATTAACGTTAATTCTATTCAACTCGGCTGACGCCTCGTTGAATAGAATGTTAATCTTTCAACTCATGAACATATTCGCACTATTGAACTCATAACCATTCATTATTTGTATACTAATGCATGATTCATATGAATGCTTTTTGTGCCATCATTGCATAACTATGGTTTGATCTATCTTCCTTCTTCTTCTTGGTTTGATTTTTAAAAGATGAGTGTACAGCTTCTAGAAAAAAAATCTTTAAAAATCAGATGATTTTCAATTGCATGCAACCACAAACTTCTATTTTACAATACTGGGTAGGACTTTTTTAAAGGAACAATTTGAAATAAGATCAGTCTAAAGTTTAGTGAGTAACAAGCTAAGTAATCAGACATTAAGTGATGCAATATTAGCTAACCCCCCCTTCTTCCTCACAAGTTAAGAAATTATAGTTAATGAGAATAATTTTGAATTCTGACCATGAGGAAAATGTTAGCAGTAAACTTCTGATCTATTTTTATTTCTCTTTTTCATATTGTGAAGGTACAATATCTAGGTATATTTTTACCTATCTTTTTTTTTTTTTTTTTTTTTTTTTTTTTTTTTTTTACTTCAATCATTTTTTAATTCAAATTCTTCTTGCATACTGTACACTCATCTGCTGCTTGTGCATGTTTGTGTAATCAATGCATGTTGCTTGTGTATTTGTACAATATCTTTACTTCTGCTATTTACACCATATTTAATTAATTGATTGATTGATTGATTTAGATACATGTATAATTATACAACATAGGAAGATCATTGTTAAGACTGTTTTAGATCTTGGTCCTTGTAGTAATGATTATCAATGATAGATGCAGTATTTGCATGCTTGGCCACATGAAGGTGATATTATTTAGGGGAGCAATCATGCTGATGCATATTAAAAATATGTAATTCTTTGATGCAATCATTCAAAAATATGATACAACTCTCGGTGGAGAAAATAACAAATTGTTCTGAAGATTAGTTGGTCGGAAATATAGAACTGGATATGATTCCCAGGAGATATTATTCCTTTTTACCACTTTATAAAAGGCACACTAGTATTACCATTTCATTTAATCTAAAAAACTAACGCAGTACTGGAAATGAATACTTTTAATTAATAAACAGTGGCTTTGGTACAAAATTAAAATGAGTATCTCCATTCTCCGTTCTCTAGATATATCCCAAAATCACAATTATTCTATTATTTTTTATAAGCATATTAGAAAGATTTCAACTTCATGTTTCCCCCCCCCCCCCCCCCCACCAAAAAAAAAATAATAATAAAAAATAATGTTATTATTATCGCAATGTTTGGAGTTGCAAGTTTAATACTTGATTTTATTTTTGTCTGCTCTAGCTGATATGGTTCCTAATGCAGGTGCCGGCAGACAGAATGAGGCCGGTGTTGTACCTGAGAAAAAGATCCGTAAAGAGTTCCCAGAGACTTGGTTGTGGGTTGATACGGAAGCAGAGTAAGTCTCCCGTTGCACTTTATTTCTATATAAGATGAATATTTAATTTCCCATTCAAAGTGTACAATGTTTGAAGTATTGTTATGCATCTTTTATATCCCTTTGAAAGAGAATTACATATTTGGCAAAAGTAACATTTAACAAATTTTGATGGATTTTGCTGTGCAATTTTCTGGATGCTGAACAATATTTGGACGTTTGATACATGTACATGTAGAACTCATTTTAATCATGATGAATTTTATTCTTGGATCCATTATATTATTAGAAAAATGTTATTCATATTATTCCTCCCCCTCTCTTCTCTCTCTCTCTCTCTCTCTCTCTATCTGTCTGAAACTATCCCTCCCGCCTGCCTCTCTGTCTTTCTATCTCTCCCTCTTTCTGTCTGAATCTCTTCCTACATCTCCCCTCCTCTCTCTCTCTCTCTCTCTCTCTCTCCCTCTCTCTCCCGTCTCTGTCTGAATCTTTTTCTCCCACCCACCTGCCTCTCTCTCTCTCTCTCTGTGAATCTTTTCCTCTCTTCTCTCCCTCTCCCTCCCTCCCTCCTCCTTTTCTCCCCATCCCTCTATCCCTCTTTCTTTGTTCACCTTACAGTTCTGCTGGCCATGTTTCAATCCAGACCAACTTCCCTGATACAATCACATCTTGGGTAGGAACAGCTATTTCTATGGATGCTCAAGCTGGACTTGGAGTAACACAGAATGCTGCCAAAGTAAGCTTTCATCCATTCTAGGGCAACCCTTATACTGTTTCCACCACCCCCCTCCCACAACAACAAAAATAGATTTAAAAAAGCAGTGAATAAATAGAAAGGCTACTGAAATTAGTTCATAAAGTAAAAATAAATAAATACTTGGGTTTTCACATTTGATGACAGGCTCTTAAAGTCCTTCCCTCAGATAAAGCTAGGTCTTTTGACCAGATTTGCAGACAACAGTTTGAAATGGTACTAGGCCCCACTCTAGCAACACCCATGCATGCACTGCAATGCAATCATCTTTTCCTGCATTGATGTGAATTAATCTTTAACATAAATATACCAAAATGAAATTATGGACCTACTGTAATCTCAAAGAATGAACTCAGTTACTATTTTTTGTTAATCGTCTGATTTAGTTTTGCTTGATATACATGTATATATCAGTTCTTTTATTTTGTCATTTCTTTTCATAAGTTTTCAAAGAGCAAGTCCCTAGTTATTGAAAATCACTGAAATGTGAGGTAGATAAAATGCATGAATTTACCCTTTAAAGTTTCAAAGGAAAAACCTCATATGGTTACAAATTATAAAAAGAGATAATTTGTTTGACTTCTTTTGACAGGCTACTGTTTTCAAGAACTTCTTTGTGTCATTGAACCTACCATACTCTGTGATCCGTGGTGAGAAATTTGTTTTAGAGGCCAACGTGTTCAACTACCTCAAGCAAGATGTCCGTGTAAGTCTTTCAGACAAGTATGGAAACCATTTTATGAATGCGTTCCGTAGTGAAAATTTTGTTCTGTTACAATTTGTCTCTCAGAAAAGCACAGCTACCATTATAAATGACTAATATAGTGTGTTTGGAGCCAGATGGACATTAGCTCATATACTTTAAACACAGAGTTAATGCCCCTGTGGCTCCAAACGATGGTATAAGGTATTCATAATGGTGCAAGGTATTCATAATGGTGTTAGATATTCATAACGGTATAAGATATTTATAATGGTAAACATAACGGTATAATGTATTCATAATGGTATCTTGTATTCATAATGTTACAAGGTATTCATAATGGTATATGGTTTTTCATAATGGTATACTGTATTCATTATGGTTACCATGCAACATTTGGTCGAGAGTTCAACATTTTTCACCATTATGAAGTTTTTCAGACAAGCTCTTTACTATATCATGAATATCTGATATGATTAAAAACTTTGTTGTGGAGGTTAGCATCTTCAATCGATACCATGTGTTATCAACCATTTGGTATTATTAATTAGGATTTTGACTTTGCATACCATTCAATGACATACAAAAAACAAAACAAAAAAGAGACTTCTCTCAAAATTTAACTTCACATCAAAATTTGATGATGATATATTTCGTCTAACCCTCCTTAATCATAATCTACTCTATACTTGTATATACAGGCCAGTGTACAGCTCCAATCAGTGTTAGACCATCACATCCTGAAGGAAACTCATAGTACAATCACTGATGATTATATGTTTCTTCTAAGCTCATATTAGGACACGCACACATTAAAGACTCATATATATATATATATATATATATATATATATATATATATATATATATATAAATATATATGTATATAATTAAACTGAGTTAGACAGTATACAAATGATGCACAGGTTTGAGTGCGTCGGTAGGGATTGTGTGCACAAGGTACCTTTGAATGGTTTAGACCAAATTCAAAGGTACCGCGTGCACACAATTCCACCGACCCACGAATTAAACCTGTGCATCATCTGTTCAGATTTACCGGATGCATGGCAAAATCATGCGTCCGGTTATTACTGGACGCATGATTTTTTTACCGGACGCGTGATTTTTAACTTATGAAATTAAAAATTAAATTAAAAAAATTGTCATTGCAAATTAAACTGTAAACTTTAAAAAAAAAAAAAATTTTTTTTTGAACAGATTATAATTATCAAAAAGCACGAAAATCAAGTACCTTAATTATCACCAAAAAAAAATTATCCAAAAAATCATTAAAAAAAAAGAAAGAAAAAAAGAAAATTATTTTTAAAAAGAGGATATCGGTGGTATCGATCTCCGATATCGCGTGCATCCAGTAAAAATAATTACATGGTAATTGACCAATCAGATTGCAGGGATTCTTCTACCCCTCTTATAATACCACTTGTGCGCTTAGTAACGCCTGTATAAAGAGCCTTATAAACGTAATTATTATTATTATTATTATTATGATCTTCTTCTTTCCTGTATGCAGGCCACTGTACAGCTTCAATCATCCTTGGACTATTACATAATCCAAGGTGACCAGCAAATGTCAACACCAGTGGTAAGTTTGATATCAGGGGGGCGTTTCACAAAACTTGTCATCAGTGACAAATGACGGTTTTTGTTATAAGCTACTGAAATCCTTGCTTCTGATTGGTTATCAACAGATTTGTCACTGATTTTTGTCATTTGTCATTGAAAAAAGGCTTTGTGAAAGGGGTCAGAGTTTATTTCAAAAGTTTCATTTCCCCAAAAATTATTATAAATGATATCGAATGCAATTCTAGAGTTTCATAAGAGAAGAATAATTTCCAAATCTTGTTGTGATGAAAGATGGAAAGTGTGAAATACATGAATAACCGTCATGCAGCATTTGACTGAGAGAACGTCTTGTAGTTGACAGTAAACTGGAGGAGTTGGTGTAATTAAAAAATGCCAAAGCAAGTCTAGCCGGATCCTATTACATGATGTCGGTATATACATGTAGTCAACGAATGAGTCACACTCATAATATATCTTATACTCGATGTCTTGAATTCCAGACAAAAATGGCTAATGGCTTCCCGAAAGTTCACCAGAATTACTTGTATGTGCACCTTACCAACAAACCTATGCAACCTACATTGTAACTTATTGATATACAATAGATTGTACCGGTAATTCTATACAGGAAAAAAATGATCCATAGATTGAATTTGAATGTGCAGTATGACAAACATGGCAGAATAACTCATTTGTATTTATATACATTTTCTTGATTGATGTATAGTCTAAGACTGTGACTGTACCTTCCAATAAGACTGCTACAGTAAACTTTGCGATAGAACCTACCAAGAATGGTATGATTGAACTGGTCGTCACAGCAACAGCTGGAGGTGAGCAGGATGGTGTCCGTCGTCTCTTGTTGGTTGAGGTATGTATACCTAGATTGTCATCTTAATTTTTTCATGTAAAATAAATTGAACTTTTCATAAAAATGAACCATTTTCTGCAAATCAGAAGAAACAATGGATTGACATTTAAAAAAAAGAAAAAGTCCTTTCAAGTATGTTTTCATATACTTTTAATGGTGTTCTTCATAAAGGTTCTGTAGATATGTGTATATTCTTGTATATCATCATTGAATATCTAATCAATATGATATTTCATTGGACAGCATAATGGTTGTTCTAATACATGGGAATATAAGTACACATAAATACAAGCAGTGAATTATCACGTTTCCCTTCTGATTTCTTTCAATTGACTTTATAGCCAGAAGGTGTTGCTCAGGAGTATGTGGTTTCTGACCTGGTAGACTTCTCTAACGCTGCAGCTTATTCCAAGACATTCAGCATTAATCTACCAACACAAGATCTTGTTCCTGACTCGGTCAGGGCTGTGATCACTGCTACAGGTGAGTGGATAGTGTTGCTGATGATGGTGGTGGTGGTGGTGGTGGTGGTGGTGTTGGTGGTGATGATAATCATGATGATGATCATGATCATGGTGGTGGTGGTAGTGTTGGTGTTGATGATGATGGTGTTGGTGATAATGATGGTGTTGGTGATGATGATGGTGGTTTTTGGTGTTGGTGATCATGATGATGATGATGTTAATGATGATAATAATGATGATAATGTTGTTGATGTTGATGGTAGTGGTGGTAATAAAGTTTTGTGATAATGATGATGGTGTTGATGACAACCTTGCAAATCACTAACAATTGTTCAGTGCAATGTCTGGCAATGGTCATTTTCTTTTGAAATAAACTATATATGATATATTCTCTTGTGAAACTCTCGATACAGGTGACATCCTTGGGCCGACTATGAATAATTTGGACCAGCTGCTGCGTATGCCGAGTGGATGCGGAGAACAGACAATGATTGGCTTTGCTCCTGATGTCTTCATCTACAAGTATCTCACCGAGACTGGTCAGGGAAACCCAACTATTGAACAGAAAGCACTCAACTACATGAAGAAGGGTGAGTGCATGGGACTGAGCATATTTTAGATTGTTTTTGTTTGTTCTTTTTTGTCAATCAGCAGTAATAAAGTCAATTTTATCCCATTTTTCCAGAATTTTCCCTTATTTTCTCTACTCTTCCCTATTTTTTCCTATATTTTACCAATTTTTTTACTCTAAAGGGGGGGAATATTGTTAGATGACATTTCCCCTCGCGAATCCTCTTTTTTTTTTACTCAAGGGGGGGGGGGCGTTACTTAACAGGAAAATGTACCTAATTGAAAAAAATGCAATGGAGAATGTGGAATTTATGCACAGGTGAATTTACTTTGAATATAAAGGCTGGAATAGCATCATAAATCTTACGTAGTTCTCATTGAAAGATGTATGTGTGTTTATCCTTAGCCTATCCCCTACGGGGTTAAATGGGCCAATCTCTCTCTGATAACATTGAAAATAGATTCTAGTAACCATATAGTTTATTTCATAATCAATCTACCAATGCTAAATTTTGAATGATTGAAGATCGAGATAGATAGATAGAGAATGAATGTTATTCCTTGATAATGTATTCGTATCTATAAGATACATTATTTTTAACAATATTGAGGCATGAGAATGCAATGTACAACTGATATAAGTAGTGTTAGATTCGAGACTGTGGTTTGTCTGTAAATTTACAGTAGATGTCCATCTGAAGTAGGATCAGTAAGTCAATCTTGTTTGTATTCTGTTGCCAGGTTACCAGCGTGAGTTGACCTATCAGCACGAGGATGGATCGTTCAGTGCTTGGGGAGGGGGAAGCGGTGATGATGGAAGCACGTTCTTGACTGCCTTTGTAGTGCGCTCCTTCCTGCAGGCAGCCCCCTATATCTACATTGATCCTGCCAAGATGAACCAGGCTATTACATTCCTTATCAATCATCAGAATGACAATGGGTCCTTCATGAAGTCTGGACGCATCGTTGACCAGATCATTGACGTAAGAAACGTTTAGTGACGTTGCAATAATGTAAACATGCCTTAAAGGGATCGTTTAACAATGTTAAACCTGAGATGCATGACCCTACGTGTTATCAGTGTCTGTCATATGGTGTAATATTGAAGCCTAAAACATTTTTGCTTCAAAATGATCAAGAAGTGCCTCAAAAAAGTAAAAATCTTTGAGTGACTGGTTTTACCATACTCGTTTTCCCCAATAGACCGTAGTGTTATGAAAACCGCAAAATTTGGTTTCGATTTCCAATCATAAATATCTTGATAATCAGACAGGCTTGTAAAAGTCATTGGGTTCCTGACTGACCTAAAGGTTTATAATTATTATTGCAGCATGAGCTAAATCCAGGATTTTGTTTCAGAATCTGAGACAAAGTTACCCAATCCCTTTAATGTTTAAGATAATATTACAAATCTTTAAATCTAAGAAGTACATACTTGGTAATGATTGTGTTTCCTACTTTGTTTTCCATGTCTCTGTATTCCTCATTGTACGCAGCACCTACATGTAATTGCTGATTCACCATCTTTCATGTATGGTTTTGGTAGTGCTGATAATTTAACAGAACATTGTTGAGCATGTTGGAAATGGTTACATTTTCATTTAATATGTTATAAGTTTTATGACAAGTTATCTTGACTTAGTATATTTGAGGTTATAAGAGCTGGTGATTCAATAAGGCCTTATAATTTTTTGTTCTATAACTTGTTATATCCATGTCCCTCTGTGCCTTCTGTGAGTAATGTTTCTTATTTTCATAATACTGTTTATACAAACCTTTAAAAACAAGAGGATAGACATCTTTAACTGTTTTTATTATAATATCTTTTTTTAGAGTGCTGAACATTGTTTTACATGTTGTATTTTGATGAGCATAACTTTTCCTTGAGTATTTTGCACTTCTTGCCTTTTGCGTTGTACTAAACGGGGCTTGAACTGTGAACCATGTGATCCATAGACCGGTGACGTATCCATCAGACCACCACAACTCATCTACTCTATTTTCAATGTTATTGATTGCAGGGTGGTATCTCTTCAGCTGAGACTCTGACGGCATACTGTGCCATCGCTATGGACCAAGTCCGGACATCGGACATTCTTTCTGATGTAAGTATCTCTCTACTTGATCATGTTGCTTTGACACATAGTGTGATTTTGTGTAGTGCTTATCAATCTTGATCATTCCTGCCGATCATTCTTGTTTGGGAGGTATGATTCCTATATTAAGGCCGTCTAACGAATATTATGCACCGTTGATTTCACTCTCCTACAAACTCCTACATAAAAGCATACAGAATGCATATTTCCTTTGAGAGAATCCAATTTTTTTTAATGGAAGGTTGACAGGTATGCCAAACATATTTTCATTCAGATACCTGTCAAATTCAATTGAATAATTAATTCAGTATAATGCATCACAACCAAAGGCTGAATTGAGCATGTTTACATTGTCTTAAATACATATTTCACATGAGATCATACAAAACATGAATTACATTGAAAGTTATATAGCATTTATGAAATAGTGTAGTTTTGACAGTTTTAAATACATGTTCATGGGTTTTAACCTAAGATACCCAAGGCTTATAGTCTCCTATTGGCTAGTTTGCATAGATGTGTGATATATACATTTTGCAATTGCCATTTGGTTATCATAATCATTTCATCCACTCTGATATTGATTGTTTTTTATGATACACTGTGTATTGTGCTTATTTTGACAGACCACCAAGTCCACTGCCAACACAGCATTGACCAATGCTATGAATTACCTTGTAAGCAGGTACACAGTCATCCAAGAAGATAAGTATGCCATGGCCATCGTGACCTACGCCCTCGCTCTCGGTGGAAGCCCGAGCACTCCGCAGTTCCTGACCAGGCTGAATGAGCTCCAGACAGTTGAAGGTACGTACACGTAGGTGATAGATAGCATGCAGGGATATCAATCAATCAATTAAAAGATATTTGATATAGCGCCTTTTCCTTGCGGTTACAAAGTACTGCACACACCGCTTCACAATGTTAGGGCCACTTATAAACAAAAATTAGTCACTTCTCAGAGATCAGTTAAGTACATGTATATGTAGGCTGGTATTAAAGTCATTTTTAGCAGAATTAGATGTGACTTTAGTCAGGGATAGAGAATAGTGATAGCGTGGTTGGAAGTTTAGAGAACATAGAGTATTGATTAGCATTCTGGTTCATCTGAATGAGTCATTTAGTAGTTTGACATTCTGTCTTTTTAGAGCTTAATATCTAGCCGAAAGATCCTTAATACATACGTCAGAACAAACATATTATAGTGAGTTTAACCAATAACATGTATTTCCAATGGGTTCAGCAAGATTTATCTGAGGCCTAGCATGTAATGGGTTCACTTGTTTTATTATACATAAAAGACATATTCCATCAGACATTAATTACCCATTGACAATTGTGTATCATCAACTTTCATTCTTTCAAGGGATAGTTTTTGTTACATTCTAGGCTTAATTGATTACAAATTTTCATGCACTTTTAAAAGATAATCTTCTAATAGCCAGAAGGGGGTTAGCAGTGTTACAGGATATGAGTTATTACCCTTCCACTTCAAACAAACGTTATGTACAATGGTACCTTTTACATGTAAATGAACATGTATCTCAGTTGAGAAAAAAATCCCTTTTTTGGCTTAAAGCCTGTCTTCTTTTCTTCTCCCTCCTTCCTTCAATGAAGATGAGGGCAGACTGAAGTACTGGACAGACCAAGATGAGCAGACGACACCGGCAAGCGACGAGTTCTACTACCGTGTGTGGCGTGGACCTCCCTCTGCAGCCATTGAGATGACGGGGTACGGTATGCTGGCCTACTTGGCGCGGAATGATGTTGTCGGCAGCATTCCTGTAGCTGGGTGGCTCAGTCAACAAAGGAACTCTCTCGGAGGATATTCTTCCACACAGGTAGGTCCCAAGATGGCCAGAGTGTACTACTACTTCTAAGGATATCAAATCATTGTTCTTCTTCCGAATAAGTTTGGATGTTACTACCCCGGCTTTAGCTGTGGCAGCCATACACAACGTATAGAATAAATTCTGCCAGGTACACATTCAACACGTAGATAGAGAGAGGCAAATGTGGCTTAATGTCTCGTGACAAACACGTGAGTGCTGTCATGGGATTCAAACCCTCAACTTTTTTATTGAGAGTTAAATAGTGAATGAACCAAGATTTCATGACACCTCCATTTCCTCTTCTTAAAGCTTTAAAGCCACACTGCACTACTTATAGCTACCGGTACTTGCGCTCTATATAGCAAACAATGCCTAATCGGTGCCTGTTGGTCCCCCATAATCCCCTTTTTCTTATGTTAATTGAGAGCTAATTTGATGCAATTAACCACCTGTCAGTGACCATGCAGGGAGGTCTAATCCCTCCTGGCCATACTAGTGCAGGCAGGCTTCAAGCGTTATCTCTGAGCAAAGACATTCCTTGGTAAAGTATAGGGTTGATAAGCAATCATCCCTACACATCTTTTGGTAATCCAGACATTCAAGAATGCGTGTGGTCCAAGCTGATATGAAAGGAATTATATGTATTCACAAAGAAATAATCCTCTGAAGCAAGGTCTATTGTAAGCCAGGGAATCATCTTCAAAATCACAGTGATTTACACGATCATCTTTTATTTCTGTCATTCTTCAGGACACAGTTATTGCTCTCCTGGCTCTGACGACCTACGCAGAGAGGCTTACTGGAGGTGATAAGAATATGAATCTGGCCATCACCACCACAGCTGATCCTGCGTACAACCAAGCATTCTCCATCAACACCCAGAACTCTATCATCCTCCAACAGTTTGAGGTAAGGGAATTAATGAGCGTTTGATAATAACATTACGCCCTTAGGGCACTCTTTCAAGGAATTAATTCCTGCCAGGTACCAATTTACCTCTCCCGGGTAAAGTGTGGCAAATTTAATAATAATGATAGTAATAGCTACATGTAGTTCATATATAGCGCTTTTCAGGACCAAAGGCCCTCTCAAAGCACTTAAAAGATATATATTATTACCCCGGTCATCGGATTCAGGCTTACCCGTATACAATGTATGCACATTCTCCACTCCCTGGGGAGCATTTTGGCCAGGCGTCATTTTTACAGCTCACACTTCTAAGCACAGAGGCTTTCGCATCCTACTGGGTACCCATTTAACACCTGGGTGGAGAGTCACAAATGTAGATCAATGTCTTGCAAAAGGACATTAGTGCCGCGGTGGGACTTGAACCGCGGACCTTGTGATCCACAGTCTGGTGACATATCCACTCATCCACGACATCTTTAAGTGAATGTTTTGCCAAGGGTTTAAAACCCAGTATCCTGTGGTTCACAGTCCAGGGACTTATCCACTAGACAACAACACCTCTCTTTATCAAAGAGGTAACCAGTTCAAGTATTCAATTCAATACTTTAAGTAAGTCTAGAATTGACTCAAATTTTATTTATCCATTTGAACTCTTTGATAGTTGCCTGTGGATTCAGGAAACGTGACAGTAGAAGGAAGAGGGATTGGATCATTCCTTCTCTCCTTCATCCTCCATTACAACATGCTTGAAGTGAGGAGCAGTGACGTCTTTGATGTGACCATTACCATACTGGGCTCAGATACAAACAGCCTGGAGCTAAGAGCATGTGGCAGGTTAGTAGCAGAGAGGCATACTGGAGATTGTGGTGATGATGATGGTGATGATGGTGGTGGTTATGGTGGTGGTGGTGGTGGTGGTTATGATAATCAAGATAAGTGATGGTGTTGGTGTGATGATGGTGGTGGTGATGGTGAGGGTGATGGTGATGATGATGATGATTATGAAGATCATGATCATGATGAGGATGATGAAGATGAGGCTGATGAAGATGATGATGATGATGATGATGTTGATCACATTCATGATCATGATCATGATGAATATGGTGATGATGATGATGATGATGGTAATAAATGTGATAGTGGTGGTAGTGATGATGTTTTATGTTGATGAGGATGATGGTGATGATGAAGATGATGTTCATGAGGATGATGGTAATGATGATGATGATGTTTTATGAGGATGTCGATGATGGTGATGATGATGGTGATGATGATGATGATGATGATGATGATGGTGGTGATAGTGGTGGTGATAGTGGTGATGATGATGATGAATGTGTTGATGGTTATCTTTAAAGTAGTAACAGCTATGATTGTAATGATAGATTGTAAGAAGTTTATACATCTTAAAGATACTATGTCCCTTCTGCAGCCAACCTTAAATTTTGTAGAATTTGGCAGGAATTATGAATATGTCATGTATGTCCTATCTGTGAAATTTAAACGTTAGCAGTGTCGTTATATTCAAATTATGCAAGGAAACCCGTTTACTTGCTAGACTTCACTGTCAGACACTATTGTCAGTATTGAGTGACTGGCTGGCTTTTTCTTTTTCTTTGGTAATAACATACATAACATGAGCTGTAAAGGATTTGTCTACATCAATAACCCACTTCTTGTAATGGCCAAAATTAAACTGATTGAATCTTTGCGCAGCATAAAACGTACGACCATGCGATACAATGGTCTGTAAATCAAAACTATTACTTATTGGCTCTATAGCTCCTATGTCGATTTGACAACTAATAGTCATTATTTTCCCACTTAAAGACATTTTCAAGCCCCATTTTTTAAGAGGAGTTCTAAATTAGTATTATCTTTCAAATTCCATTGGAATTTAACCTTTTCATTTGTTTGGCCTGCAAAAGGGACATACACTGTAGTACCTTTAACAGGATTGCCAGCATATATAAAGGTGTTCATAATCAATTCTTGTTACTCATAAAGCCATTTTGACAAAGACCACAGAACACCATTATTACTCTGTAGTGATCTTGTTATAGGATGTCCCTATCTTTCTTCACATCCCTATGTATACCCTTATCATGTTGAATGGAATCGGTTGATCAATCATTCTTCTCTTTCTCAATTCCATCAGGTACACTGGTAATGGTGAAGGGACCGGTATGTCCATCATGGACATTGGTATCCCATCAGGTTTCTACGTGGAGGAAGATCCCTTACTTGAAGCCATCAAAACCCATGAGTTTGCTACCAAGCATGAGATCACAGGAAAGAGTGTTGTCATCTACCTTAATGAGGTAACCTTTGACCTCATATAATCCATAATGTACACTAATTTGAATCTTTTGTTCAAGGATTTAGCTAGTTTTTTATCATTATTTCTTCTTTGTAAAAAGATTTTTTTAGTAACTCACCTGGCCACCATGTACTATAACGTCTGTATAACTCATGCAATCATGTGCCATGTGATATTTACATGTATTTGTATTAAATCAGTGATTATTTACCTATTTAGTATTGCTCTAATAACATTTTGTTGGTTATATATTTTGACCCCCACTGTGCCACAAGGATTACAAACGGCTACCCAAATAGTCAAGATATTTAGTCTTGATAATCCCTTGATAATCCCTAGCTACTGAAATCATGGCATCTGATTGGCTGAGAGCAAATTTATCATAGAAATTCAGCAGTTGTTATAGATAACAAGTTGTATGAAACAGGGCCCTGATGTTTTGTGTTACTGTTGTTTGTCTATCTAGATCCCCAGCATGATGGAAACATGCATCAACATCCAAGCTCGTCGCTCAAACACAGTAGCTGCTACCAAACCTAGCATAGTCAAGGTCTACCGCTACTACACACCGGGTAAGTACATCAACTCTTCATGTCACACACACAAACTAAATATTTCCTTCTTAAATCGTGATTTTAAAACAGTTAAAAAACAAGAAATCCTTATAGGTCGTCTTTCCTAGTTTGGCTAGGAGGGATTAGACCACCCAACGTGGTCACTGACCGGTGGCTATCTCATCAACTCGGCTCTCAATTAACATAAGAAAAAGAGGATCATGGGGGACCAATGGTCACCGATTAGGCATTGTTTTCTATATAGAGGGAGCAAGTAGCTACAAGTAGTACAGTGGGGCTTTAACATGATAAGCAGTTTCAAATTTGGGAGCCAGAATGTCAAATGTTATGTTGATAAGATAAAGTTTAATGTACAGGTAAATGCAAAAGGTGATAAGATCAGGCATTATTATTGTGGTACTTCTCATTAAAATGAAACATATTAGATAGTTATAGCAGAATGCATAAGTTCATTAATACATTGGTACATGAATATGCACTCTTTAAATTTTTTAATGTCAATTAATGTCAACAATTTCCAATCAGAACTCGGAAGTACTCCCAAAATTATGCAAATAACCCTGTATAAAATAACATTTAGTTTAGTCGACTTGTGTTATATCTACTCCGCAAATCAAAATTATGATATGACAAATATGGTAGAATCAACAAACAGTACAACATTCTTATCACAGTTTTTCACCCGCTGATTATTCTCACATTCTTACTTATTTTACTTTCAATTTCATTTAAATATTTCCCTGTCAATTGTGAGATGATACAAACTCCCTTAAAATCAGTTTGTTGAGCCCATTTAATGAATTACCTGGGACCCGTTTCACAAAGCTTTTTTTCAATGACAAATGACCAAAATCAGTGACAAATCTGCTGATAACCAATCAGAAGCAAGAATTTCAGTAGCTTGTAACTAAAACTATGGTTTGTCACTAATGACAAGTTTTGTGAAATGGGGCCCAGAAATACATCTAGTACATTGGACAAATCATCCAGCTGTGCAATTTGAATATTATCCCTGCCAAATAATGAGGGCATTGTTTTCAGCAAATATTTGCTTTATTATTCATTTTTGGACCCCTTTGATGTTATGATTTTATTACTATTGATTGCATCTTCTGTTTGTGTTTTGTTGTTAAACAGAGGAGCAGTCGGTTCAATCGTACTCTGCATCAGCCCTTAGTGCTACTGACATCTGTACCATGTGTCCTGACTGCTGCAATGATGGTGGTGGTAGCGGTGGTGCTGTCCCCTCAACGGCCACCTCTACACTCCTTCTCCTCACACTGACAATCTTCTCAATCGTAGGGGCGCTTGTTATGTAATACATCATCCTCTCTGCAACCACTCCCGCAGTTCTTTGTCTGTACTGTGGGGGAAGGGGTGCGTTCCTCTGGTGGCAAGTGGATCCAGGGATAGTCGTCCCCCCAAAATACATCCACTGTCTAATCCAAGTCACAATGAATTGTACAGTTAATTTGATTGATAAAGGTAATTGAAAAAACTCTCAAAACATGATTATACTGTCACTGAAAAAACCTGTTTCGCAAAAAGCACAACTTTCTTTAAGGAGCAATTTTTTGTTGTGGACTTATACAGACATTCCTGTTAACTCTTTTGGTTACACTATCTGTACGCTTTACAGCAATAAATGAAAACTGTATTGCATGATACAGCCATGGTTTCATTTCACTTGTTGCCGTTTAGAATGGGAGAAAATGTACTGCTACATACAAGTAGAGTGGGAGGACCAAATATATTATTGTTTCATTTTAATTAAAATGGCTGAAATATGTTCAAACAGATGCCAAATTATGTGTTAAGTATGCCGTACATATGCAGGTTGATTCTTTGATTGTTTGAGCATGCTGAACATTGGTCCCTGAAAATGTACAACGAACACATACTGTCTGCTATTTAAAAAAAATCACTGCCCCTATTTGGGTTTTTAAAAATAGAACTGCTGTTTCTGAAATGTTATACCTTCACATTTTTTTCAGTGAACTAGGCAGTTAATGCTTGTTTTTCGACTTGAAATTGGAAATTACTTCATGAATTTTCACATCTGATATCTTGAATCCCTTTTTTGGTACCAAAATGAAAAGGGAGACGGGGCCTTCATCCTAAATTTGTATCATCAAATCTTTTGATATAAATTTGTAAAGTGATGGCACATTTAGCTGTCAATTTTAATCATTTTTTTGGTCTCTGTTTACAGGGTATGTAACCTTTTAGCTCCTTACCTCCTAACAAGCAGTAATTCAAACGGCTTTCATACAGATGGGGTTTGATCAACCTGTATCATGAACTTTCTAACAAGTTTAAGAAATATTCCTGCATTGTCTGGTATTTTATGTACCAATATGTCTAATATTTACCGCTACTTGCAGCTTTTTAATTTTCACTTGTACATATGAGGCTCAGATTTACTAGAAATAAATGAATACATATATAGTAAGAAGATGAAGTGTAAAAGGAAAATCTATTTTTATGTGGTGGTGGATATGTTTGAATGTTGACATGATATAATTGTCACATCCTTTGATATATTGAGATGGTATTTGAATCATTACTGGTGCAAATATGTAAATTTATGCATAATAGTATATTGCTTATTCATGCTGTTTTACGTTTTCAATTTGTATAATTGGCACATGTACATTTAGGCATTTATAGAGCACACATTTAAAGTGTATCAATCACCAAAACATTAGTGATGTTGATTTTGTCTTCTGTCTGTTGATTGTTTTTCATGTTGAAAGTACATTAGTGAAGTTGTAAGCTAGTAATTCATGTCTAACATTCAGGTTCAATTCAATTCAATTCATTTTATTCATTTCCATTTTCAATAAAAAACAATACAAAGATATATACAATGATAAGCATTTGCAATATATAAGAAAATGAAAATAGGAAACTAAAAAATAAGGCCAAATTGCCTTGTGGAGGCATAGTTCCCCGAACAGCAGTTAAGAGATTTACATATACAAAACTCTTATATGGTGATTTTTTTTGGTCAAATTCTCTTATTGCTGTCTGAAGGCTTGTTAAGATATGGTGGGATAAAGTACCGCAAAAAAGCTGTTGCGTTTTTTTTTTTTACGTGTGAATGAATGACAACTGTGCTAAATCATGTTTTACCAAATCTAATCATTTATAAATCTTTTTCATAACTTTGTCTTTCATATAACAGTGATGAATACAGTGAACAAAATTTGTATGTTTGTATTGCCTTGTTTTGAGGACTTTCAGGTGTTATTGGCATGATGTTGCAATTTGTAATTTTTGTAATTGTGTACACTTATCTGCTTGTAGTTTTCATATCTGCAATTTTTCCTAGATGTTTCGTTATTACAGACATCATGAAATGTGTTGAGCTATTATCCTTATATTATTTTAAAAGCTTAATAAATTTTTAAGATAAAATATATTGAAACTTTGAGCACAACAAATAGAAAAATCAGAGGTTATCTAAGTGTAATGTCAACTAGTTGTATAATAATGATAATAATGACATTCCGCTTTTATATAACGCCCAATACATTGATCCAACGATCATACACTTTATACATTTGAAAGGTGACAGAATTATTGATCAAATTCAGGAATTAAAATGCTTAAAGTTTCACAAGAGAGATTAACATAAATACAGGGTGAAAGATCAATAATTGGTTAGACGGGTAGAAAACACTCCTTTCTATCACAAGGGATCCATGCTCAAGGAAAACACAAAGTGCTCTGAAACATTTGGAATTCATGAAACATTGGAGATGAGTGGAAAAAATGGGATGAACTTTGGTTTGTTTTTCTCTTTTGAAAATATATCAGAACATCTACGCAGTGTTCACTTCAGTGTATCAGTCACGCACCTTAATGGCCAGTTCATAGGAAGAATAATTATATATGTATCATTAATCTGTTATTAATTTTGTTTTGATATGAAGATGCTATTCTAAATTTATATTTTTGCAGACCTTTTATCTGAGCTCATATAGTCGCCTTTTAGTCAATACAAATAAATGTTGAAGTAAAATTCATTTTGTGTTTGTATTGTTTCGTTTGTTTTCCAGAAAAGTTAGATACTGAGTTTTAAAATGTGGTTATTCCAGTACAAGAGATTATGGATGAGATTTGAATATTTCAAAATTTCTTGGTTGTTTCAAGTTGTTGGTCGGGTAGTTTTTAGTCTGGTTATATTATGTTGACCTTGTTGACAACGCCTTGGAATATCGTAAGAAGTTCATCGTTTTGAAGCAGATCAACAAGTTGTTCAGCACTGATTAGAGGTTGAGATGGCTGGGCCTGGGTTTGCGATTTAGGCTTAGCCAGAGTATTCATTGTTGATAGAAAAAGTACAAGCCATAAATGTATGTACAGTCAAACCTACTTTAGAGACCACCTGTCTACAACAAGCACTTTTTTGTTTCCCTTGAAAATGGTTTCTCATTGAAATATTTACTAAAGAAACCTGTCTACAAAGACCACCTGTCTTCAAAGACCACTTTTTGTGTTTCCCTTGGGCGGTCGCTATAGACAGGTTTGACTGTACATAGTATCATACAACAGGGACATTACAGGGTAATCAATCGAAAGCAATTTTTTGCAATTTCACCATCTGCAACAATGCGATGAATGTGGTTGTCTAGAGCCTTGTATATTGTCCTCTTCTGAAGAGTAGCGATCATAGATGAGTTTCCGGACCCTTCTGATCATCCCAAAGGCTACACAGATTATCATCTTGACGATGATGTAGACATACTAGAGTGACTTGTGATAAGTATTAGCGGCAATGAACCCGAATCCCCAGCCAATCTTGACAGAAAACAGAGACAGTGTAACAAGCCCATTGATTTTGAGGAAAACTGTTTTATTTACGAATCTAAATTACTATTTATCTAATTACTATTTATTTGAAAGCTTTGGCGCTCAGAAGAGGGAACCTCTTACAGTCGGGTTGATTAGTGCGAACGACCGAGTGTTACAGTTGACAAGAAATCTGATATAACGTGTTTGCATTTCCATACCCCTGCCTACCGTTTGCTCTCATCTCTTTCTTTCTCAATCTATATTTCCTCCCGGTTCTCTCCCTCTCTCTCTCCCTCTCTCTCTCTCTCTCTCTCTGTCTCTCTTTCTCTGTCTCCGTCTCCCACCCTCTCTCTCTCTCTCTCTCTGTCTCTCTCTCTCTCTCTCCGTCTCCCACCCTCTCTCTCTCTATCTATCTCTCTCTCTCTCTCTCAGACTCCCACCCTCTCTACCTCTGTGTGTGTGTGTGTGCGTGTGCGTGTGTGTGTGTGTGTGTGTGTCTCTCTCTCTCTCTCTCTCTCTCTCTCTCACTCTCTCTCTCTCTCTCTCCGTCTCCCACCCTCTCTCTGACTTACTCATTCCATTTTGTCCCCCTCTCTCCCTGTCTATCTCACTCCCCATCTCATCTCTCTCCGTCCTAGTGATGAGTGACCCGAGTGTTAATCGGTGCAAACTGATCCGCCGGACAACCATTAAACGCGAAGTGTAAAAACAGGAACAAATGGATGCTTAATTGACACAAAGAGAGAACGCGGTAAAAAGGTGAGAAATCCAGCAACTCTTTAGATTGCACACCCTTAAAACAGGTTTCTTCAATTTGGATTCATGCTGTCCCCTTGGCCTCTGCAACTTATTCAACAACAACAACAACAACAAACTTTTTTTTTTTTAAATCGTGACATCGATTAGCCTATATTTGCAAAATGTGGCAATTTTTTAAAATGCAGGAAATGGAAATTCTGATTAGCTGGTAAGTAGGCTAAGCCATGACTGTATGGATTGCCTTTTAGAGACTTATACCAGATTAAGAGCCATCATGACCTTTCGTTTCCATTAGTCGGGCTATTAGTTCCTCACTGTCAACACGAACGGAGCTGCTCTACCAAGGAGTAAAGATTTTGGATGAAAGGAGCAGGCACGTAGCCAGAGTTTGATGTTTGGGGGGCACATACATGTAATCGATCGAGGTAAAAAAAAGGGGTCTAAAAAAGTTCAACCGATCTTGGATTTTTTTTGGGGGGGGGGCACGTGCCCCCCCCCCCCCCCCCCCCGTTCCCCCCGTGGCGACCTGCCTGGAAAGGAGAGATTAATCGAGCACAATTAAAGAACGACAGATTTATCGTATATGAAAAGAATTTTCATTCTTTGTCATTAAAACTTTTTTCTTGTTTTGTTGTTGGTTAAAACCAGACTTAATCTCTTTGTTTACCGGTCACAAATCGATGATTTCCTCACTCAATATTCCCCAAAAGGCACTTTCGGCCCTGTACGGCTCAACGACGGAATCACGACAGATATGCAGGTCGAAAAACCAGTTGAAAGTTTGATATACCGCTAACTGGGACCAGTTGAAAACCAGCGGACATCTGAGACCAGTTGATATTTCATGTTGATTTACCAGTTGAGAACCAGTTGAAAAACAGTAGATTTAATAATAATAATAATAGGCATTTCTATATAGCGCCGTCTATCTAGATAATTCTATTCCGAGGCGCATTTATTATTACCTCGGCTTTAGCCTATTATAGCTGCCATTTATACAGCGCTCTAGCATTTCAAGGAATTAATTCCTGCCAGGTACCTATTTACCTAACTTGGCTCGAGTGTGGCAAACGAAGATTAATGCCTTTCAAAAGGACTTTAGTGCCGTGTCGGGATCGAACCACGACCTTTGAATTTCAAGTCAAGTGCTTAAACCACTCGACTACTACACAGTTGATATAACTTTTGAAAACCAGTTGATTACCGGTTGATCATCCAGTAGACACCAGTAATCAACTGATAATCTATAATCAATATGCGCATCTGGCCACCAACTAGATCATAATATTTATTATTAGTATTGCAATTACCCCAACACAAAGATCATTTGAAGTCGAGTACAGATGGGTAAAATAGTATTGAACGAGGTCAGAGATCGTACATATAAATACATGCAAAATTATACAAGTTATTTCCTGGTTATTAATTAAATATATCAACATATCTATTTTTACGTCTGAAGTTGGATGTAAAATATAATCAGACATATATAACATATTTGTCAATGATTTACTAAGAAAATATAAATCACAAAATTGATCTGCATTGTCAAATTTCGTCGGTTGACCGGCAAAAGGTCTCGTAGCGCTACGCACGACCTTTTGCCGGGAACTTAAATTGCGCGTTCGGGTCTTTTTGTTCGTCGTGTAGCAAATGAAAGATATATTTGCAAATTAATTTGAGAACATAATAAATCAGGAAAGTACCTTTTGGCTATATGGAACATAGATAAAGAGATAAATGAAAATTCGTCTTTTAACACATCTGATATGGAACTCCAAGCTATCGTGAAAATAATTTCAACCGTGGCCTACTTTTTCGCTTTTATATCTTAAATTAACCTGTAACAAATCATTTCAGACCCTGATCAAGCATGTTCTTGATTAACTGTCTATAATGACAAAAAAAAAATGAACACCACTTTGCCATACTTCTTGCTAAAGAGAAGTTCGTCACTTTCCATTTATTGCTTGAGGGCAAGCAGGCGCATCTTTTTGCCAATTAAGATACGGATATTGATGGTTGTCTACTTTGGTATCTATTCCAGACAAATGACCACCACTAGTTAAAAGCCTCCCATTTAGTTGATCTAGTATTAAGCGTGAGAGAAGAGGTGATGGAGAAAGAGAGGGAAATAGGAGAGAAAAGTGAAATCAGGAGGGAAGGAGAGAGACGGGAGAGAGTTGGATACAGAGAGAGAGAAATGGAAATGTTAGGAGGGCGAAAGAGAGAGAGAGAGAGAGAGAGAGAGAGAGGGGGGGGGGGAGCTTACGGTTTGATCTGAATAATGCTGTCATTATAACACGTTTGATTCTATAAAGCATATAAAATATATAACCTCCATACAGAAGAGACCAAAGGGGGACAATGAAAGAAAGAAAGAAAGAAAGTAAGAAAAGGAATATATCCTTGGTACAGTCGGTATTTTACTTCCCCCCCCCCCCCCCCTCTCTCTCTCTCTCTCTCTCTCTCGCTCTCTCTCTCCCTCTCTCTGTCTCTCTCTGTCTCTCTCTGTCTCTCTCTCTCTCGCTCTCTCTCTCCCTCTCTCTCCAATTCCTCTATGATATTGCTCTGTTGGTCAAAGTGATTTTAGCTGAAGTGAAATTAAGAGAAGCACTTTGTTTAATTGATCGTGACATGGTAGCGAGGCGTCTATTAAAGAGAAATGACCAGAAGGATAAATCCAATATTTCTAAGCAAGGAAACCGTGAAAATTCTATAGCTGACCATGTGAGATATAACAGGCGACGCGACATGATAAAAGTATACCATTTTGACGATAGTTTGGTTGTAAAGAGGTCTGGAGCAGTTTGGATATCATGGTGAACTAGGAAACATTTTATTTCGTCTCGCTCTTCATCATGGCCGTTTTCTGGTGGTCTTTTCTCGTTTTAATGTGTTTGCCCGTTTCAGAAGCTCAGGATAATGCTAAAGGTATGAATATTGTATCAATTCGCTTCCTTTAACGTCTTTCTATATATATATAAAACTAACTTAGTGATGCTAATAATAATAATATGTCTCGTTTACCAAGGGGTAGCCGCGATCAGTATCAATATTGAAGTTCTCCTTGAGGGGCCTGCAATCATATTATTACCCCTTTAGCCGAGCTACCATGATAAGGCAAAGACTTTCTCTATAATAAACTGCCCATTTTAACGTATATATCTGAAGATTTCTTCTTCAAAAAACTATTTTTATTGCACCCTACTTTATAAGTTGAACCTGCCACGCCATGAGCGACAACATTGTATTTGCACTTGTAAGATGTAAGTCATTCAAATATAAGCTTTCACAATAAAGAGTTTTTAGTTTCGGATATGATCGTACATTTGGGATATTCATGGATCTTTTATTTTTTTCACTATTCATTTCATAAAAAGAGGTAAAAATAAATTACCCAAACTTTATAGACAAAAGCTTATTTTTGTAGGGATATAATAGTTAATACTCATATTTCTGATGTTCATATTGCAGTGAACACGTGTAACATAACTTTATCCGAAGCCCCTGGAGTAGTGACGTCACCCGGTTATCCGTCGAATTATCCAGACAATGCAAGATGCTTTATAGTGATCCAGGTAGTATTTAATATTCCTTTAAATCGCGAGAAAAATATTTCAGAAAGAAATCGACTTTCAATTCGATTACATTCAAGATGGGCAGGCCGAGGCTTGTTTTTGTTAAAAGTAGTTTGGAAAGGTATTGGCATGCACATGTATGATAAAAAATTAATAGAATCAATTACTATATTGCAAAATATTAACAACTTTCATTTTAATTTGTAGGGTATGTGTTATTGCTTTGCTTTGATACGGTAAGTTTTATTAGAACTCATGATTATCGGTGAAATCTGAAACATTTCAAATTTACAGAAAACAAAAGTCTAACTACTTTATATTTAATCAAGATATGCTTACTTGCCCTCAGTTGCCCATTCGAACTCACACTCGAAACCCACACTCACACCCACACCCACTTCCTCATGTATCGCTCAATGATATCACGCGCTTCACGAATTCTAAACTTCTACCGTGGACTTAAAACTATACCTTACAGGCTAACCCTAACCCTTACCCTAACTCTTTGTTAAATTAAATGCCAGGATCAATAGATCTGTTTATGAACTTCATGCATACTTCTTGACAAGGTTTCTCTTGATGACTCAAAAGCTGGCCAGCAGCTTACCAGACACAAAAACTAAATAAATATAGTGTCCAGTCTCCAGTCTATGCATAGTGACATCCATCTATACAGATACCGTTATGTCTAACAGGTGAATACATGCATAATATATACTGAAATGTACTGTCAGGTCAACTTCCGCAATCTTACAAACGATAGACATTTACTAATGCATTTTTCTCTCCTAAACCATAGGTTACCAAACTGGTTACCAAACCATAGGTTACCAAACCAACTAGTTGATTCACTTCCTATGTATGATGGCATCTCTGTAGATGGAATTCACTTGTTCATACATTAATTTTAATTGCTATAATAGACAAGTCTCTGGCAAGCTTTTCAGTCACCAAGAGAAACATTTTGTTCAGATGATGCAGAGAATTAACTAAAATGTTTATTTAGAATCCTCGTCACTGCCTATACCTTTGTTTAAAAAAAAATTGTTTTAAATGTTTATTTCTATCAATTTTATCGTCAGGCACCTACAAGTTACACCGTACTCTTCACTTTCATCGAGCTTGACATCGAAGACCACTTCGATTGTCGGTATGATTGGGTAGGTCTTTATGACGGTCCAAACGATGGCTTCCCATCACTACGTTACTTCTGTGGTCATTTTCCCGGCGTCTCTATGGTATCACATGGTCCTTATATGACGGTCATCTTTTCTTCGGATGGATCGAAAAATGATCGCGGATACAAAGCATCTTTCGATTTTGTCCAAGGTATAGTATATTATTTTGTTCTAATTTCTTATCTTTACGGGTAATAATTTGTATGTGAAGATGTCGTGGTTTAGTGGTTCATTCACTTGACTCTCAATTCAAGGGTTGATGGTTCGAGTCCCAACAAGGCATACAAATAATTTGGCAAGACATTAATCCGCATTTGGCACTCTCCACCCAGTTGTAAATGAGTGCCAGGCAACTGATAGGGTAATATAATTGCACGACACGCATGCAGGAATAACAGTATTAATGCTGACGTGGATACCCTCGGTAAATAAGACCCAATTATTGTTTGTTTTCTCCTGTTAATATCGATTGTTGAAAAGGCGATAACATCATTAGAACAGTCGACGTTTCTCACTTTCTGCTCTGTCCACTTGGAGATTGTGATCACGATAGCGAGACTATCACTTTCAAACTCATCTGATGAAGATTTTTTTTAATTTTTAAAAAACTACTATCTTCTCCTTTTGACTTTTATTAGTTCATTTCAGATTTTGATGTTCTACAAAGTATTCGAAATGGAGCATGAATGATCCCAGATTATTTTTTACAAATATACCATTTAAAAATTAAACCGCGGTCCTGTTTATTCTTTGATCCCTATGCCAATTCATGTTTAGGGCTCTATACGATTTTTCATTACTGCTTAAAAATTTAGTTAAAGTAAATGATTTATTTTTATAGGTATTTCAGAGAACGATGGGACTTGCAACGCCATGTACACAACAGCGCCTGGAGAGGTAACATCGCCCAACTATCCATTTGAGTACCCTGAAGCCGTAGAATGTGTCACTCATATACAGGTGAGAAGAGGTATCTACCAGTCTTCAGTTTGAGAAGGACTCATTACGTGGAACAATGGTCCTATATTTACATGGTTTTATTCTGCCTCCGTTACGTTTATTCATTACATAGAGGTTATAGCAAATATTTATCTTATCTACGCTATGACCTGTGCAATAATTTTATTGTCTTCACTAATTTCTAATGTCTACTGGAATTACCTAATGCCTAATCCAAATGACTAATTCAGAATGTCAACATATACCTACTGTTAACGATAGTAAAAGCATATATATCTTATTTCATTGGTTAATGTTAGAATTCGGTTTTAAAGAATAGTGTTACGTCTTGCACTTCAGAAGTGTGAACCTTTTTCGACAAAATTGCGCAAATTAACCAGTTTATAGTTCAAGCAAGCAAAATGGGAAACTTCACAATCCAATTTTTAATTTATCGGTTTGTTTTGTCTGATATATTTGGTCGTGTTAATGAGTGACATTTTCACACCGTCGCACGAGATACTAAATCCTAAATATAACAAAGAGCAAATCTGTATATACCTTGAGTTTAGAAAGCCTTCTCCTTTTTTCAACTCAGGAAACAAGGGGACTTCATAAAGGGGGTAACCCGCTAGTCGTAAGGACCGCTATACATAAAACCGAAAGGGGGGTCATTATTCATAAAGGCATAAGGACCGTTATTCATAATGTGAGATGAGGGTCGTGATTCATAATTCAAATTGAGGATCATGATTCGTGTAAGGACCGCTATTCATAATACGAAATCGAGCTCGCTATTCATAAACACAATGAAGGGGCCCTATTCACAATTTATATTGGGGGTCACTACTCGTGATTACCGCTTTTCATGATACGAAATGAAGGTCGCTATTCATAATACGAGAAGAGCGTGAATAGCGACGCTCTTCTCGAATTATGATTAGCGAGCGATCCCCTCAAGAAGCACGAAGCACCCTGAAGTCTGCGCTTTAGTTGATAACTACTGGACGTGGTTGACAAAATATATTTACCACTAATTATGTGTATACTGTGAGGTTTTTGGAATCATTAAAATGACAGGAAATTGACTCAGTTTTGGTAAGAGCCACATACACTGCACATCAATATCTATATTGGAGAAAACCAGTCATGTAGCATGTTTTTGGTCCAAACCCTTCAGCTATAAATTATCTTGTCACTTTTAAAATAAAGTGGTATGTGAAGAACAGTCCAGTCTTCAGCAGACGTTTTTGTTCCAGGATACTGTTCCATACTAAGATAAGAATAGAATGGAAAAACTCATGAATTGTTATTTTGTCCACCTTTCCAACATCCCTTCCTTCTCTTCAAAGGGATAGTTGAGTTCTGTTGCAGAGGGCGCTATACACAAAATAATTTGTTGTGAGATTATGAAAAACTGAGTGTTAAATTTGAAAGAACATACAATTCAAATGACAAAATCATCATTGTTTGATCAAAATCGATTCAGAGACGGCTGAAATATCCATAAATATAACGATTTCTAATACTTGTGTATCACCACAAATATTAGATAAATTGAAAAAGCCGTTCGGAAAAACAGCGCCTTTTACGTTGTATTTCAGCCAATGCCGATGTTGGCTTTTTGTTGGCATTTTCGTGTTGTTCACCGTATTGTTATTTTTAATTAAATAATTAATTAACGGTAACCGTATGTTTTTGAAAGTGGAGCTGAATTGGTATGATCGTATTGGCTAAATTTCACACATTTTGGGGTCTAAAATTACCTTCATAGCAGTAATATGTTCTAAAAGGGCACTAGAAATGACATAGATGAAAAATGATAGCAATAACCATGTACTTCGAAGGCATTTGCGAAGGCATCAACTATCCCTTTAACAATTTGCCGTTTATGAGTGCCTGGCATGTGTGCGCTTGAAAAATAGCGACTGGCCGGGATGCTCCCCAGGGAGTGGAGAATGTGCATAAATTGTGTGCGGGAAAGCCTGAATCCGATGACCGGGGTAATATATCTGTAAAGCGCTTAGGCACATCGTAGTATCGATGTATTGGGCGCTATATAAAAGCGGAATATTGTTATTATTAATTTTTTATGCTGATCTATCGCAATATCCACCCTATACTATTAAAGATGTGATGATGCTCTATATTTCTTACTCCTTTTTTGCTCTTTTTGTGCAGGCTCCTATGGGTCAAATCGTATCACTTGTATTTTTCGACATGGGCATCGAGTTTAACGATGAATGTATCTATGATTCAGTGATCGTCTACGATGGGGCGGGTGATCTCGCACCCGAGATCGGGCGTTTCTGCGGGGAAGAGGTGCCTACGGAAGAACTTATATCATCGGGTCACGACATGACAATTGTATTCTCCTCGGATGGTTCAATTACCTCGACGGGATTCAGAGTTATATTTAATTTCAGAGGTAGGTGTCATTTCACTTTACTTTTACTTTACATCGTAAATGAAAAGTATCAACTGACGAAATTTAAAAAAATCATTGTATAATTTGAAGAGAATTTGCATTGATTATCATAATTACCAGGTATATAACCATATGTTTAAAATACATTTTTCAGTAGAACAATTTTTTTGACTGTAATAATAATAGTGAGTAGAACCGTTCTTGTATGGCGCCTTGGCTGTCAGACTTGACACGCTTCAGCATGGCTGCCAGCGGCACTCTAGCATTTCAAGGAATTATTTCACTCGAGTCGATTGAGTGTGGCAATTGTAGATTAATGTCTTGCCAAATCAGACTACTGCTGAAGCGAGACTCGAACCGCGAACCATGTGATCCACAGTCTGGTGACGGTTCTAGGACAATTATCCCCTGGACAATCACCCCCCGGAAAATAACTTCGTAGGAAATTACCTTCTAGGTGATGATTACCTGTGCGTGTGAGGTTGTGCGTGATTTTTTGTATGTGTGTGTATGTGTGCGTGTGTGTGTGTGCGCGTGTGCCTGTGGTGTGTGTGTCTGTGTGTGTCTGAGATAGAGAGAGGGAGAGATAAAACAGAGACGGATTAAGATAGAGACACGGATAGAGAGACGGAGAGCAATCGAGACAGAAAGAGTCAGACAGGTGGAGACAGGCATATTTACATAGGAGGACGAAGGGAGAGAGAGAGAGAGAGAGAGGGAGAGAGAGAGAGAGAGAGGGGGAGAGAGAGAGGGAGAGAGAGAGAGAGAGAGAGAGGGGAGAGAGAGAGAGGGAGAGAGAGAGAGAGACGATTTGGCTCTTGAATGATAAAAGACGTGTCACACGGGTTCAAGATTACTCTTTTATTTGAATTAATTTCACTAACACTGAAAATAAATACAGGCAAAACTGTAATCAACAATAAAACGAAAACATTAAAAAGACATTTAACTTGAACTATAATCTTTTCCTAATAGGACGATGTTTTCAACTTGAATGTAATTATGACAACAAGAACAACTTACTGTTCATCTTTCAACACATAAATAGTATAGAAATTCCGAGTATTTACAGCGATTGCAAATTGGGAGGGCATTTAAAGTACATCTAAAGCGAATTTTCACTGTGTCGCACGCATCATTTTAAAAATGATAAAAAATAATCATCGTTGACGAGAATCATACGTACCGAAGAATACACATGTCAGGAAAACAAGAATCACGCCTCGTATGAGATCTTTGTCCTTTACATGTGAAAAAAAGAAATGGAAAAGGCTTCATATTATGTGATGATATAGGTTTAAGTTCGATGATTAAAATGTGTATTAATTTACAATGATAAGTGCAGCACAGTTACCTGACTGAAAACTGAAGTACATGTACATCAGAATACAAAGGCTACGTGTTGCTATTTCAGGGCAGGTATAACTCTACCTCGCTGCAGATACATCTTATAAATAGACTACCACCTTCAAGATCTTAGTCCTTGTCAATAGGTCATTTTCGTAATGTAACCAAATGTTTACTTCAGTGTCTCGATACGAATTATTTCATTCACCTGCTACGAATAATTTAATTTCAATAGCCAGAACGCGATTTGCATATATGGCGTTTTGTATAGGTAGAGCAAGACTTATGTTTGTCCTACCTAGCAACAACTAATGTATCCGATTTGAATTCTGACTATTGAGATGCAGTAATACGTATCGAGGCGCTTCACAGGAATAAATTTGGTTACATTACTAAATGGCCTATTAAAAATATTGTGATGATGATGATCCCATGATCCACGGCACTTGTATGGCGTCATTTATCTGTTTCAAACATTCAAATGCGCCCGCTCCTTCAATAGTTATGGACTACGCATTTGCTTGAAAAGATGGATTTTGAGGCCTTCCGACGACTTCCGATCACACTAGCAAAAGTTGACTGTAACAAATAATATATTGTGTGTTTTTGGATGCCTTTCAAATATACATGTAAAACAGTTATTGGCTATCCACTAGGTTCTAAAGCAATTAAAACTATTACAGCTCTGTCGGAGGATCAAATAACCAGATAACAGCAGGTCTCTGTATAATATGTTTCTACATCATTTCTTTGACATAAAACTCATTTGATGTTTCTAGGAGCTGACTATATATAGTCTGACTATATATATGCATTTGTTTGTAATTAAAAAAATAAAGGCGAGGACTCACCATTTTGACCAATGGAAAAGAAATCCCAATTTTTTGGATAAAATCCAGTCGAGCAAAAGTTGATAGATTGTACTTGTACTTGCGATGCTGTCTTTACTTCTCAAATAAAGTAAACTCTCAGAAGACAAAAAGTATTGAAAACGTGAAGCAACAATTCAAAAACACTACAGTTTAGGTTGTCAAAAGATTTTGCTCATCTTCCTTGCTGTGTTGTCTTTATAACTCAAATACGACATTTGTTCATCCAGCAGCACAATAGTTTATGTAGTTTTTTCTGAAAAGTTGTCTTTCTTCCCGAACGTCTCAAAAAGAAATAAAAACGTGAATAAAAGATTCAGTATTACAAAAAGTCTGTTTATTTATTTTTCGAAAATATATTTATGATCACAATACAAATTGCTTAATTCTGTTCAGACAGCGAAATGAGAAACGATGAACACGTCTCCTGAAACACTCGGAAATTAACGCCAAATGAACTTGACGGGTTAATATCCAATAATAATTATGCGGATGTCGCAGCTAACAGTGCCTGGTCAGATCTGGAAGGTCTGCGTAGCGAGACACGCCCATCACAAGTAACCAATCAACGCGAGGAACACTTGACACATCCTCGCCGTCCCCTCCATGACCGCTTTGACAATCGAGCGTCTTAAGAAAAATGGTACTATAAGTGCCTTAATTTTTCCCGAAATTCAGGAAATTTAAGGAAATTTGGGCTTTGTGAAGGAAATTTTTAGGAAATGAAATAATTCCTCGAAATTTGAGAAAAATTAAATGGAATTTAAGGAATAGTGAAAAAGTTAAAAAAAAAGAAAGAATCCATTTAGCTTAAGAATTGTGTAATTTGCACCATTTCCTCTGAATGAAGTTTTTTTTCCTCGCTCACTTCCCTCGCTCGCAAAACCGGAGGTTAAAGTTGAGATTATGGTGCAAGAAAAGACGTATGACGTTGGCAATGATAATCCCTTCGGAAATATCATTCCACATAAGGAGATTAATATTGAGCCTTAACAACGATAAGCAAAAACGCCATTTACACATGCGCAATCCTCGTAATGATATTAGCCAATGAATGTACAGGTGTTGAATTATACCGAGTCTGTGTTGGTGGTCTTGGTGGATGCTCATTTGTAGATATACCAATAAAATAAATGGGCGTAGCTTCATTCGTTTATTGAGTGACTCGCTGGTGATCTGCATTCCGTTTACGTTTCAGCTTACATTATGTATACGTTGTTTGATAGATCAAGCAAGACAGTAAAACTGTTAGAATAGTTTGGAGCTAAACAAACATGCTGTTATGGGAATGCCATAAACATACAATTATGAGATACGTGTATTGCATCCCATTGTCACTGCCTTGCATATTCAAATCAAAGAAATCTAGAGTAGGGAAAATGACGCAGCATGGGGAAAAGGGAAATGTGGTGGCTTTGGAAAACCAATTCGTAATAAATAAACCTATTGCTTGTCAAGTAGTTCAATTTGAGTTAAGAATCACCAGTCACTATTAAACCTAAAAAAAGGACATTTGATAATTGTCTTATTTTCTCGTCAAATTTACTTTTACTTTTACATGATACAAGAAATAAATATAATACATTTTGTTTGCCCGTCTAATTTCGTCAAATGTGACAAAAAGAGATGGCTGTTGCCCCCCCCCCCCCCCGAGAATAATACATACAAACTAATATATATATATTATGTATATTTTCATATATATCCTCTTCATTTTCTGAACTGAGCGCACTTAGCAACGGTTGTACCCCTTTTTCAGGTTTTGAAGAATTGAAGTTTTGAATAAATTTGTCGTTACTTAACAATGGCTTAAAGCCGAGAAATCGTATGTTTTGTATTTGCAATTGTTGTTTAGTAATTTCTTTGTTTTCCCTTATATATACATGTATAGACATACAAAATAATAATATATATTGTTATATACATACATACATGAACATAAAGAAATCTCTTTTTTTAGGAATACGGCTGGATTTTGATGCATTTTGTCGTATACCTGGTTCTGTTACTCTAGATATTATTGCTAACCGAGAATAAATTATGAAGGCTTATTCGAATTACTACATGATGAAGTGTATAGCTGCACTTAATTCAATGAGCATATTATGCAGCCTGTGCTACCATTCTTTGAGTACTCTGTACAAGTTATTATTTCTTGTATACTATACTATACATATTCTAATATAGTATAGCATATGTAAAGTATAGTATACAAATAATGCCTCGTTGGAAAGAACGTAAATCTTTCAACGAATGAAAATATTCGCACTATTGAACGAATGAAAAACATTCATTATTTGTTTTATATAACATAACCAAAAATGCACGCGGAATAGAAACAAAATGCACGGGGAATATATATTATGTCCTGTGGTGACAGCCTCTTAAAATGATCATGTTTAATTTACAGATCAAGAAGTTGTCATTTCATCAAACACCTCGTCAAACGACTCAGAAGACGCTCTAGACGAAAACACTAAGACGTTCTGTCATTGTGATGATGTATGTCATTGGTTTCAAGATTGTTGTCATGGCATACAACCCTTCAATAATCAAACCATGAACGTAACAATGAACCTTCCAGCTCTGGATCTATGGCGATGCACACGTATCTGGATGATTACCAACAACTCGAACTACCAAGCCATGGTGGTCGACTACCTGCTCGTCAGCGCATGTCCGAGTTGGTGGTCGAATGATGAAACGAGAAGGCTTTGTGAGAAGTCAGATCCTGATGTCATGGAAGTCGTGCAGGTACACGATGCGGAAATGGACGGAAATCCAATCTTCTTTCGAAACTTCGCTTGTGCCACTTGTAACGAGCTTACGGAGGAGGGTTGGTCGTTAAGTCAATATATGGAATTAAGGGCATGCAACGAGTCTGATGAAGTCTTTTATAACTCGTCTGTTCATGAAGTTCATTCAGGTCTAGAGATAGAAGAAGATAACAAGACACTTTGTGGTAACTTAGTGGGATCGAGTGGACACCATCCTTCACCCAGAGAATGTATTTCACCAAACACCATCATAGGGTCTTGTTCATTGAACGACAGTTCCCTCAATAGTACGGTCTCAATGCTATGCCAGGCAGGTATTGGTCTTGTGTCTTCTGGAGAAAGTGTATACTGGAATGAGTTTTGCTTAATATGTAATAATGACGGCCATGATATATCTGATTTGAATAGCATTTCATGTACGGTACCACTGACAGATGATCGGTCACCAATTATTTTCATTACAGCAGAACCTGATTCTAATGTGAACAGCCGCTATCCAGTTGTATTCATACCATCCAATCTAGTTTTAGGGTTTACTTGCCCTGATGGTTTCTCAAATCAAGATGGTAGTTGCGTTCCAGTACCAATAAGCTGGCCACCATGCGCGTATGAAAGGTGGAACGTTAGCTATGCCTACATCTTAGCAGATGGAAAGACTTCCTGTTACAATATGACTGACACTATAGCGCATTTTGGAGTTGAATTGAATTATCTGGGAATCGACATAGATAACGCTTCATATATGATCAGAGAGATCTATTCCCCCAACAATAGTCAGGGGTACCGTGTCATTAAAATAAGAACAAATATTGGATGGACATTGAATTTAACCCGAGATCGTCCTGTTCAGACTTTCAGTTTTATTTTACAGAAGGTTGTGCATACGTTCCATTTAAAGGTGACATTGATCTCTGTCCATTTGAAGAATTCTACGATGATTACAACAATTTCCAACCGTTGCGATCAAGCAATCTGACCCTGGTTCAGTTCGATGATCGCTACATTGTGCCATCATTTTCCAGAAGGACGACAATACTTGACGTTAATGGGACATCTGGTCTTTACTCTTCTCGTGATGTTCTGATGGTGTGTGGAGTCATCCATCCTTTCCAAGATTGTTTGTCCCGTGTGATACAGCCCGGTACGTTTGTCATTACCAGTGAAAACAAACTCATATTTGACAAACTTGTCTTTCAACCGTCTGACTACACCCTTCAAGAAGACGGATCAGTAAAACTGTGTTGGTCTGACTATGTGTCTTTCTTTGACTTTACCAACACTCAGCGTCTAGTTTCTAATATCGCTTTTGGGATATCATCCATGTGTCTCTTCGCCACGCTGGTGATTTACTTGGTCCTTCCTTCTCTCAGAAATATCCAGGGTTTGATCATGATACATTTCCTCGTCACTCTTATGATTTCTCAGGTTATTATCGAGTATGGCACGAATTACCTCACAACTTGGCCGGTTCTCTGTCAGACCATAGCAATCATAGGACATTTTTCTTTCCTGTCGTCTTTCTTTTGGACCAACGTACTGGCCTGGAACTTGAAGTGTGCTCTCGTCGATGCCCTTAGATCCAAGTCGGACAACGACAGTACCTGTAGGAGAATGGCATTCTTTTATGTATACGCCATCGGGTTACCAGCCCTCATCGTCTTAGCAAGCGTTGCTGTACACTTCGCCTCTGGTGGCGAGACTGGACCCATCATCCTTCACTACGGAGGAACACGACATTGTTGGATCTACCCAATGAATGCCAACTTTGCAGTGATGCTTGGACCCATGGCTATCAGCCTTCTAGTCAACTTCATACTGTGTATCTGGATCGTTTTCGGGTTTCGTAGAAACCTGAGACAGGCGGAAAGTCTACGGAAGAGCCAATCGAGACAGTCAAGGATGGAAGCACTTGTTTATCTAAAGGTATACATCGTGGCTTTCCAAATGCTTAATATTTCTCCGTTTTCTTTTTATTGTCGTCGTTCCTTGCTAATGAATTACGAATATTCAACTCCAATCGAGACGATATAATGTAGGCCTATCTCTTTCCAAATCATGATATCACTCGTACTGACCTCGATAACTTACCCAATGAAATTATACCCTCCCCCCCCCCCAAAAAAAAGAGAAAATATAATATATAATAATAAATGAATTAAATATTTTTTAAACAAAAACTAAGGAAAAGAAAAACACTCCCTCAGATAAGTCCCGAAGAACAATTACCACCATAAAGTTACCTCCTGGCAACTACCATAACGGACAATCGCTCTCTAGGACAACGGCTCCAGACCTCTTCCTCCGGACACAACTAGCCTCTATCCCGTAGTTTGCCGATTGATAAAGTGGGAATAATGTTGTCTTGGTTGTCCAGGGGTTAGGTGTCTAGGGTTGATTGCCCTGGAGGTGGTCTTCCAGATACGGTGTTTTTTTTTAATCGAAAGTTCTAAAGCTGTTCTTTATCAATCTTGAGCTCATACAGTGTGTCACAGTGCGCAAGCACTTAATTTCTCTGTTTCTCCTTTCTCCTTCAAAGATCTCAGCTCTGCTTGGATTCGGCTGGGGCTTCGGGTTCATTGCCGCTAATACTTATCACAAGTCACTCTGGTATGTCTACATCATCATCAACTCTCTGCAGGGTGTTATCATCTTTGCCGCATTTGGGATGAACAGAAGAGTCAGGAAACTCATCTATGATCGCTCAAGACAGAGTCAAACTAGCAGCACACGAAATGCCGATAGTGGGAAATGAGGAGATATGCTATGTACGTGGAAATACATTATTTTGTAGGGGGCGTTACCCGGGGGGGGGATGCTAGCAACGTGACATCTCCCTCTCATATTTATTACTTTTCTAACTCAAATCATCATGTGTTTTGTCAACAATTTTTATCCTTTTTCTTTTCACTATGTTGGCAGATAGAAATATTTCATTAAAAAAAACTTGTCATATCATTAATTTTCCCCAAACATTTTCATAAATCCTGTCGACACAATTGAAATGTAGGGATTTCCTCCTTCTTCGTTTTTTCCCCTTAGCTTGTGCATACTGTCTTGGGCAAACGGCTTCGTCATTTTTTATTTAAAATGGCTACGTTGCCCCTGTCAAGCTTTGATAGAAGGTCGGCAAATGAATAAGATATCAAGCTGATTGAAATGGAGTAATTTATTATGGCAAGACATTTCAGTTGATATTAGCTAGTCTTTATTCTAATGCTTTGCTATAGGCCATGGTGGTGCCAAGAAACATTTTTGAAGTGTATTCAGAATAGCTCATTATGTAACTGTATATTACTGCACTTAAATATTATTGAAATGTAAATATAAACCTAGCTAATATAGTAATACCAAATAAATAGTTAAAACACCCTGGGTGATGTGCGTCATAATTATGATAATAATAATCACTGGATATTCTGTTTGTATATAGAATAAAAACTACCTTTAGCTAGGTATAATCTTGTGTTAACAGCACTTTCTAGTTATTGCTTTATTATTCAAAGTGAATCGAACGTCAAAGTGGAGACACGTAATATTTCTTGCAATATTTCGAGACAATTTTTAGACATTCAAATTTTGAATCATTAGTTACATTCCAACCATAATGAATCATCGACCTATAAACTGATTAGACCCTGATCAATCTCTGCTTCATAATTATACTTAACAGAATAAGGAGTATTTGAAGCGCCGATAAAACATGGACCTTTTAACCATAACATTAAAGTATATTATGTTTATGATGTAAGCACATAACAGGCCAAGACGTAATATATAGAAATATCCCGCATACAGTTAACGACTAAATTATTCATACCCTTACCAAATTTTGTAATTTTTTTGAGTATGAGAAAAACGATTTGTCACAATTTATGTTTCTTGAAATTTGATATATCAAAGCTTATATCTTTAAGTATTTAACAAAGTCCCTAACTCGACTAATCCACTATTCATACTCGAGTCACAACCCCCCCCCCCCCCCCAAAAAAAAAAACAAAAAAAACGTGAAATTTATAAGTGGCATAAATAATTTCGTTTTTAAATGTATATTATTAATTAGACATTCTAGCCGTTATTTGATCGGTATTCTATCAATCCTTCTATAATTAATTATAAACTGTATATCATAAATGTAAATAATGCACATGTAGTAGTACGAACGGTCTGCGTATTATGCAGAATGTGAATACAATATATAAACAAAAGAGGGCTAGACGTAATAGAAATATATCCCTTCTAGCAGTTATTCGATTAATTCATTGTAAATTGTGTATCATAATGTATATTTAGTAAGAATGTTCAGTGTCTATAACCAGAATGTGAACAAAATATAACGAAACATACTATCTACACCCAGGCGCGTACGCAGGATTTTTTCAAGGGGGGGGTTTTAACATTTATAAATCGGTCCGAAAATTTCGCAACGACTCAGCCAGCCGCTGAATAAGCGGGGGGGGGGGGGGGGGGGGGGGTAAGAGGACACATTTTTTTTTTTTTTTGGTCCCAAAAAAATCGCAACGACTCAGCCGACCGCTGAATAAGCGGGGGGGGGGGGGGGGGGGGGGGGGGGGGGGGGGTGGGGGGGGGGGGGGGGGGGGGGGGGGGGGGGGGGGGGGGGGGGGGGGGGGGTAAGAGGACACTTTTTTTTTTTTTTTTTTTGGTCTCGAAATTGGAAATTTTGACATTTTGCTCCGTTGGGGGGGGGTAAGGTCACCTTTTTTAGGTCGGCCATGGGAATAATTTTTTTTTTTTTTTTTTTTTTTTAATAATTAAAAAAAAAAAAAAAAAAAAAAAAAAAAAAAATCCAAAAGGGGGGGGGTTTTAGGTTTTTTTTAGGGGGGTTTACACACAAAAAATTTCCAAAGGGGGGTTTAACCCCCCAAACCCCCCCCCCTGCGTACGCGCCTGTCTACACCTGTTTGCGTATCTCTGTAGACGGAGGGTACAGAGTCTGTACCCTCCGTCATGATTGGCGTAAATATTCACTTCTGAATGAGAAAACGCCTATAAACTAAAACAACAACAACACAAAAATTGTGTCCATCTCTTTTCTAATCAATGGCCTGTCCTCTCCCTACCAGATATAACATGGACGATACTTTTATTCTAATAGACCGGTTTACTAACACATTCAAATATATGGATGTTTTCTTTCCTAGGGACCTAGTGACGAGGTATTCATTAACCTTTCAATAATGAATGAACTACAATACTTGGAATCCAGTCTGCATACATTATTTGTTACTTTGTCGGCCAAGCCTTTAGGTTTTTAAGAACAACCTTTGCTTGCACACAATTTGAATATGTTAGTAAACCGGTTTTATTGGCAGAAATTAATCAGATTCAAAGCATCGGGGGGGGGGGGGGGTTAAAAGCGCTTTACTTCACCTAAAACATTTCAGTTTTGATGGCGCATGTCCATTGATAATGTGATTTACCTAGGCCCAATTATTAAACAACTTTTCCCCAAAAAAATGGGGATGACTTGTCCCCAGGAATCGCCGCCCCTGGAGACAAATAATTATATACATAATTATGTATATAAACTATCTATGATATCATCTTTAATTCTCTATACCACTTTCTTGAAGTATGCTTATCATACTGCACCGGCGACGCAAATGTTGTGGTCTCTCATATCAACTTTGTAAGGTATGGCTAATTATGCATTAAAACAAAGAACTATATTGATATCTTATGAAGATTCATGTTTTCACCAAGCCTTGTCATTTGCGTTTTGTTTTTTCTGATAGCGTGTAGAACCGAATTGAGAAAAATAACGAGTGGAGGCTGAATGCCTTGGACAACCAAGACAATTATGCAAATGTATATAGGTGGAAACATTATTGAGCCGGTGCACTGATTGTCATTCAAATTTATTCATGTAACTCACCATCACGACAACAGCTAGGAATGCCCGGAATCTAAGAAAGACATTCTATTATGCTGTTTGGTTGACGTTGGCGCCTTTTAATTGTGCATGTACAGAGGCCTGTGGAGGTTACCCACCTAGCGGAAACGTGGTGCATTAACACATTTTAAATAATGTGCAACACTTGTAAGTTGTATTGGATATGGGACCTAGTAAACATAGGTGTCGCTTCCCTCGTGTGGAACCGCTATACTCTTTGTAAAGCGCCTCACTTCATTTGAACAGAGAACGGTCTGGGACTTATTGACATTTTAACTGAAAAAGTACCCCCAGGAAATGGAGTTTGTTTGATAACAATTTTGCATCTTTACCATATTGGATCTGGATAAAGGATTTATTGGTCAAGTTGAGACGCTGACCTTCTAATATTTGGTAAGTTGTTCTGCGTTATAACATTTTGGTTGATTCGTCGCCAAACGTTAAAAGAGCGTGGTGTAACCTGAAACTTTAGTTTGCTCTATTTACAGACATGTGTTTTAATGTTGTTGTAGGCCCTTATCTTTCTCCTTTTCTATATTTCTCTTTTTGCCTTGATTATATTTTGTTGGCAGAGAAACATTTGTAATTGCATGTAAATAACAATTCAAGGCGGGTTTAGCTACGAGACAAGAGGCGTGAACCTCGATTTAATGGCGCCAACATATCTAGCCTTGAAGAAGATACTGTACACTCTCTTCTAAATAGAAGAGAGCGAACAGCATTTTCTCTTCTAGGGCGTCTTGTCTTCTAGGGAAAACATGCTTGCAAATTTTTGCGCATTTTTTCACTCCTAACTCAAAATATCCCCCCAAATATACGTCTGTTGTTATTTGTTGTATTTTAGGAGTTGCTTTCGAAAAGTTATTTATGATCTGATTGATCTTGGTACTTGTTTGGATAATCCCATTGGCAGCTCACTCAGGAAGCTATACTGGGATGGTAGGTGAGGCGAGTAACTACAAAGAGTGTCATGAATCTATAAATTATTTATGTGTCAAATGCAGAAAGCTCATATTGTGATTATATTTGGAAAGTTGTGCACTGGGTTCCCGGCCCCCCTACTCCGAGAACGGACGGACCCCATGCGTGTTACCAAAGTGTCCGGTAAAGGGGTACTTTTCGTGCGACAAAGTCCGGCCCGAGAATTGTAAAAAAAGGGGTGTATTAACTTTTCACCCTGAGATTTCTTTAAAAAGGGGGTGTTTTTTCTTTTTTCTCTCATCTCTTTGGACTCCTGAGAAATTATTCCGAATTTAGGGGGGTACATTGTGCATTGTTCATGATTTAGGGGGGGGGGGAGATCTCCAAGGCAGGAAAAGCCCGCGAAAGGGGGGTTCGGAAATGTTGGCAGTCCTCAGATAGGGGGTGCTTTCAAAAAGAGGGAACAAGCATATGCGTACCCTAAATAATAACACTGAGTGGGGGGGGGGGGGGGCCGGGACTAGGTTCTACGAGTTGGGTATTTTACATGTAAATTAAAATGCAATAGTGCTTTCTTTGATATCGATCACGCAGGAATCATCAAAGAATTCCATTCAAAATGTGTCTTTGTCTTCGATCCAGGTGTTTTTTTCATTCCCAAATCTCAAAGGGACGAGCGATATTCATTATTGTATTGTTAATTGGGCATTGATCTCATATATGATGCATTGCTAATCTGCATTACAATAATAACAACGAATTGATTTTGGTATCATTTACAGGTCTGAAACTTCTAAGCCATTCTCAAGTTGATATCTGAGCTTCTTGATCACGATGTCATCTGACGACGAGCAGGTGTTCCCAAATGTTAATGGCGACCCCGAGACACCTCCGACAGCTGTCTCCAGGCCGAGCAAAGCAGCAGCTCATCCTAAATACTACGACATGTTGGTAGAAGCTATCAAGGCACTCGACGAGAAGAAAGGTGCTTCTGTGATTGCCATCAAGCACTGGATCATCCAGACCTATCCTGAGCTCGAGCAGAGCAGGATAAGAATTTACTTCGAATGGCTATCAAACGTGGAGTCGACTCGGGAGCCATTGTCCGACCCAAGAAATCCGAAGCGATGGGCGCCGCATTGACAGGGCGATACAAGCTTGGTAAGCCACCTAAGCCAGCAAAGAAAGCAGCTGAGAAGAAGAAGAAGGTGGAGAAGAAGAAAGCAGCAGCAGTGGGGAAGAAGAAGATTGCCAAATCTCCCACAGCTAAGAAAGATCGAAAGGAGAGCGATCACGACATCTTTGATATGAAGATGATACCGAGGGAAGTGACCCCGATGGCGGGAAAACTCCTCCGCCTTACAGGAAAAACCGCGCAAAAGAAGTAAGTACCAGTGGAAAAGTCGAAGTCGAAGAAAGCAGTCGAAAACCGACCACGGTCTTCAAGTGCCAATGCGACACCGAAGCCACGAGTGAGTAAATCAAGAGCGATAATGCGACGAAGTAAATCCCAATCTCCTGCTCCAAGTAAGATCAAGAAGGCATTAAAGAAACCAGTATCAAAGTCCCCGCGAAGAAGCTAAAGGCAAATCACCGGCGAAGAAACCGATGTCCAAATCACCGGCGAAGAAACCGAAGGCGAAAGCCGCAACGTCTAAGGCTTCACCAGCAGCTACCGGAAAGGCAAAGAAACCAGCTGCCAAGAAGAAGGACAAAACACCAACAAAGAAGCTGTGAAGACGACGAGAAAAAGATAACCAAGTAAAGTGATGCTTGATTTGATTTCTGCAAAAGACAGGACAACACAAATATTTAACATCCTCTTTTTGAAACTCCTATCGTAGTATATCCCTGAATATTTTTCGTTATTTTTGATGATTCCCGATCTAGAACTGCTGTTCAGTGCAACTGGAAAAAAAATGATTTACATGCTCATGGGTTGTACAGAGGTTCTTTGCTTTGCACACTTTCTACTGTTAGGGTTGTCGTTTGTGTGGGTAGTCGGTAATGCATACGGTTAGCCACCTTTTCACGACTAATAATCATTTTTGATCATACTTGATTTTCGTGGACTTTGAAACCTAAATAATATACAATTATGGAATATAAGAAACGAATATTCAACTCTTTCGTACAGATCCCATTTGTCGTTTTATCTTTAATCATGTAGCTTTGAAAGAAAAATAAGTGATAAATATTGATTTCCGATTCCTTTTAAGTTACAGTTTCCACAATGGGGCTTATTGTAATGCAAATGTGAGCGCAGAAGGGAATTTTATAAACAAACACAAAATCAGTATTATCTACAGTTTTTCATGCGCATGACTTTGTCACCAAATGAAGTAGGCCTTTTACGTTTTCCACACGTTTTTCATACGTTTCCATGTTGACGGTATTATATAATCTGGCAAGTTCAAGGTATTTTATTTTAAGGTCCATATTTCCTATCGAATAATGTTATTTTAAGATGGTATATGAACATGTGTTTATATCTATCTTATCGTTAACGTTATTAGTATTACACAACGTTTTGATAGCCTAAAACAAATTCTCAAGTTGTGTGTTAGGATGCAGACCTTTCCCATTGTCAGAAAGTAGAAATGAAATATTTGTAGGACATGGCATAGCGTTGGGACTATAGAGGGCAGACACTTCTGGACAAAATGAGGGAAAGAAATGTTTACGTCAGTATTCCCCTCCTGCTGTACTTCTTCTCTCGTTCTATCTCTCTTTATATTGTTATCATCTCTCGATATCATTCTCTCTCTCTCTCTCTCTCTCTCCCTCTCTCCCTCTTTCTCTCTATTTCTTTGCCTTTCGATGGGGGCCACATGCCCCCTCCCAGGTTCTACGTCACTGTTTGCAAAGACTGCTCTGAGAGTTTCAATATTAAGCGTATTTTGTCTTGTCGAATTGTCATTTATATTACGAGTGTTCAAATTTTTAACAAACCATGTGGGATGATTTTTAAAAATTGTGATCGTTGCTCTCTGTTACAGTAATAAAATGTATTTAGTTATAAGTGTTTTTCTGTTTCTAGAACATTTTGATGTGGTGTTTAGTCATTTCTATAGATTTTCATTTAATTGTGTTCTTTCTAGATCGTTGTAATAACTCTGTTTATGCTGTTCATTAAATATTTTCTTTCTTGCGTTACCGTACTTAAAATGTTTTCATGCTTTTGATTACTGTCTAAACAAAGTTAAGTTCTCCTTAACAACCTTCCCTGAACATGGAAGATGAATGTTGTGCTGGTTTGCAGTCTTATAAGAAAACCCTTATAGCATCTTGAATGTTTATGATCAATGGTTATCCCTGCTTGGTGTTTGGACCAATCAGGGAGTTGGACCAATGTTGCATGCACCCGAGTGGTTTAATGATGCCGAAGGTCATGCATGTTGACGACGACGACGACGACGACGACGATGATTATGATGATGGTGACGATAATAATTGAGATAATGATGATGATGATGCTGATTGTGAAGATGACTGTGATGATGAGGATGGGGATGATGATGATGAGGATGATGATGCCAGGCGCGGATCCAGGGGGGGGCCGAGCGGGCCTTGGCCCCCCCCCCCCCCGCAAAAAAAAAAAAAAAAAAAAAAAAAAAAAAAAAGAGAGAAAAAAGGAAAAGAAGCGAAAGGGAAAGAGGAGAGAAAGGGAAAAGAAAGAAGAGGAAGAAGAAAAGAAAGGGGGAAGAAGGAGATCGGGGGCCGAAAGGGCTTTTGCCTCCCAGGCTGTTGACCCCCCCCCCCCCCCCCCCCCCCCCCCATATAACAAATAAGAGAGAAGGAAGGAAAGGGAAAGGAAAAGAGGAGATACTGGCGTACTGATAGGGGGGGGGGGCTAAGTGGAAATCAAATTCAAACGTGGTTTATTTCTAATTCCATAACGGTGGATTACAAATAATGCTAAAATGACATCATTTCCGAGATTTTTCCTCACTTTTTAGTAAATTATACGTTTGTATGTGTTTGTTGGAAAATGACAAATTCCTAAATTTGCAGCCAGGCAAGAAATATGATTCTTGAGATTCCTACATGTCAGGGCCCGAGGTACGGCGGGGATCGGAGCCCCGAGCTCTCCCCCCCCCCCCCCCCCACACTTTTTTTGAAAAATTATATTAAAAAGAAATAAATAGAATAAGAGCAAGAAAGAAAGAATAGTTAACTGCCAGTGTTAACAAATAATGAGGCATCAAATATGCTCATCTGACCGTGATTAAATGCCTAAAACCCCTAAGCTTCCGTGGGCTCTGCCCCCTGGATCCCACCAAAGGCCCTACGACGGGCCCTTAGATGCTCATCTGACGGTAATTTAATGCCTAAACCCCTGATTTTGGGGGGCTCCGCCCTTGGACCCAACGCCAAATAGTTACCTGCCAGTGTCACGAAATAATAAGGTATACAATAAAAAATATGCTCATATGACCTTAATTAAACGCCTAAAACCTCTGAGCTTCCGGGGCCGGCTTCGCCGCCGCCCCAGACAAGGATTAACAATCGAGAACGGTACAGCGAATCGTCTTCTTTCTCTCATAATCTTATGAAACGAGAAGCTTCCGCGCATTGCGCGGGAGGGGGAACCTGAATTCAGACAAGGATTCAGAGGCGAGAACGGTAATATTAATCTTTTATGATTTAATAAAACGTAACAGCTTCCGCACTTCGTGCGGGATGGAGGGGGGGGGGAACTTAATTCCGACAAGGATTATTTTCGAGAGCGGTACAACGAATCGTCTTCTTTCTCTAATGATTTAATGAAAATTAAAAGCTTCCGCGCTTTGCGCGGGAGGGGGGAACCTAAATTTAGACGAGGATTAAGAGTCGAGAACTGTACAACGAATCGTTTTGTTTCTCTAATGATTTAATGAAACGTAAAAGCTTCCGCGCTTCGCGCGGGAGGGGGCAGAATCTAATTCAGACGAGGATTATTTTCGAAAACGGTACAACGAATCGTCTTTTTTCTCTAATGATTTAAGGAAACTTAAAAGGGGGGAACCTGAATTCAGACGAGAATTTAGAGTCGAGAACTCTACAACGAATCGTCTTCTTTCTCTAATAATTTAATAAATCCTAAAATTTTCCGCGCTTCGCGCGAGAGGGATAACTAAATTAAGACGAGAATTATTTTCGAGAACTGTACAACGAATCGTTTTGTTTCACTAATGATTTAATGAAACGTAAAAGCTTCCGCGCTTCGCGCGGGAGGGGGGGAGAATCTAAATTCAGACGAGGATTATTTTCTAAAACGGTACAACGAAACGTCTTTTTTTTATGATGATTAAGGAAACTTAAAAGCTTCCACGCTTCGCGCAGGAGGGAAAGGGGGTAAACTAAATTAAGACGAGGATTAAGAGTCGAGAACTGTACAACGAATCGTTTTGTTTCTATAATGATTTAATGAAACGTAAAAGCTTCCGCGCTTCGCGCGAGAGGGGGCAGAATCTAAATTCAGACGAGGATTATTTTCGATAACGGTTCAACGAATCGTCTTTTTTTTATGATGATTTAAGGAAACTTAAACCCCGGGACGGGGGGGTTCTTGAATTCAGACGAGGATTAAGAGTCGAGAACTGTTCAGCCAATCGTCTTCTTTCTCTCATAATCTTATGAAACTTAAAAGCTTCCGCGCTTTGCGCGAGAAGAGGGGGGGGGACTTGAATTCAGACGAGGATTAAGAGTCGAGAACTGTACGGCGAATCGTCTTCTCTCCTAATGATTTAATGAAACGTAAAAGCTTCCGCGCTTCGCGCGGAGGGGGGAGGGGGGGGGGAACTGAATTCAGACGAGGATTAAGATTCGAGAACGGTACAACGAATCGCCTTCTTTCTGTTATAGTTTAATGAAACGTCAAAGCTTCCGCGCTTCGCGTAGGAGGGGGAGAGGGGGGGGAACTGAATCTAGACAAGGATTAAGAGTCGAGAACGGTACAACAAATAGTCTTCTTTCTCTAACGATTTAATGAATCGTAAAAGCTTCTACGCTTCGCGCGGAAGGGGTAAACTGAATTCAGACGAGGATTAAGAGTCGAGAACTGTACAACGAATCGTTTTGTTTCTCTAATGATTTAATGAAACGTAAAAGCTTCCGCGCTTTGCGCGGGAGGGGGAGAATCTAAATTCAGACGAGGATTATTTTCGAAAACGGTACAACGAATCGTCTTTTTTCCCTAATGATTTAAGGAAACTTAAAAGGAGGGGGGAACTGAATCTAGACAAGGATTAAGAGTCGAGAACGGTACAACAAATAGTCTTCTTTCTCTAACGATTTAATGAATCGTAAAAGCTTCTACGCTTCGCGCGGAAGGGGTAAACTGAATTCAGACGAGGATTAAGAGTCGAGAACTGTACAACGAATCGTTTTGTTTCTCTAATGATTTAATGAAACGTAAAAGCTTCCGCGCTTTGCGCGGGAGGGGGGAGAATCTAAATTCAGACGAGGATTATTTTCGAAAACGGTACAACGAATCGTCTTTTTTCCCTAATGATTTAAGGAAACTTAAAAGGAGGGGGGAACTGAATCTAGACAAGGATTAAGAGTCGAGAACGGTACAACAAATAGTCTTCTTTCTCTAACGATTTAATGAATCGTAAAAGCTTCTACGCTTCGCGCGGAAGGGGTAAACTGAATTCAGACGAGGATTAAGAGTCGAGAACTGTACAACGAATCGTTTTGTTTCTCTAATGATTTAATGAAACGTAAAAGCTTCCGCGCTTTGCGCGGGAGGGGGGAAAATCTAAATTCAGACGAGGATTATTTTCGAAAACGGTACAACGAATCGTCTTTTTTTCCCTAATGATTTAAGGAAACTTAAAAGGAGGGGGGAACTGAATCTAGACAAGGATTAAGAGTCGAGAACGGTACAACAAATAGTCTTCTTTCTCTAACGATTTAATAAATCCTGAAATTTTCCGCGCTTCGCGCGAGAGGGGAAAAACTAAATTCAGACGAGAATCATTTTCGAGAACTGTACAACGACTCGTTTTGTTTCTCTAATGATTTAATGAAACGTAAAGCTTCCGCGCTTCGCGCGGGAGGGGGGGGGGGGGAGAATCTAAATTCAGACGAGGATTATTTTCTAAAACGGTACAACGAATCGTCTTTTTTCTCTAATGATTTAAGGAAACTTAAAAGCTTCCGCGCTCGCGCGGTAGGGGGGGGGAACCTGAATTCAGACGAGAATTTAGAGTCGAGAACTCTACAACGAATCGTCTTCTTTCTCTAGTAATTTAATAAATCCTAAAAAATGTCGCGCTTCGCGCGAGAGGGGAAAAACTAAATACAAACGAGATTTATTTTTGAGAACGGTACAACGAACCGTCTTCTTTTTCTAATAATTAAATGAAACGTCAAAGCTTCCGCGTTTCGCGGAGGAGGGAGGGGGAAATTCGCCCCTCCCTGCACCTTCCCCCCCCCCCCGCATCATGTCACTGTTGGTCACCATTACGTACCAATATTTGGCTCGCAAAATTTCAAATTTGGGCCCCCCCCCCCTAAGAAATCCTGGATCCGCGCCTGGATGATGCTGATTGTGACGATGATGATTGTGATGATGAGGATGGTGATGATGATGAGGATGATGATGATAATGATGATGGTGATGATGATGCTGATTGTGACGATGATGATTGTGACGTTGACGATTGTGACGATGGGGATGGTGATGGAGATAATATGATATTGACAATGATCATGGCGATAATAGTTATCTTTTATCATTGAAGATTCGATCTCGTTTTGACGCCGAGGTTGATAATGTTCCTAGATTCTCATTACAAGGCCTATATTATCGAACATAAACTTCTTCGTAATGCACTGCGATATACTGTACACACACATAATCATACACACGCACATACATACTCTCTCCCTCTCTCTCTATCTCCCCCACCCCTCTCTCTCTCTCTCTCTCCCCCTCTCTCTTTTCTCTTTTCTCTCTCTCTCTCTCTCTCTCTCTCTCCCCCTCTCCCCCTCTCCCCCTCATTTATTAGGATGATGACGATCACAGTGGCGTATAATTTACAGCGTACTTGGGTCCAATCATAGAGGGGGCACTGATGTCATGACATGGGGGAGGTGACAGTCTCCTCACAAGGTAGATGAAACATGACCATCAAATAGGGAGGGATGGGGGTAGTGTGACGTGGGCATCATTGCACTCCCGCGTGTGCAGTGATTCAACATTATCCATTTTCATAACTATTATGCCATAGGCGCCTCCAGGGGGGCAGACTAGGGGTATTGGAAATTCGTTTTATTACAATGCCATAAAACATTGGAATCCCCTTCCCAATGGTGTAAAAGAAATAGGAAACTATGATCATTTTAAGAGGAAATTAAAGGAATACCTAATACTTGACAGTCAGAGAAGAGAAGTGAATGACATGTTATATGATTGAAATTGTTATTCTTCTGTCGGTTCATACTTTTTCATGTTGTATATATACTTATCTTTTCGTACGTTATAGAAATTCTACAAATTCATCATTATTTTCCTCTTCTTCCTTCTCCTCTTTTTCTCTTCTTTTTTCCCTTGTACTTAATATCATTTCTATCATCAGTTTAATGTTGTTATTATTATTATTATCTTTAATAAGTAGTTCTTTTAGTTTTCTTATCTGTCTGTAAATATTACTATTTTAACTTATTAATTTTATACATGTCTGTAAGGGACCCCACTGGAAATAAGCTCTCGAGCTTTCGTGGGTTGTCCTGTTCAAGCTGACTTATTTTTGATCTGTTATTATTGTATCTTGTTGTATGTTGGAAGCTTGTCGAATAAAAATCAATCAATCAATCAATCGGGGGGGGGGGGCAGGGTCGATACCGGGCGATGGCTGTCGGTGAGAGAGATATAAAAGGAACTTGAGGAAGAGGGTAAGCCGGACAGGAGTGGAATGAAAGAAAGGGGAACGAATAAAGAGGGGAAGACAGACAAAGGGTTAAGAGAATATACTTGACGCCCGTAAGAATTTGTGTAGCTGTACAGTGCGTCCCAGAAAAAACGAAACCGAAAATTATCGTTGTTTTATCATAACTTAATCACAATTATGATGAATAAATGACACATATTTGTAAAGCTTATATCCTCCTCTTTCATTTGATACAACTATTATTTCACGCGTGAGTGATTACAAACAATTTGAAGAGAGGAAAAGACTTAACTCCGTTTCGTTGACGATCAGCCATGCATCTAGTCATTCGTCTTCTTTGTGCCGTGGCTGATCTTCAAAGAAACGGAGTTAAGTCTTTTGTCAACTCTGGTTGTTGCTACGGCAGGCAGCCTGTGAAAAGGAACTCGTTTAATCAAATTATGGAAATGCAAGCGTTACTTTAAACAAACAGAACTTTGTTACTCCTGGCCCTTTTTTCCTGATTGAGGTGTCATAATTATGAAAGGGCAGAAATTGAACTTTCTAGAAATGTAATTTTCTCCTTGAAATTCAGATACCGCCCGCCAAATGACTCTTTGTTTTCCTCTCTTCAAATAGTTTGTAATCACTCATGCGCGAAATATGCATGATATGAGTTGCATCAAATGAAAGAGGAGGATCTATATATTATGTGTAATTTATTTATTATAATTTTGATAAGTGAAACATCGATAATTCTGTTTTGTTAAGTTTCTGGGACGCAGTGTGTAGTTAAACATCGCGTTGTTAGTGTTTATACAAAAGCTGAAGCACTTCTGTCTTGAAAGAGGGATAAACTGGTAAAATGGAGATGTTGGTTTAAGTGCTAAATAATTATCAGTGATAGCGGCTTCTTCTTTTCATCATCTTCTTCTTCTTCTTCCTCTTTTTCTTCTTCTTTTTTCATCTTCTTCTTCTTCTTCTTCTTCTTCTTCTTCTTCTTCTTCTTCTTCTTCTTCTTCTTCTTCTTCTTCTTCTTCTTCTTCTCTTCTTCTTCTTCTTCTTCTTCTTCTTCTTCTTCTTCTTCTTCTTCTTCTTCTTCTTCTTCTTCTTCTTCTTCTTCTTCTTCTTCTTCTTCTTCTTCTTCTTCTTCTTCTTCTTCTTCTTCTTCTTCTTCTTCTTCTCCAGACACCTCTATCATATTTGGTCGGAGGGCCAGCTTACGCGTCTAGAGATGGCGGCCAGCGGCATCATATTATCTCGGGATTCACGATATCACACTACGAGACTTTTATGCATCAACGAGAAATCCGTGAACAGCGTCGTTCGTACTTCGTCCATTGTGTCGAAATATCTTTGAAAAATGGGGAGAAAAAAGAAGAAGCCGATGAGACCCTGGTGTTGGTATCCTTTCTTAAAATCATGATCTCATGTAGATGTGAATTAATATAAGTTTGATATAATTATTGAAATGATTTTACTTATTTACGTGATTTGATGCAGGTGTCGGCTCGCTCGTTGCAACCACGTCTCGATAACCTGTGTGCGAGTGCATGCCCCCGTGTGTTGCGATTGCGTGGTTGGATCGCGTGGCTGTGCCTGTGGCATGATTGTTGATGAATTGAGGATAATTGATGCGAGGGAGGTAACTAGTTCTTGAAAAGTCATTTCATGCAGTGTCATGTAATTGGGTTTTCTATGCAGCTGATTTTGTTATGAAAACTCGGTTGCTAATTCCTTGTGTAGGCCTAGATCTATTGAGTCTGTTGACGTTGTGTGTCTGTTTTAAGCGGTGGCGCTGGTCCGAGAATAAGGATCGTTCGCATAAACGAAGGTATCTTCGTAAACATGGACAAATTGCATCCTAATTATTGATCCACGCGTTGACAATAAGAAAAAACGGATTACGTTTTTGATAATGCATGTGGACTAATTAGTAATTACGCAGCACAAAGACTTTCACGTTATGAACGATAAATCCTCAGGAAGACGGACAACTTTTAACAGTTAGACTGAACTGGGGATATTTTTTGACGAGGAATCCGTTTTTCGCATTATAGGTTTGGTGTGCTAAAACCCTTCCCAATGCAGTCTACGTGCATTGCGCGCTCAAGCAAAATTGGTCACTGTTTTTATTACCAAATCAAGATTCAAACCTTTATCACTTATCATTCGTGATCCTGAAGGCGATGCTCATCAAATGAGGTGTCATATGAAAGAGCAGGTTTGGCTCTACAGACTATATGCCCACAAAGGGTCAACTCAAAACTATCTTGATCAAAAACGGCGATTTATTGATTCCATCGTAGCTACGAGATTTCCCACCTTCGTGAACTGACCCCCTCGAGGGATAAGTAGTTCATGCGCATGATGTCAATAACAAGGGACCCGATGGCGTCATGTGCAATGTCAAGGGTCATCAGGAGAACGGACCTGCATGCAGATACACAATGAAGACAACAGAGAAGGGGTTTGACGATCAGTCTGCACAGTGTGGCGTGCACTATGTACTACTTTTGTGCCCATTCTGGACAAAAATTGGATGAATAAAATTGCCTAGATTTCTCGGGCTGTATCTTTTGATAGAAACATCAGTGAGTCTTGAAATTTTGAATGTGTTCTTCTGAGTAGTTGATTTTTTCAATTATTCAACCTTAATTTTTAAAAAAATTTAAAAAGGGAAAATTGAAAAATCCTTCCGACACCCTAATGCAAGTTTGTGACATTGTGCGGAAAAGAAACCTAGTCACCTCTAAATATAGCCTCAGAGGCTTGGTGATTTATGAAAGATGAAAGATTGGCAATCTTGATGCAAGAATTAACATTGAAGCACAGTCTACCAGTCTTACCAAGTGCACATTGCTTGTAGATGAGACTCTGTATGCTTTTACATTCTATGGATTTGTGAATTAACAAGTAGTTAATTTCAAATGTTGCTTAAAGTTAAACGATCCCCCCATCAATTTTCATGAAAATATGTTGCCAACCTGAACTATGAAATATTAAAAAAATTCTACCCATCTAATATAGGACTAATTGCTGCTTCAAATCCATACTCTTAAAAAAAAAAAAAAAAAGTTGGTAAAGTATCACTCCTTGGGATTAAAGAAAAGACTTACCCCTCCCATTCGATAGAAAAATATAAAAAATGAACCTGATCCGTTAGTCTACCGGTACTATAGTGTGATTGAAGGATAACTGAATGGAAGTTTAATCAATAGAAGACCAAGGTTGTTAAACAGTCCCCAGTTTTCCTTAACCCCCAATAATTTGTGTCAGGTACTGCAACCGAGAGTTTGATGATGAAAAAATCCTGATACAACACCAGAAAGCGAAGCATTTTAAGTGCAATATATGTTACAAGAAACTCTACACGGGTCCCGGTCTAGTCATTCACTGTATGCAGGTAGGTTGGAAACATGTCAGGTGGGAGATCAATAGTATTCCATGTTGTAGCCCTGAATAATTGTAGGATCCCCTAGCAGATAATTTTAAGGAGGTTGATATTAAGGTTAGATCAAGCCTTGTGTTATTGGATTTATCAGTCTGTTGCCGTAGGCTTTCTCATCAGGTGCAGTGCTTCGCTCGAATCCTGTGGAAAATGTTGTGGTACACATCGGGAACATTATGAGTGACTTGTGTCACTCAAGAGTGTATTGTTCTTGCACCTGCGTGTGATGAGATCGGTTATGCAACATACTGTATTAATCCTCTACCATGCTTTGATTGATACTTTAAAACATCCACTTATTTAATTTACTTTTTTACAATGTTTTAGTGTATTCTATAGTGTTCAAGATTGGATGTTATCTTCCTTAACCAAGTTTATTTCTATCAGGTACTGTAACAGGAGTTTTGAAGATGAAAAGGTCTTAATATTTCACCAGAAAACCAAGCATTTTAAGTGCCACATTTGTTACAAGAAGCTATACACTGGGCCAGGATTAGTAATACATTGCATGCAGGTAAGGCATCTCAATTTCCAGGAATCTTTGAAGCTGTTTGCAACTGTATGCATTCTAAAACTTTAAATTTACATTTTCTAGGTGCCTGCATGAACATTTTTTCAAATTCAGACCTTTATACACACCTTCCCCTTCACTCTACCACCTATTGATTGAAACAGTTATGCACATGGTTATCTGGGAAGGGGGGTGGGGATGAAAACCATTAGAAAAATATACAGATATTATCAATTAGGCAGGGGGTGGAGTACTGTAATTTCCCTGCACAAGACTAAATTTGTGTAATTCAGGATGAACATTTCAAGCTAAAACAAAATTGAATTTGAAAGGATATCATTGAGGCCATAATAAAGTACATCATTCCTCAATGTTTTATCACTTTTTGAAAAAGTTGTTTCCTTTTTCAAGGGCTATTTTAGACCTTTAAGAAATTCAAACTTATCCCGAGAAGGAAATCAGTAGCTAATGTATGGCCTACATGGGGCTAAATTTATTTCAATTTTTTAATTTGATACTGGTACAAAATCGTCCATCTTGTACCAGTATCTTTAGAGTGGCAGTTTAGCTATCCATATATCACATTCAAGTTAATATAATGACAGTGGTCATAAATATTTCTATGTCTCTTTCCTATCTTTATTTTTCATGTGTACCCTACAGGTTCATAAAGAGAATATAGACAAGGTTCCCAATGCCCTACCTCACAGACAAGATACTGAAGTGGAGATCTATGGAATGGAAGGTATTCCTGAGAAAGATTTATTAGACCATCAAAGACAACTAGGTGAGGCTTCATGCAGGGCAACCCGCAAATTAGAAAGTGATGTGATGTACATGTATTTGTACAAATCTTTTTGCGAAAAAAATTGTTGCTTACAATCAGTCAATTTTCAAGTGTTTTTTTCTTCATTTGTTTAAGGCAGAATTACGGGAGTTACTAGAGTTTAAGTAAACTAGAATAAACCTCAAGCATAGGGAAGTCAAAGGAATTCTCTGCTGGAGCTAGACAAACAATGATTCCTTGGCCTGTATTCTACTATAATTTAAATCTGACACTAGGTTTAAGATTTTGTTTGAAATCGGTTCAAAAAAAGAAGTTAATCTGAGGTCTAATATTTCCTTAGTTAAACATAATCTTAAACTTAAGATCAGGTTTAAATGAATTTCCAGAATAGTTTCCATTTTGTTAAAAGCCTTCAGTATATCTTCCATGCCATCCTTTTGGAGGTGTATTATATACTACACTAGCAGGACCCGCGGAAATCCGCGGGATTCTAGATGGGGGCGGGAGGTGTAAATAGATATATAGAGACTGTCTAAATTAAAACCACTAAGAACTTTATTTGCCATTCAGGCCATTAAAAAAATATACATGTTTAGCGTCCCCGCCCGCTTCCTTTTTGGGGGCCGCCTCCTATTTTTTTTTTTTTGAAATTTTTTTGAAATTTTTTATTTTTTAATTTTTTTTGAAAGAAAAAAAACAGCGTCCCCGCCCGCTTCCTTTTTGGGGACCGCCTCCTATTTATTTTTTTTATTTTTTTTAAAAATTTTAATTTTTTTTTGTAATTGTTTAATTTTTTTTTTTTTTTTTTTTTTTTTTTTTTTTTTGAAAGAAAAAAAAAACAGCGTCCCCGCCTGCTTCCTTTTTGGGGGCCGCCTCCTATTTTTATTTTTTTTTTTTTATTTATTTATTTTTTTTTGAAAGAAAAAAAACATGAAAAGCACTGCTAAAATGTATTTCTGTTTTTAAAAAAGAAAAAAAAAAAAATTGTCGGCCGCCATCTTGAAAAATAGCCAGAGTGTCAGGGAAAATGTACGGAGCGGCCATTTTGAAAAAAAAAAAAAAAAAAAAAGGGCCTCCTCCTTCCCATTTTTCGAAAAAACAGGATGCTAAACATGTTTTTTTTTTTAATTTGGCCTTATATATAAAAAAAAACAAAAAACGATCCAACTGTACCTGTAGTTATTCTTTAAGCCACTGGAACTGCGTAGAGTTCCGTAGTGTGGCGTACCGACTACGCAGAAATTAGGCTGCATATTAATGAGAAAATAGTCCCTGCGTAGGCTGGCGTACAGGTTTGCTTATGGTTGCTTACTGTGTAGAAAGCTTTTACTGCTTTGACGATCTGGCGTAGGGTAGCGTACTGTTGCGTAAAAAGGCGTACTTTCTGCGTCAAGTTTCTACGCCGAAAGTACGCGAAAAAAATTAAACATGTTGAATTGTTTTCGTTCATCTTGCGTACCTCTTTCCGTCCCTCAGCATATAGTAACGTAGGCCAGCGTAGTTGGTACGCAACACTACGCAACTCTACGTATTGACCCCACGCCAATTAGTGACCCGCAAGTGTCACAAATAAAGTATTAAAAATATGCTCATCTGACCCTAAACGCCTAAACCCCCCAAGCTTTCGGGGGTTTATGGCCCCTTGAAACCCGTGGACCCCACGCCTATATTATATATACACTCAACTCAGGACCCGCGGAAATCCGCGGGATTCTAGAGGGGGGGGGGCGCAGGCAAAAAATTAAGTTTTTTCATTTCTGGGGCTCCATTTCAAATTTTGGGAAATTTTCGGGGGCTACTTTTTCAACTTTCGGGGGCTCTTTTTTCTGGGGCTACTTTTTCATTAATTCATAAAAGCATAGGCCTACACTTTGTTGAGATTTGTTTAGTAGGCGAAGGTTTCAGGCTTAATACTTCATAGGTCTAATTGCCTATTTAAAAAAACAACATTTTTCTAGTTCAATAACTAAGTTTTCATGCATTGCTTTGATGCAAGAACTGTAACATAATTAAAAGATCTAGATTGTGATTATTTCTGACCATGAATTTCGATAATCATTTTTCAAAGTAAAATTTTCACAAGAAAATCAGACAGTCGTTTAAAAACGTACGTAGACATTAGTAATACTTTTACTAATTCTAAGCTCAGGTTTCGTAAATCTATTCACGAAACTATATTGAAATCGTGATGCAAACCAACAGATAACACTTTCAAAGTGTCAAATCTCTTCGACTCGAGCTCAGCTCAGCTGATCGAACTCGCACACACTCCAGCGTAACTCCATGAAGCTCGAACACCGACGCCGCAGGCCTCGGAAGCCTGCGGTGCGCGGTGCCGGTGTTACACTGCACTGTGTATGTGTGAGGACTGAAGGCAGCTTGCGACTGCAACTGTCAGTCCAATGGTTTTCTTGTGAAAACTTTCCTTTAGAAAGTGATAATCAAAATGTAGTATACATTAACCGTCATAATCACAAAATAAGCTTTGATTTCATACCTCCATTCACGAAAACTATATAAAAATCGCGGCAATAATGATGGAAATAGGTCTCTAAGTTTGGACGTGGACGGGAAGCTTTGTGTGTATCTCTGTTGCTTGTGCAGCGCTACTACAAAGGATATCCTATAGAAAGATGCTTTACTCGGGTAATCCCGACCCTGTCCATCGTGCATTTAATACGCAACTTAATGTGAGTGGATAGTCATCGATCGTGTGTCTACGGATGTCATGTTGAATATCCATGAGGTATCTCTGTCGTCACGCATATCCTGCATTATGCATGTCGCGTCTGTTTTCGCCCTGGACGTCGACACGGAGGAGGACCTCGGGCGGAGTATAGCCAATTCCACAGAGTAGACTCTCCCGCGGACGATGGCACCGGGCACGGGTACCCCGAGGGGAGGGTTCAGGAGGAGATAGCCGCACCAACTTGGGTCGGCGATCTCATTAAAAAACAATAGAATACAAAGGCTCGCCGAGACGTCGCGCCCCCCGCGGAGCCTTAGCGTATTATTATTATAGATATTTACTCCTTTGATATAGTAACAGTAATATCTTCACATTTAGAGAATAATAATTTATTTCTTTTCAAGCGATATTAATTATAATTTGATTTGAAATGTGAACTGTGAATGGCTTGAAGTGGAATGATGGCTCTATCTCCTTCATGCTGATAATAATAACATGTGGATTGTTTGTACTTGCAGCACAACAAGCCAGCAAGCACTCAGGTGGTGGTGGTGGAGGGGGAGGTGCGTCAGGTGGTGGTGGTGGTGATAAACCCGGTCCTAGCAGCCAGCCCCAGGTAGGAGCAACACCAGGCTCGGGGGTACCAGCAGGGGTACCAGCTATGCCAGGAATGCCCCAAATGCCTGGTATGCCCGGGATGCCTGGTATGCCTGGCATGCCACCCAGAGGAGCCATGAGTATACCTGGCATACCGGAGATGCCCCCACCCCCTATGCCGCCGGCAGGATTCCCCGCTATACCCCCTATTCCAGGGATGCCTCCCTTCATTCCACCAGGGATGCCCATGAGATTTCCTGGGTGAGTTTGAAACATTTATCATTTCTTATTATTTTGAAATAAACCAAACATCTAAAATATACTCATTTGAACTCATTATCGATGCGAAAGATATTTGAGTGAATTCCACAAGAGAGGTGTACATGATTGTAGTGAAAACACAAAAGCGGTTTTACGGCATTGCATGCATTTATTATGTTCTGTTTAATTAGAAAATAGGTGAGAAGATTATATGTATGATTAAAATTGTATTTCAACGTAACAACGTCTGCTATGTGTCACATTTTTCATGGAAAGGTCTCCGATGCTTCCAAGGCATCATCCTAGGTAAAAACAACATTCATATATTCCAGTACTAAAATAATATATTTAGGTTATTATTGTTTGACTGTGAATGTATGCTTTCATTGGTGATGTAAACAGGGGGTAGAAAAGCGAAGGCTTTATGCATGGGCTTGGGTGGTTGGTAGTTTTAATTTTTGCAGGGTTGATTCCAGATTATCCAAGCTGTCTATCTGTGCAAGATACGCCATACCAAACAGATATTTCGCGGTGATTTATTTATTTTGTTTCAAGTTTTTTTTATTGAAAGCAAACTAAAACAGCCAGAGGTTCAAGACTTAAATTTCAATGTAATGAATTTGTCATAAGGTCTTTCTCTTTCTAATTTTCTCTCTCTCTCACTCACAAAAGAGGCTTACCTGGTATCGTTGTTATGACCGAGATTCCATGGCATTACACCTTTTAATTCCGTTTCCAACTTCTCATTTCACTGCATCGATGCAAGGCATTTTCCAAAGAAGACATATTGGTTGATAAGCTTACCTTTATGCATCCTGGAGACGAGTATTTCCTCTATTCTGTGTTAACTGTGACTTGTTTTCTTATTGCTAGGATGCCAATGCCACCCATGCCTCCCCAGGCCATGATGCCCATGGTTGCAGGTCACCCTGGGGCTCACCCTGGAGCTCACCCTGGAGCTCAGGTGCCCATGTCCACCGCCTCAGCAGCAGCTAGGATGCCTCCCATGTCTACAGCCATGCCATCAATACCTCCCATGCAGGCTGTGTCGGTCGCAGCTACACCTTCGTCTCGTCCTCCTCCGGCCCCGCCTACTGCCAAGCCTCTCTTCCCCAGTGCTGCTGCAGTAAGCTTTCATTCATTCTTTACCAACTACAGTCAAACCTGCTTTAGTGACCACCTGTCTATAAAGCAACCAAAAAATTACTTTTTTTTTTACGAGGGCTCTTTTCAGATTTTCCCTTAAAAAAATAGCCCCCCTTAATTATTTTGCGGTGGCTATTTTGGAGCTCAGGGGGGCTTTTTATGCCTCCATTACGAAGTAGCCGGAGGCATTATGTTTTCGGGTTGTCCGTCCGTCCGTCTGTACGTACGTCTGTACGTACGTACGTACGTCCCGTTCTCGTGATCGCGTTATTTGAAGAACCGATTGATGGATTCCTGCCAAACTTTGGTCAAGTATGTATCTTGCAGAGCCGATGAACTGATTAGATTTTGGGGTTACGATGTCAAAGGTCAAAGGTCACAGGGCTCATTATGTATGCAAAAACAGCTCGTGATCGCGTTATCTGAAGAACCGATTGATGGATTCCTGCCAAACTTTGGTCATGTATGTATCTTGCAGAGTCAAAGAACTGATTAGATTTTGGGGTCATGAGGTTAAAGGTCAAAGGTCACAGGGCTCATTATGTATGCAAAAACAGCTCGTGATCGCGTTATCTCAAGAACCGAGTAATGGATTGCTGCCAAACTTAGGTCATGTATGTTACTTGCAGAACCGATGAAGTGATTAGATTTTGGGGTCACGAGGTCAAAGGTCAAAGGCTACAGCGCACATTATGTATGCAAAAACAGCTCGTGATTGCGTTATCTCAAGAACCGATTGATGGATTGCTGCTAAAATTAGGTCATGTATGTTACTTGCAGAGCCAATGAACTGAGTAGATTTTTGGTTCATAAGATCAAAGGTCAAAGGTCATGGGCTCATTATGTATGCAAAAATAGCTTGTGAACACATTCTCATTAGAACTGACAGATGGATTACTATTTAACTCAGGACATCTTGCAGAGCCAATGAACTGAGTAGATTTTAGGGTCATGAGGTCAAAGATCAAAGGCCACAACGCACATTATGTATGCAAAAACAGCTCGTGATCGCGTTCTCAAGAACCGATTGATGGATTCCTGCCAAAATTAGGTCATGTATGTTACTTGCAGAGCCAATGAACTGAGTAGATTTTTGGTTCATAAGATCAAAGGTCAAAGGTCATGGGCTCATTATGTATGCAAAAATAGCTTGTGAACACATTCTCATTAGAACTGACAGATGGATTACTATTTAACTCAGGACATCTTGCAGAGCCAATGAACTGAGTAGATTTTAGGGTCATGAGGTCAAAGATCAAAGGGTCATATATGTATATGAGAAATTGCTTGTAATCACGATATTCTGAGAACCTGTTAATGGATTACAATTGAACTTGAATTCGAAAAATGTCTTCTGTTTTGGTTTGTAAAATTGCTCTATGACGGAGGCATCATTTTCGACTGCGCGCAGTCGAATTCCATCTAGTTTTTTTTAAAGGTTGTATTTTTTTTAATCGCGGTTTTACCTAATTAAATTCCAAGCAAAGGCAAATATAGATACAATATTATGTACGCTACTATTATGTCATGTAGAGTATTGCAGACATTCAGATACCCATGATTTATTCACTTTGTGTTAAACGTGTGGCTTTATGATTTACATATACATGTAACTAAAACTTGTCAAAAGGAGTGTTTTTTTTAACTGTTCGTTTTTCATATCCTAAGAAAATATTATCAGTGACACGTGGGCTAGGAATTAATTTTTTTATGGGGGCTACTTTTCCCCATTGCCTAAAAAAAACCAAGGGGCTACTTCCTTAAAGCCATATTGTAAGCTGTAACAAGAAGTTGTGTTTTTCCTTAGCCATCATACTACTAGCAACCAAATTGGTAGGTAATATGTTATTTAGTCTTTTTTTCTGTCCCAAATTTAATTATTATCATGGACAATGCAATCCCATTAAAAAAAAATGTAGACCAACTCCCTTTAAAATTGTGTTATTTAGACCATTTATAACCATTAAATGTGAGTAAATATTTTTACTGTTGTCCCACATACCGATGTAGGGTCTATTTGTTATGCCGAAACATGCAAAATCATGGCCTTATTTTTTTTTATAGACTCTAATTCTAAAGGCCAAGCCAAAGCTAGTTTCATTTCGTAGACAGAAATTTATGTCATCATCACTCATGACAATTGGCCTGGCATCGATCGTATATAAATAATTTAATTTAATTAAACAGTTGTAAGAAAGATTCTGAGGAGTAGGAACATCCTTTATATATTTATTTACGTTTTTTTTATAACAAAATTCAATTTCTGTGTACGAAACTTGCTTTATACCGATTTTACAGGAAAAAATCCGGCATTGATTTTGCATGTTTCGTTATTACAAATATATCAGTATGTGGGACAACAGTAAAAATATACTCGCATTTAATGGTTTTAACTTATAAATAACACAATTTTAGACGGAATTACATTTTTTTTAATGGGATTGCATTGTCCATGATAAAAATTAGGGCCAGAAAAAAGACTAAATAAACATATTACGTACCAATTTAGTCGCTAGCAGTTGAGCTCTCGTCACTCGCAAATACTTATTTGCTTCATACAAGGAGCGTGCGGGCGGCGCGCGCTGAAGCTGAGCTAGTACGTTTCTGTGTATTGTCAATGTGTGCGGACTGCGTATGCATTCATGCTGTGCACAAAACTACATCGGAGCCGGTGGCCTGTCCGGCCGCCGGGAGCTTAGGCGCAGGCAGGCGGATACCGCTGTAGATCTAGCTACAGTAGGTACGACCGCCGATCCGCTGCAACTCACAAAACTTTTAAAATGTTGATGGAAGTTTCTAGTTTTGGAGTTGGTAGTTGGAACGGAGATTTCACTCAGACACATCAATAAATTGGTTTATTAATTCATAGGGAATATTAATTTATGGCGGGGGCGATTTTTAAAGATATTTTGATTTTTTTTCGCCCTCGTCTTGATTTTTACCGTGGCGATTTCAGAGGTTTAGGGGGCGAATCGCCCGTCGCCACCGTGTATTTTTTTCGTTGCTATAAAGACCACATTTTTTTCTCCCTTGAAAATGAATTCTCATTGAAACATGTAGTAAAGGTACCGGTCTACAAAGACCACCTTTTGTGTTTCCCTTGGACGGTTGCTATAGACAGGTTTGACTGTACCTGATATCTATCTGTCTATGTCCCATATCTTGGATGCTGTTAGGGCAACAATGAAATGGACTTTGAGACACAGGTTCTCCATAACTTTTTGTCTTCAGCCTTTCTAGTTAGCTGCTCAAATGATATTCAACACTCTGTTATTTGTTTTCTGCTTTATATAGAATTTGTGATGACATATTAGGTTTAGATAAATAAGAATGAACATGATTTCAAGGTATGAATCTCTCATGATTACTGGACTACTACAGCTCTCACTTTTCAGATTTTATCTACACGTATGCCATGATTGCTTGCAATTGATAAAAATAAGTACTAATGAATCACTGGAAATGTCTGAAAATTAATGTTGTGCATCCACTTAGCTCAAGAGATTGATTTTGCCATGAGACACATATCTTCCTTTATTGTGCAAAGGTATTTTTAATAGTTTCTTGTATAGGTCAAGTCTATAGAATTGTTATTGAATATGCTTTGCCTCTTGGTTTAAACCTGAACCTGACATCCTTTCTCTCCTAGACGGCTACATCAGCGGCTAGTTCACCAGGTCCTAGTGGTTTCTCAAGGCCGGACATCGTAGCACCTCCCATGGCACCATCCAAACCAACATTCCCAGCAGCAGCAACAGCAGCATCTGCCCCACCCAAACCAGCTCCACCACCAGCTGCATCTGTTCCATCATCATCAGCATCGTCATCATCGCAGCAGCCACCTGACCCTAAGCCTCCTGCGTCCAGGACAGCAGGTGGCAGTAAGGGCAAGGCCAGCACTATCAACACAAGTTCAAATAGTAATATTATACATCCAGATGATGAACGGTCATTGGTAAGTAGAGATCTACATAGGAACTCAGTCTGATAAATTGGCCAGAAAAAGAGGTTGGTCGTACAGTTGTTTCTTTGTTTTGTTTTTTTCACTTACAAAAGAGTGTTTGGTAACATTAAAGCAGTCTTAAAACCTTGTTATGCTTATACTGAGGAACTTTATCAAATTGATTAGTAAGCTTTTAAACATGCAATTAAAAACTTGCAACAAATTAATGTAAACATTGAATATTTGTAATTGTTTCTTGTTAGGTGCAAAGTTATGCAATAAGATATTATTTTACTTTTATTTATATTATTTCATCAATCAGCTAAAAGTATGATTGTTGTAATTGTCTTGCTTGTAAGAGGTTTCAGTATTCAAAACCTTTCTTAATCATTATTTGTTCTTCTCTTTCCTCTTGTTTTTCCTTCTCTTATTCTCTTTGTGTTATACAGGAAGAGATACGATCCAGGGAAGAGAAGTATAAGAAGGTCGCACCTGTGGTTCCAACGTTACCACCCCCACCACAGCCCCCTACACTTCCTACATCGATAGCCCCGCCCTCCTCTGCACCTCAGCAGCAGCAGCCACCGCCCCAAGCACCACCCCAGCCAAGCATAGGGAACATGATGGGTGGTGGGCAGATGCACCCCTCTATGAGGCTTCCAATGCAGATGGGTCATCAAGGTAAGGACTGCCACTGAGAAATGCTTGAAGACATCCACATTATAATGATATGAATATTACTAGCAAAGTGTCATAAATGTTTAAGTAAAGTCAGTGAAGCATTACTTTTGTTACATGCCAGTCTTGTTAGTGTACTGGCTCTCCGTCAATTCCTGGCCAACCTATTCAAGCTCAGTTCTGAAAATATGCAAATGATGTTCATAATGTGTATTCATTTGCAGGATCTATTAGAGACTGTTCAGTTGTGCCTGTTAGACATGCTTTCATACTTTGAAATTTGCTGATCGAATGATACAATGTTATTTTGGCTGTATTGGGTGAAGTTCCCCAAACAGTGTGTTATGACATTGGTGTGTAGCCATACAAAAATAACTTTGTCTTATTTCTTGTTTTCTGTTTTGTAGGTCACATGGGTATGCCTCCACAACGTATGATGCAAATGGACCAAAGAGGTTAGTTTTACAGTAATTTACATAAATAAAACTGAAATAATCATCACATTGTTCAGTTCCAAGATGAAATGTGAATGGCAACTCGTCGAAACTTTTGACTGGTTCAAATCTCTCTTTGTTTGGGGCACCAAAATCAGGCTATTGTATAAAGTTGTCACTGACAATGTCAAGGTCCTCATATTTAGCTAGGGTCTGAAAGTTCATTATCAGGTCCATTAAAAAAAAATTGTAGAAATGTTTAGTACTTTTTAGTATACAATGAATGGATAAGCAGTTGCATGATGTCTGCACACATGACTGAATTGCCGATGGAAAGATCTCCATATCAATTAAATCCCAATATTTAGAAATCCTAGCCTCTTGCTATGTCAGATTATGTTTCAAGCATTCACTAATTATTTCTTATATTTGTTTGTGTATATCAATGACACCTCTGAGCCATCATCCCTTCTCGTTGTACCCTTTCAGTATGATAAGATCTCTCCTATTACTGTATTCATTGTGTACTCTTGGTGTGTTCCTATTACAGGTGGTGGTTTACCTCCAAACATGCCTCAATTCATGCCTTCAGGACCCTATCCAGGCATGCCAGGGATGGGTATGAACGGTGTACCCGGTATGCACGGGGGACGCCCACCTAATATGCCCCCTAACATGCACCCTGGTATGCCCCCCAACATGCCCCCTCATATGATGCCTGGTAGAGGAGGCGGCGGGGGCCAGATGTACTGAGGAAGGGATCAGCAGCTCCGGTCGGTCAGTCGTAGCAGGGAAGGAGGAAGAAGACCAGCTTGAGAAGGTTGGACTTAAAATGTACATAGTTTGGTTTTCGTAATTCCAGATTAATCATCACTTCTCTGTGCCCGTAACATGTCCTCTTTTTGATGCACACCCAGAAGCTTAATGTGATGTGAACCATAGACGGTACCAACTATCTCATGTACACGGAGAACCTGCATGATTGCACCGTGTCTCTGCGCTCTCACCAGACATTGTTGAACATCTCTGCAACTCAGGTTTGAGATAAAGTCCGTATGATTACGATTCGAACCCTTGTCAGATGGTGATGGACTTTTCTGCAATGCAGGTTTGAGATATAATCTGTATTTTTTTTAAAAGAACTCTTGCCGGACCATCAGCCGCATCAAGATTTCAGGTTTGTCAGATCTGATGTACATATTGCATAAACCTGTAGTTATCGTAGCAAGAGTTCATGTCTGTAGCTTTCTATATATGGGAGGAGTACTTCTTTTGCTGACACAAACTGGAAATATTGTTATACCTTGGTCACACCGCAACCTGATTCCAAACCGACTGATTCTTGGTTGTTTGGGGTAACATATATTTTTCTTTGGGTTATCGTTGGTTTGTTTTCGGTCTAGTTGGTGTGACCGAGATATGACCCTAGTTCAGTCCTTGATTTGATTTTGATGATGATCTCTCGAGGCTTGTACAGTTTTTATTGTTTAAATGAAAATAATAATTGTGAGGCCCTGTGTAGAATATCATCTCAATAAAATAGGAAGTTCTTTGGCCATTTTCTGTAGGCAAAGAACACTGCCCTTTGTTTTGATTACACAATGGCCAAGAACATGCCAAAGAAACTCATTCATCTACATGATAATGCTCTGTCATGGGTTAGGTTGTCAAAATGAAAGGTAATAATCATTTTTAAAATAAAATGCACATCCCACAAATGTTCCTTTACATCATAAAATCAACTTTGGCTGTCAAGAAAAAGCCTTGCATGTTTCAATTTAAAAGTTTAGTGTCATCAAATGTCTTACAACCTCCGAATCATTGATTAGAAATGTGATAGTGCCAACTATGGGGTAAATAATTTTAATTATGTTTTGATGCATCATTCAAACTCAGTTGTTAATGTCAGTCCATCTTGCTGATATACAGATGGCTCTTATGATAATGCTTATACAATTTTAAATTAAATTTTATTTAAAAACCTAAATTATGTTCCTAAATCTAAATCCAAAGTATAAGAAGCTCATTTAATTTATAGGCAAAGAAAGCATTGTTAGGGCATGTAATTTAACTCTTAAAAAGAAGAAGGAAGTTTTCATTAAATCATTCTGTTTTTTTAATAAATCTTAAGTGATGAAATGAAATTTTATTTTATGCTATTAATTGAGATTTGTGTGCTCAGTGTCTCCACAACGAGTAAGTACATCAATTGGAATTTTTTGAGAATGTGTGTTCTTAGCATTGTCATCTCAATTTTTGTAATATCTTTCTGAATTTGTGCATGTGATGCGGCCACCATGTAAATACCATTAGAATGCTTATAATACTTTGTCATGAATTCAGTACGTATTTTGACGTTTGCATCCATTTCAGTTGTATTGTTTAACAAGTGACTCTTTTACAATGGAAACTCTGTATAGAGAGTTCTGACATAACAAGATACCTTGACTCATTTACAGTGGAAACTCTGTATAAAGAGTTCTGACATACGATACCTGGGGGGTGTTTCACAAAGATCCTTAGTTGAACTTATCTCTAAGTTGGACTTAAAAATTTTGGAAAGCTGTTTATAGCATCTTTGAAAATATTTTGTAAAAAATATTTTAAAAGGCATAAAATGTTAATTCAAATCATTCACATTTTCTATAATCAAGGAAATTTCTTGTTCTTGATGTGTAATTTATGAAAAGTCTAAAATACTTGCATTTTTTGTTTGAATGTATTTTATTATATGGCTACAAATGGCTCTCCATAATATTTAAGTCCAATTTAGAGTTAAGTTTAACTTAGGATTTTTGTGAAACATCTCCCTGATATAACAAGGCCAATTTTGCTGACCCTGGCTCTTTAGTTGCCTCTATGGTTTTTACCCTGATATAACTAGGTAATTTTTAATGGCCATTGTCCTCATTATGACAGGTTTCCACTGTAGCTGTGCAATCATGTTTAATAGGTCACTTTTGTAATGTAATCAAACCAACCATAATTTTTGTCCTACCTAGCAACAATTAATGTATGTAATTCGCATTCTGACTATTGAAATATAATTATTCGTAACGGGTGAATCAAATAATTTGTTAAATGGCACTTACAAAGATTTGTGCTTTAAATTTGATTACATTACGAAAATGGGCTATTGATATTTTCTGAGTCCATATTATCATGAAATAATCTTCTTTATCTAGCTGATTAAGGTATTGGCTTCTGTGAATCTGGAAATGATTGTTAATGTATAATTTGAGATTCTTGTTCATCATTGTTGAACAGAGAAACAAAATCTTTGAAAGGATGCAATACAAGAGATGAAATGTTGTTGAGCGCACTCAGCTGGGTACAAATGGTAAGTGTTTTCTGACAAGGTAGGACAATGCTTTTGATGATTATGTTATATTATTAAGACGTGGGTATCTGCAGATTAATGTCTGCCATTAAATTCAGAATAGAAGAATTCACAGCCCATGAAGTTCAATTGAAAACTTCTGCAATATTATTTTGCATCATAACTACAAGACATTTCATGTTAAAGCACCTTTTGTATAGCCTTACGTTGCCATGACACTGACATCAAGAGAATATAATTTGCAAATTACACTTTCCATTCTGGCATCAAATTATTTTCATAACGTGCTTAAAAAAGTAACAAAGAAATATCTTATTGTATTGGCAGTAAGATTTTGGGACATTCCAGTTGTATATCTTTGATTTTCACTCACCTTATTTGATGTGATTTCATTGCAATTTCATGTAACAATATTGGATGGCAATTCTGCATCACTATTAGACAAAGACATCAACAGATGCATATACTTTTTTACTCTCATTTTGGGTATGAGATTATAACAACCCCTCTCAAAAGTAATCCAGTCTTTAGCTGTGCATGAATTATTTTGTTATTTTTATTCAATTTAAACACTAAATTGTGCATGAGGAAACTGCTTAGCGAGGCATGTCAATTAAAGATAGTACCGGTAAACGTTATTTTAAGATTTCATTACAAGCTGTCCATTTTATAGCAGTTTACTACATTGCATTGGCACAGGTAGGGAGAGTTGGAAGTGTTGATAAAAATAAAATGTACAGTATATGTTTTTCATATGTTGTAAATGTATTTCCAACAAATTTTCTCCTTTTCATTGATCTGGTCATCATGGATATCGCTTCCCTTGTGAAACATAACCAAGTGAAGTGTATAACTAGCCAAAGATAAATTCAACATTTTACTTAAGAATCTTTAGGCATAAAAACTTCTTATTTCGTAAATATTAGAATTTGCACAATGTTCATTTAATGTGATTATGAATTGCCCTTCCCAGTGTATTTTAAGCCAGCCAGAGTCGTATGTTGTTTTAATTACCTGTTGATACCTTTCTTGTATATTTGCATGTTTATAACCATATTGTATGTTGACTGAGAGCATAAGATGTATTATCCAGCCTCGAGAGACAGGTTTGAATGACCCTTTCTTATCATGTTATTTTTTTCTTCTTTGTGCCTCAATGGTCTTTAACAAATCCATCGCGTAAAATTATTTCTTTGTATGTGTATAGCAGAATTTGTGAATAAAGAATTCAGTCTTTATTAAAGTTGTAATTCATTGTGTTGTGCTGTTTATGTATGATGTGATGAAGGAAAATTGCAGTAATATCAGCAGCAAGACTTAGAAGTGATTAATAAAAGGAGATATTTAATGTACACCTCTCTGAGGTTGTAAAGCTTCTCCATCAAAATATGTTTCATGTCTGTTGCGAATATTTCTGTAATTTTCGGTTTGTTTGATGATGAAACAGTGAGAATGTGAGCTTAAATGTTTAAATTTTCCTACATTTTCCAGATGCTGGTTTACAGCCCCTTTGCTGATCTCTGTAATGTATTCTCAAGGCAAGTTCAAAAATGAAATTGTTAATCAAATTTGTTGCTACTTTATTTTTGTTCATTATTTTGGGAAAGAAATTCAGCTGTTTCACTTAATTTTGCACCATATCACAAAAGTAAACATGGGACAGTTTGAGCAAATTTATAGAAACAGTTGATAACAGATTTTTAGTAATTTATACATCGTATGAAATTGATGGTTTTAAATTTAATTTCTGTGTTGAAAATTATGTTTAATGGTACTGCCCTGTATAGTCGAAAGTCGGCTGTTCAAACACAACAAATTGCTATTAAAATAAGTAAATAGACACTAGTTTAAAGATTACACTTCGAGACGGAAGCAATGCTGTAGATTGTTTGTCAGTTCAAAACGGCCTTCTTTTAATTGACCAGTTCAAGGTTAGCACATGTTTCAAATGACCCTGAATATCCATAGATCTTCAAAAGATGAAGAGGTCCTACTTTGTACATTTTGAAATAATCACTCCTACAGCGATGGACATGCTACATAAATAGCCTTTGTTTCGCTTTTTCAAAGAATAGTTCCCCATGTGCATCATGAAGTGCACTGCCTGTGCATAAATGAATAATTATTACATAACTTTCATGAGCACGTATCCAGTATTTTGTTGGCCTATTGAGTCTAACATGGTGTGTGTGTTTATATATAGAGCTGATAAACCTGTCCCAACCCAAGCCTTCTCTCTCCTTGCCTTATTTCTAATCACCATAGTCTCATCAACGAGGAAGCGCTCGGGCCTGCAGAGAAGTGGCCGGTTATTTTCTAAATTTGGAAAAACCGACTCTTCCCAAGGCAAGTCCTATTTTACGCATGTGCTCTTTTTCTAGATCAGTAAAACGTGACTTTCACAGCGGTCTTGCTGTTGGACGACATGCCCCATGTTGTCCCCAACGTGCATTCTCGCATGTTTGGTGAAAATAAATCAAAATATTTAACAGTTTGTGGTCATGTGGAGTACTAAAGTGTGACATTACATCCCACAAATTTGTCTCTTTTACAGCCTTTGTGCATACCAAAAAGCAATACATTAAATCTTCACTGATTTTGTCCAACATTTGTCACTGTTAAATTGGCAAGAAGTAATGATTCATATAAAAAAAAAAAACTGTTGAAGAAATACAGTTCTTCGTAATGGGGGTATGTGACGAGCACTTTGGTACTACGGTATATAGCATTTTCTGATAGCCTTTTCACACATATTCTAAAGCTAAATGCTAAAGATAACCCAACATTATCTGTTCAAGTTTTATACATAACAATACATCTTCTGGCAAATTTAGTCTGATCTTGCCTTTTCCAGTCTATGGCTTCCAGGTTTTGTGTTTCACATCTTCACATTTCTTAATTTTTTAAAATTCTTTTAGGCGTTTTCCTGAATTTTCAGTGTGATAAAAGGAGTTGCTATGATTTGAGAATAGTATAATTTCACCACAACTTAAATGGGGGTGCCGCAACTTGTCACATCACTGGATGTGCTTTAATTGTCAAAATATATTAATCTTTGATTAAACCTAAACCAAAAAGGAATCAGCAAAAGTGGATGAAATTCTCCTTTACAGCAACCAGTGGAGGTCTATAATCAGCATGAGATGTAGAATGGATGTGTAGAAGATGTGAAAAGGCTATGAGAAAAAAAGAATTCTGCAAAGCAGATTACTGTTAGGCAACCTTATGTTGTCCATGTCCGGTGAAAACTAAAATGAACCATTAATTCATATATTCTACCTGTTATTTGTGGTGTGAGGTGAAAATAACAATTTCACAGCAATTTGCTGTTGGATGGCCTTGCCATCCCCAACATGTTAATGACATGTTTGGCGAAAGATATTTTTTTTTAGTTGGTGTTGGTAGGTAGGAGGCCGCCTTATCACAAACTGGAAAAAACAAATGCAAGGGACTATTAAAGGTAATACAAAGTTTTGGTATGGGGTCATGAATTTGATCCAAAATGAACATATTGGAGGCATCTGCGATCCTACAATATTCAATGATCGTTGTAGCGGTTGAAATTGAGTCTAAATTGATGACATTGTGAACTATAAACTCATAAACTTTTTATGTTGTATAGCTCCCTCTCAACATTGATATTACTTAAACTTCAAAACAATGTTTCTTGACTAAAATCGAAGGAATTTCTATTTCCGTTTGAAAATTATATATCAGAACTGCATATTCCGAGATTTTCATGGTTGCAGCTATCATTGTATGGCCGTAGGCCCTATTTGACATTTTTGGGGAGCACTAATAAATTTGATGTTTAGATTTCTTGAAATCCTAAGTGTTTTAGAGCCCAATTTTTTCAAAGTTGCTTGTTTTTAACACTTGGTTTTACAATGGTAATGCAAAATTTAAATTTCTTAATCCAATCCTGTTAAAATATAAATATTACCAAAACTTTGTATTACTTTTAAGTTTTAGGGCTGTTGTCTTTGGTTCTGTCTGTAAAGGAAGTACAAATGTACCTGCATGTTTACTGATGGTAAAAAAAACAAGAACAAAATCAGAATTAAAAACCATTGTTGATCAAGCCACTGACTCTAATGTTGATCTATAAATTTCTCAGACGATATATACACTGAATCTATCAAGAATAAATCATATTGTCTCATCCTTTAATGAACAAAGGTGAGAAAAAATTATTCCAACTCTATGTGCAACAGTATGTATTGTGAATAGACTTCAAGAGTCATAGTGAAAATTTGTATTTACTTGTTTTTTCATTGAAAGAAACATTAAATTGATTTATTTCACGGGAGCCATCTTCTGGTGAAATGTACCCGGGTTTTTGTTTTTGGGCGAAATATTGACCTTTCCTCAAAACAAACAGGATATCAATGTATCTTGTCTCACTCTGGTATAAAGGTAGGCTTACTCTGACCCTCTCTTCTCTGGAGAATCCAGTCATTATCAAATGTAGATTTTATGAAGGTGTTTGATTCGTGAAACAAGGAACATTGCACACCAATATATATAAGAGGTTTGCATTTTGGTAATGTACCTGCTTCCAGAAAAAGATTTCAGAAAATGAGGTGAAACATCTGAATGAGTAGAAACATAAACTGGTTTTTCGGGGGTTTACAGTATCAGGACTGATGCAGACCCTACTCATTTTATTTGATGAAATGGATGAAGTGGAAAAGATCTGCGTTATTCCTAGGGGGAAACACCTCATTTTTGCTCCTATTCACCCCAATTACAGTATTCTGACCAATGACATGGTCCTGTTTACAGCATTTTAAACTCTAGTTCTTGTGTGTATTGACAATTTCACAGTACAATTACTCCACCTTGGATGAGTACTGTTGGACTTCTCCAAGTCCCCAACATGCCCGGGACATGTTTGGCGAAATATGAATATGACCAGATGTGTGTGATTTTTTAAAGACTATTCATACCTTTACCCCACTCTATTTCTCTCTCTTCCTCCCTCCCACTCTCTCTCTCTCTCTCTCTTTCTCTAGTTCTCACTCTCTGTGTTACTTAGGTTTAAAGATTTCCCTCTATTTAATGTTTGTCTTACATATCCATCACATCTCCCCCCCCCCCCCCTCTCTCTCTTCTTTCTTTCTTCCTCCACCCCTCCCGTCCTGTCTCTGCCTCTGCCTATCTTTCATTCCCTTTTTTTTTTACAGAATAATCTTCTTTTTTTTTAAAACATTGATAATATGTTCTTTTATTCTCTCCATGGCAGATTTAGAACAAAAATCTGAATAGTTTTTGGAAGAACTTCAATTTTTGCATTATGGACATGTTCAAAAAGGTCAACAAGTTCGGTCAATTGCAAACTTGCCATTAAAAAGAGACCCAACCAGACAAAATAATAAAAAATTATTTACAAAGGTATATTGTTAAAATCAAACCAATTTTGTGTAAATTTGCTCTGAAATTTTATTGATCTTTATTAAGCTGTGAAAAAAATGGAAATGATTTCAAGTGATTGTATATCGTGGCCAGTGGCCCCTTTCAGCAAGTCTTTAAATTTGTTATGCTTCCTTGAACATTGAAATTGTTATTTCTGGTGATCAATTACTTTCCCATTAGCAGAATATACCTTGTATATGAGTGACAAAATTGATCACCTATGTAATTCAAAATTTAACCTTTTCAATCTGTCATGAAAAATATTGGCAAATGTTTTACCCTAACTTATCATTTTTTGCTTTCACCTTGAACTATTCAAGTCTCCCCTTTTCAGACTTTTCCTTTCTATATTATGGAGACTATAACTTTAAAGAATTTTTAAAAAATCATGATTTTTCATTTGGCCTGTTACGCATTCTGATTCATAATAAAATCAATTTACAGCAAATATATCAAATAATTTGTGATTGTGATTTTGTTTACATGGTTCTTGTGTCATGAATCTGAGATGGGTGTTTACTGCTTAGTATGTCAAACTTCTGGGTTTCAACCATGTTTAAAGACCCTCTAAAGTGTTGGGAGCCCCAAATTTGCCAAAGATTTGATGGCAAATTTTCACTTAAATTGTATCATAATGTGAAATAGGTTGTCATTTTAGACTCACTTCTGCAAAGATTTCCCCCTTAAAAAATGTGTTTAAAGACGAATATTGATAAAAGAATACATGATTTTGGTTTTCTGTTTTACATAGAAAACCTAAATTTTGTATCCTTTCTTCAATATTTGACTTCAAATATATTTGTTTTAAAAATCCTTGCAGTAATGTGTCTTAAATGACATCCTCTTTCACATTATAATACAATTTAAGTGAAATGTTGACATCTAATTTTTAGGGCTTACAACACTTTAGAGGGGTTTTAAGATTGAAATGCCAAAGCAATGCTGGGTTAAGAGCCATCTATACACCAAGTTTGGCCAACCCAGTTCGAGTTGGACACAATATGATGACTACTGCTTTGTTGGCCAAACTCTGTATATAGATGGCTCTGCTTGCAGGCCCTCAGGAATAACACTGTTGGTACCTGTGAGACCGCTCTTGAAAAGCAAGACCATAGTATATATTATTTTATATTCATGTATTTCATAGTCAACAGATTGAAAGAATAGAAACGTCGGAAAAATCAACGCAGTGATCATTATAACTTACAAGACTGGCTTTACACTACATGTGTATTCTCAAATTTTGATGAGAATGATTTTATTTAACAAAAATGTGTCGTATCTCATATAAATTATCTTCAGCATTAGCCTGGCATTGTGTTTCATTCAGCAAGCTAGGTGGCAACTCTGTTGATTGGTTATGGTTGATTGTAAGATTGATGGGAAGATTGAATGTGTGGTTGAAGTTTCAATGACGTGGTGATATATTGGTATGTTTTGTAAGATATATACAAAAACACAATCGCAAAGACTTTCGGTAAATCAACTCGAGGGTAATATTGCAGTACCATATTGTATATCCCATAGAAATCACATTCACATCACGCATACCGGTAGTTCAAATGGTGATGGACAAGGCTGTAGAAATTGCCTTGGGTTGATTTTTCGAAAGTTTTTGCGATTGTGGTGATAGAGCATTGATTGGGTGGTGATGAGGTGGGTTTGAGAAACTAGTTGATTTATCAAATATTTCTTCATTTATTTCATTGCATTTATAAGAAAAAAACAATTGATAATAAAGATAAATAGTTGATTACCCGGTATACAAATACAGACAATTCAAAACGATGAATGAGGACTGGATTGAAAATCGTATTTCATTTTTCTTTTGACCCCTGTACACAATAAACCAAATTGGATGATCTGAATGCGAGTCAGAATGGAGAGAATACTTGAAGTTGTACACATATGCTTGATTGAAAGATGAATATTTAGTTGACTGGGAGAAAAGATTGGGTGAATTTGGCAAGATTGAAAAGCTGGTTGTTGAGAGGTTGATTGAAAGACTGATTCAATACATTCTCTCTCCCTCTCTCTCTCCTTTTCCTCTTTTACCTTCTTTTCTCTTTATTTTCTCCTTTTTCTTCTGTCACTCTCTCTTTTTTTAAGGCAGCAAAAAAAAAATAAGTGAGGGCAGCAGTCAATTCCCCCCTCCCCACGCTATCCACCACTAATTTATACATTATATGAACACATTACGCATATCTTGAAGTAGGGTGCTGGCAGGAAATACTGGTAAATACCGGGAAATATTGAGAAATGCTCGCATGCGTACCATTCAAATTTTTTATACCGGTAGTGTAATTCCTGGGTGCATTCCCATCCCCACAATTTTCAAGTACCCCCAAAGTGCCCTCTTTACATAGGAAAGATCCCCTTTTCGTCCATATAAGCCCCCCCCCCCCCCCCCCCCCCCCCCCCCACTCAGAGGTCGGAATGACCGCATGCGTGTTGCCAAAATGTCCGGTAAAGGGGTACTTTTCGTGCGACAATGTCCGGCCCGAGAATCGTAAAAAAAGGCGTGTATTTGACTTTTCACCCAGAGATTTCTTTAAAAAGGGGGTATTTTTTCTTTTTTTCTCTCATCTCTTTGGACTCCTGAGAAATTATTCCGTATTTAGGGGGTTACATAATTTGAGCATTTTTCCTGATTTAGGGGGGTCTCCAAGGCAGGAAAAGCCCACGAAAGGGGGGGGGGGTTGGAAATATTGGCAGTGCAGATAGGGGGTGCTTTCAAAAAGAGGGAACGAGCATATATGCGTACCCTAAATGACATTGAGTGGGGGGGGGGGGCCGGGGTTTTTTGCAAGTTCTTGGTACCCTGGTTACATCATGAACTATTTTGGGCAATTTAAGTAAAGATCAGCTGACTTTGTGCTAGGATATTACAAGCCGCCGTAGTACATATTACACAAGCTCCGCCATAGTATGTGAAGGTTGTGTTCTCGCCCAAATTCATGAAACGACTTGTTAAAGCCTACATTGTAAATGAATGAGGAGAAGTTAGTGTGTTGTTGGTACCCAGTACGGAATGGTCGAACTTCTCGAACTGATCATGCTAATGTGATGATGCCTCCCAGACAGTAGGATCCTACTACTACTCCGAGACTGATTTCGAGTCTTCTCCTCATGCTCCTTGTTCTTTAAGTAGGATCTACATGCAGAGAGCTAGCTGTTAGTGTTATTCGTTCATCGAGCAGGTGAGATTACCGGCAGTCTTGGCCCTTGGGGGCATTATCGTGCACTCGGCTTTGTCTGCTGAAAATAAAATCCTTCCCATAGGCATAGATTTCTAGACTAATTGATAGAGATTGCACGCATCCCTATTAAAATCCCTTTATGCAGTCTATGTGCATTGTGATACTCAATAAATGAGGTCAAAGGTGTAGATTTAGATGAACAGGATGAAATAGCAGGTTTTTCTATAGACCGAAAGCTTCAGTCTCTATACCGTCGGTTGTTCCACTGAGACTACGTCTGGCTCCACTAGACCTCCGGTTATAGAGACTGAACGATCGCCTATGCCAGCCTATGTTGAAGATATCACGGCTAGATTTTAGCCATTAGGCCCCTCCCACAAACATGAACAAACTTGCCACGGCCGTATTGTTATGCCCCCAAAATCCCCCAAAATGTCATTTTACCTCGTGCATATCCAATTTTACATTAGGCCTAGGCTATAATACATCGGTTCCACTTACTAACTTGATTGAAATAATCCGTTTAATGGTCCCTTTTAAGGAAATTATGGGTCAAAATGGACATCCATGTTGAAAATCTTGCAAGCCGTGTTAAACTCTCGCTGCCGTCAATCTCATCCCTTCTAGTCTACGCCGAAGGCAAAAATGATTATGAAGGAAAAACTGTGATAACGCCATTACGAACGTGTAGATGGCGCACAGTTTTTCCTTCATAATCATTTTGCCTTCGGCGTAGACTAGATTCCCCCAGCATTGCTTTGTGTCCAGTTATGGTAAGAATGTTGTTGACATATGAAAAAAAGTTGTCAAAGTTGGGGGTGCGGCCTATGCGGCGCTGCGACCTTATCGCCGGCAAATACGGTAATGGATTTTTTTTTTTGTCTGTAGAATTATAAAATGAGAAATCATAGATCTGATATCACATTTTCTAATATTTTCAAATCTCCAAAAACTTTGGTCACCCCTTCATACACGATAGAAACATCCGAAGGATAGCTATGTTTATGTTCTAAAAAAACCCTTTATAATATATCTTTGACATAAATGTACATTGGTTTTAGTGTTTTTTAATTCATTTTTTTCTACTCACATTTATATGAATCTAATTTTCTTCATAAATAAAATTTGAAATAAATGTATGATTTAACACGGACATATCTGAGAACCAACTTTGTGTAGAATTAATCAAAGTTGGCTGTCCTTTGAGGTTAATGATTAGTGTGTCAAAGAAAAGACCTTTGTACTTCAATATCAAACAAACTCCATAGTGATGGCTCTATGTAAGAGAGCTAATGAACTAACTTGACGCTTTATTATCTAAAAATACCTTGGTAAGCAAATAGTGCTTACTGTAGTGACGCAACAGCTGGATGTTGCAATTAATGCTCTTGGATGTACTTATCATAATGTTGGTTTCACTATCTAAGGGCTTGCATCGCTGTGCTGTTAACTTGGTATGTAATTGTATGTAGGGAGGAAATGTACTTTTTGATACCAAAATGTGACTTTTTTTGTCTTTTTTCACATCGATTCTTGTTTTATATTACTGGTATTTATTAGATGACTACTTTGAACTGATGCTGTTATACTAGGTCCTGTTGTAATTTTTAGTAATGTAAGTTACATAAATGTTATACTGTAAATCACATCAAATCTCATATTTTTATTGCTGTATTCAAAGATACTGTCAACATTACATTTTTCAGAAATCAATTTCTAATGTAAAAAAGTTCATGAAAACTGTAAAATATGATGATGTCAGTATATTTATCAGCTGATTTGTTTTGTCTTTCCCTTTGTAGGTACAAGACCACATGATGACATGCTGTACAGTGCAGTAGAGTTTTGTTTCCACCTAGATTGCATAGTCCAATCTCATCAAGTTTGATTTCATCTCTGTATTAAACCAACTGCTTCAAGATGGCTCGCATCCTAAGCCAGCTGCGTCTCCTTCTCTGGAAGAACTTCCTCCTTCAACTCAGACGCGTAATAGCGACCATCTTTGAGATTCTCATCCCCGTACTCTTTGCCTGCATCCTCATCGGGATCAGGCATGCTGTGGATTACACCGTCTACCCTAACGCCACCGTCTACGACACCTTTAACATCAACAACCTGCCGCACAATCTGACTATCTTTCCCTTACCTGTAACAGTATGGCAGATGGCTTACACACCCAACACATCCGCAACAAACCAGATCATGTCGCACGTTGTGAAAAATCTTGGCCAGCCGTTCGTTAGTCTCGTAGATGGTGAGTATTCTAACTTGTGGTCAGGACAATAAAGTAGTGATGTGTAAATGTACCCCTGTTTTATGTTTGCTCAATTTTAACATTAAGTGCTTGATTATTTCTAAAAAACATTTTCAGTCTAACAATCAGATGCTACATGTTGTCTAATAAATAATTTGAAAGTTGAAACTTATGTTTATTACCTCAAAAGGTTTTTTTTCTATGTAGATCAGATTTTGTAAACAAATCTAAAGCTCAATAGTTTGTTGTTTTATATCAAATCATCTAATTAAGATTGTGAAGAATTTTCTGGTTTTCCAAAGCAGTTTTTTTAATACTGTAAAGACCTGTACATACATCTCATTCAGTGAGCCAAAGTCAGAATGCAGAAAGAGGGAGAGAGCAAGATAATGAGGGGGGGGGGGGGGGGGGGGTAATAGGTAACTTAATTTAAAAATGATTAAGAATGATTTACTTTTCTCATATTGGTTTCCATGTAAACAGGTCCAGGTTTTCCAACTGAAGACGCTATGCTGGAGTACTTCGCCCAGATCAACGGCACCAAGGATTCTCCTTTGCTGGGTGGTATTGTGTTTCATAATGACTTCCCAGAGAATGGTGACTTACCGTCCAATCTCAACTACAGGTAAGAAGAGAATAACATCCCGTCTCACATACTTAAATTGACTGCACATCATATGACCTTGCCGTCCCTCGAACCAGTAAACACATAGGTGATAGGGCTTCAGCTCAGCCCTCAACAATCGAACTAGAGTTTAGAAATAGCAACGAGATGGAGTTTCTATAACAACTCTTTTGCTGCCTCATTGAAAGGAGAAAAAAGGAGCTTACATTTACTACATGTTTTCAGTTATCGTCCCATTACAGTATAAGGTTATCATCCAGCCAGAGGAACTCTCCTGGTATGATTTATCCAAAAGAGATCTCCTTGGTGGGATTCAACTCACCCCTCAACAATTAAACTAGAGTTTAGGAACAACAACGAGATAGAGTTTCTATAACAACTCCCCTTTGCTGCCTCGTTGAAAGGAGAAAGGAGAATCTTACATTTATTTACCAATGTTTTTTTTGTCCCATTACAGTATAAGGTTATCATCCAGCAAAGGGAACTCCCCTGGTATGATCTCTCCAGAAGAGAACTCCTTGGTGGTCTTTAACTCAGCCCATCAACAATCAAACTAGATTTTAGAAACAGCAACGAGATGGAATTTCTATAATAACTCCTTTGCTGCCTCATTGAAAGGAGAAAGAAGCTTACATAGACCATTTGTTGTTTGTCCCATTGCAGTATAAGGTTATCATCCAGCCCAAGGAACTCTCCTGCTATGAGCTCTGGAGGGCAAAGCTCCCTGAATGATCAGAAGAGTGAATGGAAGACAGATGAGCTGTTTCCTTTCATCATGACCATGGGACCAAGGGCTAAGCAATACTCATGGGGCGGTGACCCTGGTAAGATTATGTGTGTTGAAACTTTTTTCTGAAGCCTTAAATAATTATAGCACATAGACAAAAAACCCTGAAATCATGCTCTGTTTTTACGATGATCTCCCTTTGCGCATTGAGATACACTACCTTATGGATGGAGAATAACTGTTCAGATATTGTTTAATAATAGTATGGACTGCATGGGCATGTGTGCAATGCTTCCACTTTAGTTCATTTAACCTTGAGATGCAGTAACACATCATTACATTCTACAAGCAACTGGCTGACAGTCTGTCAAATGGTTATTTCTTTCTTCCAAGAATCAGATACAGATTTGTGCTTTATAAAGTTTGTTCCCATGAAAGGAATTCACATTTTAGTTAAAAAGAATGAAGCCAAGAATGAACCCCATATTAGACTCTTTAAAGTTTCTTTTTAAAGATATACATGTATGTGTGTATACCTTATGGAAAAGAAGGGGTTAAAGCCCGTCTACACTAGTTTAGCCATGAGGGATTAGACCTCCCTACAAGGTCACTGACGGGTGGTTATCTCATCAAATCAGCTCTCAATTTGCATAAGAAAAAGAGGAACATGGGGGACAACAGTCACCGCTTAGACATTGTCTGCTATATAGAGGGCGCGCAAGTAGCTATAAAGAGTGCAGTGGGGCTTTAAGGAATCTAAGCTTGTAACCTTTCTTCATTTTGACAGGGTATATGAGAGAAGGCTTCCTTTCCCTGCAGCATGCCATAGACAAGGCTTTCCTGCAGTACATGAACCCGACCCTGACGGATCAGTTCAGGATTGACATGCAACGCTACCCATATCCTCCATACCTGGACGATCTGTTCATCCTGGCCATACAAGGCCAGTTACCATACCTTCTCTTCATCAGTCTGGTCTATCCCATGATCAACATCGCTAGGACTATCTGTCTGGAGAAGGAGAAGAGGCTCAAGGTAAATTCTCTTTAAAAATCAGTCTGTACTAGTTTGGCTAGGGGGATTAGACCACCCTGCAAGGTCACTGACAGGTGGTTTTCTCGTCAAATCAGCTCTCAATTAACATACGAAAAAGGGGCTCATGGGAGACAACAGGCACCGATAAGGCATTGTTTGCTATACAAGTTTAAATTGTTTCCATTGACTCTATGAATTGGAGGTGTATGTCATTTATGTGTAACATCTACAAAAGTATGAAGTAAAAATTGGATTGCTATACTTACTTTAAAGGCATTTTAATGCATGTACATGTAGGCATGGTGGTATTGGATGAGAGTTTTTGATTTTTTCTCCCTTTTGGGGGCGGGTTGGGGGGGGGGGGCATTGATAGAAATACTAGCAAATCGATTTGAAGTAAGTGAGTCTTTATTACATTGACTTTTTTTTTACATGTATAACCATGAGAATAAATCATCAATTTATTGCCCGAGATAATCCAGGAACGAGCTACCTGCATTTCACTTGGCTATTTCACAAACTATCTGAAAAAATATCTGTTTCCTTCTCCTGTATCAAAGTATTGACACTGCCTCTTAATCTATGGTAAAGGTGTCAAATAAATCGTTATTTTATCACCATCTTTTATATATTTCTAATTGATCATCAGGAATCGATGCGTATGATGGGCCTGAGTAACTGGCTCCATTGGATGGCTTGGTTCATCAAGTTCTTCGTCTTCCTCCTCATCTCAACCATATTCATGACCATCCTCTACACTGTCCCAGTCGGACCACAGGGGGCGATATTTAAAAGCAGTGAACCTACTGTAATCTTTGTCTTTCTGCTTCTCTATGCCGTGTCAACTATTGCTCTGTCGTTTGCAGTCAGTGTCTTCTTTTCAAAAGGTAAAACTTCAATCATGAAGCACATAGAATCACTTTTTGAAAGTCACTCTGACCAGGTCCCTTTTGCAATTTGTGACCCATATTGGTTCAAAACCACAAATAAGTTGCTAGAAATTAATTTGTCTTTGTTTTGTTAATTTTCTCCAACTGATTTCAAGATTTTTCTTTGATTTATGAGCAAGCGATAGCATTTACTCAGAAGACCACACTCTCCTTTGTTTGCTCCATTATTGATTTAAAAAAAAAAAAAATTTTATTGCAACTATATTAAAGTAGTCACCCGAAGAATCAAAAGTGTTTTGAAAATATGTTTGGGGCTCGCAGTAATCATCTCTCAAAAATGTTAATTTTGAGATCCAGATTTTCTGCCTTCAGCGGTCCTTCGTAAAGCATCAAGACTCATGATGTCACATGCAAGACACAGCTAGCCGCAATATTACATTTTACGTCTTTCCATGATATCTACATGATTTTTCATCAAATTATTTGTGTTTTTCAAGAGAAAATATTTCCATCTATATATAATTTGTCCATAATTATCAGTTTTCTTGAATTTTCTTTCTGGTGACAACTTTATAGATGATTTCAAGCAAGTTTTTGTGAGGTTGTTTTTATTGTATTGGTTCAAACATTCAATCTAGTACTGCGACATACGATGCCCATACTAGATCTCAAGATTAGCTTTAATAGCCTTTTTGATGGTTTGGACTTTGCTCTCATTACAGTAAAGTTAACAATGTAGATGTGAGTCTGAGCAAACATCGTAAATTTCTTTGCCCTTCTTAAAGTTTGCTGTACCTCTCATTAAGTAAATGTCTGGTCATAAAAAGTTCAGCAAACTTTAGATTTTCAAAGGGAATTGACAAGACGTTTATGACGGATGATAATACCTCTACAAGTATTTAAATCCATAAAGATAGACATTTTATATTTACATTTCATTGAGTAATGGCTATGTATGCACTGAGCAACCAAATGCAAGTCACGCAAGTAAAGTGAACAAATGACATCATTGTTTACCCTGTCAGGTCAGTTTCATAATTTGGTCACTACAGGCAATCAAATTCATAAACGTGCATCATCTTACAATTTATGCCATTTTCATTTTTTGTCAAAAGATATTCATGTTCGATTGTGCATTATTAACAAGTAGGCTTGATGAGCTTGTTTTTGGTATTCCGTTTCATTCATAGATGACCAATTTACTAATTCAGAAGTAGGTTCAATGGATATGGCATAAAATAGGGGATAAAATTATTGTAATCACACCTAGGGTCAACCTATCAAATTTCAGGGGGTACACGCTAGTGGGACAATAGACTATTTTTTTTTTTTTTGGATTTCACTAATATTAATGTGAGTGTAACAAATCCTGAGATAACTGTCAGAGGGCCTGGTGAGAGCATTGAGTATGTGTTATGCACTGGGAAGGACTGTACTTGCTCATACAAATGTTTTGACGCAACTCCCAGCCACTTGCACACCTGTATTTTGTGCCATATGTTACCAACCAGGGTTCGTCGATTAGTCTCAACTTATCTGCGATTGATATCAATCGCAACTGTGTACATAAGAGATAGGAGATACCCCTCCTAGACCTTGAAATCAGATAAATCAAATACTTATGGGACATACCCTGCACTTGTCCTCCATGGGTGCGTTTATCAACTTTTGCTACTCAGAAACATCGTTTCTATTCGCAGATAAAGAAACGTGCATACAAACACGATTTGCGGGATGTCACGTTTATCAACTTGCCAATTTGCCTGAATCACGTTTGAAAATGCTGATTATAGGCTAGAAAAGAGTTGATAAATGCACCCGATGTGAAAAAATCACAGATCAGTGATTGTGGTTACCTAGTACAGACAGACAATTTAAGATTCACTGCAGTTAACTGCCACTAAAAATAACTGCTGCATTTCCAAAATGTGTAAATGAATGACAACTGCATGCAACAAAGGTCCTACGTGTATTTACTTAGCATATCTTAACAAGGCTTGAGTTTGTAGTCTCAAGGGCACATTGTAGGTACTGGTATATTATGTAGAGGTGTCATATTCAAGTGGCTTTAAAACACTTGCCTGGAAATGAGAAGGTCATGACTTTGAGCCCCGTGCGGCCTTGGTGTCTTTTGGCAAGACATTTATCTACGTTTGCCATCTTCCACCCAGGTGTTAAATGGTTACTGGTAGGAAGGAATTCCTTGAATGATGTGAGCACTGAAATAGGTAGCCTAGCTTGAGCTGAGGTAATAATGTAGCGTCTTGAGCAGCTTGTGCTGTGATTGTAAGTTCTATAAATGTATATCCTCTTAAAGCCTGTCTACACTAGTTTTGCCAGGAAGGATTAGACCTCCCTGCAAGGTCAGTTACAGGTGGTTATCTCATCAAATCAACTGTCAATTAACATAAGAAAAAGGTGATCTTCGGGGAAAAACAAGCACCGCTTGTTTATAGAGGGCGCAAGAAGCTACAAGTAGTGCAGTCTGGCTTTAACATTCTATTTATCTTTTTGTTTCTTACTTTGCAGCCAACACTGCTACTGCAGCCGCAGGGATAGTATGGTTTCTCTCCATCGTACCCTACACCTTCATGTTTAACACCTACAGCTATCTATCAGCTGCAGAGAAGGCAGCAGCATGTCTACTTTCAAACTCAGCCATGTCTGTTGGTCTCCTACTCATCGGAGTATTTGAAGGAACTTGTAAGTTCATTTAATTTCTCTTTCTTGTCAGTACTATTCAATTTAATTTATTTGGCATTACCAAAAAAATGAAATCATGAATACAGAATACATAATAGACCCTCTAAGATGCAACTTGTGCTTGTAAGTGTGGCTCTTGTAAAAATAAACGCAATATTGAACTAAATTGCAAAAGAAATAAAAATTACAAGGTATATATATTTATGTTTAGTATAACAAAAAATGACTGACCATTTACGGCAGCTTCATTTTGGTCATTACAAAGGCATCGCTTTAAGTACTTGCTTGAAACCAGTTGAACACAAAGGGAACATAAAACAGGAAATGAGATGACGTATTAGTGCGATTTATTAACCCTTTAATTACCAGACATGTGACATCCTCAGCTTTGCCTTAATTGACTGTAAACCTAGTTCTCTTTCATCTGTTGTAGCATCTCAAAATAATCTGAAAGTTTTTTCCTAAACCTCCCCTGAGAATATTGTGTGACCTTTATTAGTAATCTCCTTGAAAGATAACAGAAGAAATACTTGTATTCCGAGATTTGTATTAAAAAAAAACAATAATAGTAATAATAATGTACATTGCTATTTTGATACAAATACTAGAGACAGACTTTTACATATAAAGGCCCAGCCTTCCTGTCTTGTCTCCAAATAATGTCATTAATGTACATATTTAGATTTATTTACTTTTTTCTTTTGAGTACTTATACATTGATGCATGTTACAGGGCATCTACACGTATTGCTTGATAGCTCTAATTCATTCTTGTGCCTATTCTATTTGATCAGCTGAAGGAGTACAGTGGTATAACATGGCGCAACCGGCCACTGCTGATGATAACTTCACCTTCCTAGCGGTCCTCATCATGCTCCTGGTTGATACCATCCTCTATCTTCTCATTGCTTGGTACTTTGAAGCTGTGTATCCTGGAGAATATGGCATCCCAAAACCGCTCTACTTCCCTTTCACCGTAAGACTGAGAATTAGCTTCTTTTTGGGGTGATCTGACATAAATATGCTCTGGGGGGTGTTTCACAAAGACTAAAATCGACTTTAAGTTGGACTTAACTACGACAGGCCGTTCATGTCACTGTTTGCTCTTACCATTTTGATCTTTAGATCATATTTTTTACTTCAATAATGAATCATCGTATAAAAAAAATGTAAATTCTGTTGATGACCATGATTTGTACATGTATGTCCTTTGAGAGACCAATGCCAGGTAATGGTGAGAGTAAACATTGGCATGAACAGCCTGCCATAGTTAATTCCAACTTAAAGTCGATCTTAGTCTTTGTGAAACACTCCTCTGGAGACATTTACGCCAGGCACTACATGTATTTATATACATTTGGATTGGGACAATCTAACTATGAGTGAACGTTGTGGCGTCATGTTATCAAAGACATGCTTAGAGATATATTTAGGGTAAGGGTTGCGATTGTGTTTTAAGTTAGATTTAGAGTTGGGGTTAGGCGAGTGTTGGATTTAGACCTGAAGTTAGGGATTGGGTTAGCATTAGAAAATGACTGTGAAGCAATTGTATCTGGAGTAGTTTGTTCTGCACATTTTGGTTTCATTATAATAGGAGTAGGCCTAGTGCTTTACATTCAAATGTGCAATAGTAGACTAAATGACTACATTATGTCACTTGTTGCCATAGTTTTAACATGTGTCTTGAAAGTATAAAATACATGTACATGTATTATAGTGTGAGACAACGTCAATACATTATGTCATTATACCAACTTACACGTGGCACTTAACCTTATTTGTATGTTTGGAGGATTGCCGAGCCACCTATGCTTTAAAATATAGATGCCATAGTTATTTTTTTCAGCAGTTGTAGTTCCTCATATTTTTTCTCTTTGAAATCTTAACAGAGGAACTACTGGTTTGGACCTAAGAAGGGTAGCTATGCTATAGACGTGGAGAGTGCTCCTGTACTCAATGGCTCATCATCAAACCATGACTTCATGGAGAGGGATCCGGTGGGGATCAAGGCAGGGGTGCAGATCAAAAAGCTTAGCAAGGTAGAGTTCCGCAGTCTGAAGAATGTTACAACGTGTAATGATGATGATGAGGAGGAGGAGGATGATGATGGTGATGATGATGACGATGGTGATGATGATGATGATGATGATGATGATGATGAAGATGATGAAGATGATGATGATGATGATGATGATGATGATGATGATAAGATGATGATGATGATGATAATGAAGATGATGATGGCAACAACGACGATGATGATGACAAGTTTGATGATGATGATTGTGGTGATGACAATTGTGATGATGATCATGATGAAGATGACAATTATGATGATGATGAAGATAAAAGTCAGAGTAGAAATGGTACACGTATGGAAACGAATGCATATACATATGTCAGTTGATAAAATTTGTTTCAGTGAGAACATTTTAATAGTTTGAAGTATGATAAAGGTCAATAATGAAAAAACTTACCCGTGATCATATTGATTGTGAAGATAGTATTCATGTAATTGCATTGTGCGTCTTGATGCTAGGAAATATTTAGAATATGATAATAATGGAGGAATTTAGACATTCATAATTATGCTTCTGTCCTTTAGCTAAAAAAAATTAAGTGAGAAAAATTAGAAAGTGAAGAGTTTTCCTTTTTCAGAGGATCATTTTTCAAGACTCTTCATTCAATCATGTTTTAATAATCGCTCAATAACCTTTGACCCACAGACATTTGGAAAGAAGGTAGCAGTGAATGATCTCTCAATCTCCATGTATGAGGGTCAGATCACAGCTCTACTAGGTCACAATGGAGCTGGTAAGACAACCACTATCTCCATGCTGACTGGACTCTTCCCACCGACATCCGGCACAGCGGTGGTCAACGGTCACGACATCTGCATCGACATCGATGGTGTCAGGTCCGACCTGGGTCTATGCCCTCAGCATGATGTCCTCTTTGATGATATGACTGTGGAGGAACATCTGTATTTCTTTGCCACGGTAACTTTAGAGTTAGAGTTAGATAAGATAACGAAAGATTGGCTTTGGTGATAAGTGAATTAAATATTAACTTATTGCCAGGGTAACACTTGGGAGCGCTAGGAGTGTCACGTATGACAGACATGAGCGCTGTACAAGAACCCACTATTATTATTATTGTCAAAGCAGTGTTTTCTTCTGTATCAGAGTTACTTGTTTTTCTTCAACTACATTTAAGTGATTTCGTACTATTAACATTTTTCAAATGTTGCTTTCATGAACATGTGTAGATTTTGATTGTTATTTGCATCATTGCTGATAAGAAACTTTCTCACCATAAACCAATAAACCTGCAAGATAATGTGTCTTTAAGGACCTAGCTAAATACATGTACATGTAAATAATATTCCTAGTTCTGTGATTTGTAAATGAAAGATAAGGTCATGTCATGTGTCAATGTTTTTAAGAGACATTGCACATATTGAGCAATGAATTATATTCAACAATTCTGTATTTATTGTCCTGAAACAGAAATTTATGAAAGAAAATACCTTTGTATAAACAAGCAAAAACAAGGAAGTAAATGTATTCACACACTGAATACATGTACTTACATGTAGATACATTCATCAAAGCATAATTCCAGTGGCAGTTCTTGCTATTGAATTGTTCTTTAATGATAAAGCAAAAGGCAGTCATGTGATGAGTACTTCCTGTTTCATTACCTTAAAATGAAACCACTTAAATTAATAATGAAACTAGGAATAGAAATCACAATGCTCATATTGGTTTAGAAATGATTAATTATACAATTTGTACAGATGTAACTGCGTAATTTGTTATACTTGTTGATAAGGCTTGTTTTGGTCTTTATATGTTTTAGAAAATGTAATTTATAAACATTACACAATCCAAACAATTATAATCACATATGTTTAATGGATGCTATTTCACAGCGTTTTATACATGCCCTAGTTGTTATTAAAACAGGGCCCCGTCTTATAAAGAGTTGATATCAATCGCAACTTATTTGTGATTGATATCAGTAGCAACTATGAACATAAAACACAGGAGATTGCAAACTTGCGATTGATTGGAGGACCTGCGATTGATTTGGATCAATCGCAACTCTTTATAAGACCGGGCCTAGATATGCTCTGATGCTATTGTGAGCAAGGAAGTACATGCAGTCCTTACTGCTATCGATGTAGATTCCCTCCTGTACTTTAGATTGTGATGCTTTGTCCATTGGATTTATGTACAGTCAAACTGCTTTAGTGACCACCTGTCTACAAAGGCCACATTTGTTGTTTCCCTTGAAAATGGTTTCTCATTGAATCATGTACTAAAGGAACCTGTACATAAAGACCACCTGCCTATGAAGACCACTTTTCTTGTTTCCCTTGGGCGGTCGCTATAGACAGGTTTGACTACATGAATCATAATTTGTAATAAAATGTATAATTTTTCGTGCAATGCAGCTGAAGGGTTACCCTCCTAAAGGCGTACAGGATGAGATAGATCGTTACATCACTTCCGTGGGTCTGGAGGATAAGAGGTTTGTCAAGTCTAAGGCTCTCTCCGGGGGTATGAAGAGAAAGCTGTCTGTTGGTATCGCCCTCATAGCTGATTCCAAGGTGAGAAAGCCAACCCTTAATGTTTCAATTTTGGAGTAGCATGTGACTAAGTGAAACACCAAGAAAATCTGTTCATTATGAGATCATATTAGAGACAATACTCGTAAGAGCCATGCTTCACATCCCAAATATGTCTTTATTGGGACCCGATGCATGCTCAACTTTCCAAATAGTCTCAGACTGATACTTGATGAGTCTCCTACAAATTATTGGTATAGGGTGTTCAATCATGTTTAAAAGATTACAGTCAATCAACTGATGGAACTGCATGATCCCAACAGCTAACTGGCAGCCTACACAGACCTCACTCCCAATGACCCAGATTTGGATTGTTTAGGGCAGTTTTTCAATGTGCTGATTGTGGCCAATGGTAGTACAGACCTGCCAACCAGTACGATTTAGTCGTATTTAGTACAATTTTTAGAAGCAAATACGACAGTACGATTTTCCTTAATAAAATACGATTTTCAATTTTTTTTTTTTTTTTTTTTTTTTTTTTTTAAATATTTTTTTTTTTAAATATTTTTTTAATCAATATTTTGTGTGTGCGTCCGCCAAAATGGCAATGTCAATGGCAAAATGTCCATTCTGTCCTGTAAAGTATCCTACAAGCATCTCACATCAGCAATTTGGGGATGTTTATTGGTTCATCGAACACACCAGTCGTGACGAAATAATGCATATTCAACCAATGATCAATAAAAAAAATCTTCCTGTAGGTAGAAACTGTAAGAGGCATTGATTCGCGTAACAATCCGTGTTTATTTTCAAGAATACAACTTTTGTCAGTAAAATACAACTTTGACACTAAAGAATACAGTTTTTGAACTCCAGAGGTTGGCAGGTCTGGTAGTACAGCAAAAGAGTACTTACATCCAAACTCCTTGGAAATGGTAAGGATGTTTATTTTAATGTGATATATGTTTCTGCAAGAATCATACATTGATGATGATGTGGTGATGGTGGTTTGTTTTACCTAAGAAAGCATGTGGATGCTTGTAAGTAAGCAACGTGGAGACCGATGGCCTCAGCTCATCACCAAGGGACTTGGTAATGCAGATTAATGCCTTACCAAAGGGCACTAGGATATCGACTTGGTTTTGAACCCAGGATCTCCCTTTTACAAGCTAGGCCACTGCTCTACCACTGAGCCACCATGCTTCCTCCTTACTATTATCATCATCTTTATTTCTTAACACAGATTGTTATGTTGGATGAGCCAACCTCAGGGATGGATCCTTCCGCACGTCGGTTCACATGGGATCTCCTCCAGCAGCATCGTAAGGGACGTACCATGATCCTCACTACACATTTCATGGATGAAGCTGATCTTCTAGGAGACCGCATCGCAATCATGGCCGATGGTCAGATCAAATGCTGCGGGTCATCACTCTTCCTCAAAAAGAAATATGGTAAGATGAAGTTCTCTTCTGGGAGATACATTTGAGTCTTTTTTTTATAATTAGCAATTTCTCAGAATAGGTCCAGTTTGTGGCCACATAGTTTTTCTGACAATTAAAAACCTGCTAAAGAATGGGTCTGCATTTTTGGAGTTGCTCCAACTAAAACAGCATTGGTAACCAATGAGCAAGCTTACAGGTCATATGTTGTCATTTGTAAGCACACAATGGTCTTTAGTGAGTAGCTGTTTGTAGTATGAAATACAACATGCACATGGAAACATAGAAGATGATCTTGGATGGATGAATCACAAATTTATTTTCAAGGTACAGACAGCATTCTTGTAAAGAATTTCATTTGTGTTCATTTACAGGTATTGGGTATCACATGGTGATCGCCAAATCCGCTGACTGCAATGTGAATGCAGTGACCGAGATCATCAAGGATTACGTCTCTGGAGCACAGATGGAGAACAATGTCGGTGCAGAGCTCTCGTATATCCTACCGGAGGAATCGGTAGATAAGTTTGAGCGTCTCTTCTCACAGCTGGAGACTCAGAAGACAGAGCTAGGGATCGATAGCTATGGTGCCTCGGTGACTACCATGGAGGAAGTCTTCCTCAAGTGAGTCGTTGTGATGAGGAAAGATTATATGAGAGAGTGAAAGAGAGAGAGAGAGAGAGCATGTGAGAGAGGATTGAGAGGGAGAGAAAGGGAGAGTGTGAGAGAGAGAGAGAGAGTCTGTAAAAGCTATGGATTGTTAGCTATGGTACCTCAGTGAGTCGTTGTGATCAGGAAAGATTCAATGAGAAAGAGTGAGAGAAAGAGAGAGATAGGATTTAGAGGGAGAGAAAGGGAGGGAGGTAAAGTAAGAGAGAGTGAAAGAGAGAGAGGGAGGGAGAGAGAGAGAGAAAGGGGAGAAGTGTGAGAGAGAGTCTTTTTGTAAGAATTAGGATTGAAGTCTTTCGCAAGTGGGTCATTTTGATAAGGAGAGATTAAATGAGAGAGAGAGAGAGAGAGAGTGGAAGAGGATAACAGGTATGGTACCTCTGTAACTACGATAGAAGATGTCTTTCTCAAGTAAATCTCTGAACAAGAAAGACAGAAGAACAAAGAGCTCAAATAAAACAATAGATAGGGTTATATTGAGCCCTAAGGACAGTGGGGTAAAATGAAGATTGTCATTGTAGAAGACATATTTTGATGACATCACAAAGGGGTTAGGGAAGGAGACAGGATATAAAACCACCTACCTCTCTCAAAAAGAATATAGGAAGATGCCCATACAGAGATGTATGAAGATTTGATTAAGACATAGATTAGGGATATAATTAGATTAAAGGTAAGATGACTTTACTAGATCAAACTTAAAAAGAGGAAAACATGAGTGGTGGGAGTCAAAGGATGTTCTGTAGAGAATGGAACAAAAACAAAAAAATCCCCACCAGTATCATGCTACATATGTTCTTTTGTATCAACAGTATATGACCATGGACAATTTTGCAAATATTAGACAAATATAATCAACGTTTTGAAACAAGAGGATGGAAAAGTACATAAACCCCTAACTAATTCACTATAAATACAGTTATAATGTAATTGAAACACATTTTCTATGACAGGGTTGGCATGAACATGGGCCAGAATGAGGAGAGTGAACCACGTTACCGAAGCACCTCCAATGCTGAAGCTAGTCTGGATAGTCTACCAAATGGAAAAACGGATGCACCTAAAGAACTGCCAGACCAAGCGTACGACAATGCAGCCTATGTTCTGGAAGAACAAGAGCTTGAATCAGGTATACAGACTGAGACATACCGGTAGACCAACTGGCCATTAGATCTCATGACCCCTCCAAACAATTGTCAGCAGGACCATTGAACTAACATTGTTATTCTGGTGGACTGTCGAAATCAACAGACAGTTTAAAAGAATATTGGTGTCTGAAGTAAAAGGAAGCAAACAAGAATGGTATTTGTAATTTTGTGATCAAGATTCTTTAGATACATTTTATCATCTGTTGGACTAAATAACATCATATTCATTGCAAATTCCTTTATATGCAAAATTGGGGTTATAAAGAGGATGGACAAACTATGTTCAACTGTGGCAGAGAGGAGTAGACAATAGGAGATCTTTTGTCTGTCCCATCTTACCAGAACCATGTACTCTCACAATCTAGAAGGGTTTGCACCTGAAGACTGGATCCAGCATCTTGCACTGGACAGGGATATTGTAGTGATGCAAGAAGAAGATTGCCAAAATCTCTTGACTAGCTAGCTGTACCTTTTTGATGTTACCCAATGTAAATATTGTATACTTTAGCTTTGTTTAACAATGACTTTCTTTTTTTCTTTCAAATCCGTTTCTTTTCATTTTACAGAAATGCAGCATGAAAGCGTTAACAGCCAAGGATCTATAATTGTTCCTGATCTGAACACAGGCATTGTGCTGTACTGGCAGCAGTTCCGTGCCATGTTCCTGAAACGAGTCCTGCACACGTGGCGCAACCTGATCCTCATCGTGGTCCAACTCTTCATCCCAATTATCTGTACCCTGTTTGCTATCCTAGCCACCAAGTTCTTGCCCTCTCCCGGTAATTCTACGCCTATCACACTCAACATGGAAACCTACGGCAAGGACACCATTGCTCCCTTCACGTCCTACGATCCATCCAGCTCAGTCATTGATCAGCTCACCAGGCAGTATGCAGACCAGTTCATCAACACTGGCACAACAGCAGTCAACGTCTCCACCAATGCTACCTATGACATGTTGGACTACCTGATTGACAGGCGAGAGGAAACCTTGTCAGAATTCTTCCGGGTTAACTTGATCTCGTCAACGTTTGATGATGTGGTCTTGCCGAGCAACGCGACGCGTGTTGAAGGTGTCGCCTTGTTCCAGGAGCAACCGTACCACGCCCCTCCCATTGCCCTCAATGCCTTGGACAATGCTCTCCTACGTTACTATCTGAATGGCAGCTACCAGATAACCACCATCAATCATCCATTGCCAAGGACGATTGAAGAACAGGCTAGTGACCAGCTTAACCTTGGGGTGCAGACAGGGTTTGCGATATCTTTCAACATGCTATTTGGGATGTCATTCCTGGCCAGTAGCTTTGTGGTCTTCCTCATCAAGGTAAGAATTAGGATCCGTTATCAAGAAGAGAAATACACTCGATGTAATGTGCAAACAAACAAACTTGTACATCATTTGCAATTCCGACCAGTTTTGCCGTAAATATACACAAGTCATTTGAGTCTAGAATCAAGTCTACTTTATGCATTTAATAATAATAATAATAATAAATAAACCTAACCTATATAGCACCAAATGCACTCTATGGAGTGCTCAAGGCGTATGTAGAAATAATTACGAATTAAACAGAAGCATTTTTACATGATTTTTAAAGAAATCGGATGTTATACACTTTTTGATGTCTTCAGAAAGGCTATTCCATAAAGTAGGACATAGGATCTCCCCCCCCCCCCCCCCAAGTTTTATAAGGTTTTAAAGAATTTGTTGAGGATACCAATATGAATCATAAGAATAATGTTCTATTTTTCTATGGATAATTTTTTGCTAACTTTCCACTGATGATGTACTGGTAATTGAAATAAGGAGTAAGATCTAATGTTTCATGTCAAATCCTTACTACTTTTTGTGTTCTTTTTCACTTCAGGAGAGTACAGTCAAATCGAAGCATGTCCAGTTCATCAGTGGTGTTCGCATCTCTAACTTCTGGTTCTCCACCTTTCTTTGGGATCTCATCAACTACCTGGTGCCCTGCATCATCTGTGTTCTCATCTTCATCATCTTCAGCATCGAAGCTTACGCTGGTATCAACAGTCTCTCGGTACTCCTCATCCTCTTCCTACATGGCTGGGCCATCATACCCCTCATGTACCTCCTCTCGTTCTTCTTCACCACCCCATCCACCGGTTTTGTCGCTCTCACCATGTTCAACATCATCTTCGGGTCAACGACCTACATTGCCGTGGAGATCTTGTCGGTGCCTGAGCTGGGGCTAGTTTACATCGCTGATATTCTGAGCTGGACGTTCATGTTCTGTCCATCGTTCTGCCTAGGATCAGCATTGTCTAACTACTATAACAACTATCAAATCGTCAAGATCTGTACCGAGAACGAAGTTGCTAGACAGCTCTGCAATTCTCAACCAGGTAATTACATAGACATGTAGCATCTCCTGCATACATGCCAACCGTTCCGATTTTAACGGAACTGTTCCGTTTTTGAAGTTTTTATAGCCCTAAAAAACGGAACGTTCCGATTTTGGGGAATTTGGCTTTCCATACATAGCATTGATCCGATCGAGTGCTGAACGGATTGCATTGCGCAAGGTGCGTGCAGCGTGCACTGATATGTACATACAGTGGCAGCGTGTTGCTGCGCGCCACGTGCACTCTGATATGTGTTTCCGTACGTAACATTTCCGTACGTAAATACTTGCGCTGGCAAATCTCGTAAGTATAATTTCTATACGTTTGCATGCGCATATCAGCATGCATGCATTCGCTATCGCGGCTAGCGCACTGTATAGGGTCCCCATGCAAAGTACGTGTTTCGAGGTACCGTATACTTTGTGATTTGTGATTTGTCTCGGAAGAAAATCTGTCAAAATGAGCGGAACAGCAGCAAGACAAATTCAGAAGTACAAACAGGAATACAAGGAACAATTTCCCTTTATTAGAGCAAGCACAAAAGGGGAGGAATATGCATACTGCATTTATTGTCGGCAAGATGTCTTGTTCTGCTGACATTGATTTTGACAACCTCATTTACATGTAGCTCAATGAGTTACAATAATTTTGGATTGTTGACTGTTGTCTGGAAAGTTGAATACCATTATTGCCAGTCTCATTTTATGCATAGATCTATGTCATGTATAATTATTTAAAAAGTAACTAGACTTAAATGCATCACTTTGCATGAGTGGCTAATTAAATCTAGATCTATGTCTATTATCTGCTCTGCCTCTGCCAAGGATAAATTAAAATGTGGAATTCACTTCAATCACTTTTTTGTTTGGTATGACACAAATATTACCCATAAACTTGGGTTGAATTTTAGGGGAAATGGTCCCTAAAATAGGCTCAGATTGCACCAGAGAGCATCTGGAAACCCAGAGCTTCCAGGGCCCTAAAGCGGGCCCTGGACCCCGGCTAAAAGTACTTCGCGCTTCGCGCTCGTGATGTGCGCTTTGCGCACATAGTGTACAGATTTCTGATTTTCAAATGTTGGCATGTATGCTCCTGGTGAAATGCCCGTATGATAGATTTGGCTTTTGAGCTGAATTCTTTGTTTTTCATTCATTTGTTAAAGGGAATCATAATCTTGATATTTTCCAGAAAAAAATGTTTCTTTGAAATTAATTCAAAAAGTATTTACAATATATCCTTTGAAAATTGCAAACTGAACATGTGTGAAGTCCAGAGATAATCAGTCCTGGAGAAAATTAGACCACCATGAAAACAGAATATTATTGTTTGGTATCTGTTAAGACTAGTATTACTTTTTAATTCGGAATGAACCACTGGCTGTAATGAATTATACTTTTTAGAATGATGATTTATAATTCCTTAGAAGTTAGAACTCGGTACAATAAAATCTAAAGAGGTTTAAGAGGTATGATAGATTGTATACTGTTTACATGTTTTTTTTTTCAATTCCAAATTAACTTTCACCAGACATCCATTTCCAAGAGAACATGTATGCTTGGGAGGAGCCTGGTATCGGGAAGTTTTTGATCTTCCTGGCAATAGAGGGAGTCCTGTACTTTGTGCTGGTCTTCATCTACGAGTTGGGATGGTTCAGGAATCTCAGATACTTGCTGCAGAAGAAGAGGGCCATCAATGTGATAGAAGATACACCAGCTAACACTGTGAGTTACAAAGACAGTAGTGATGATGATGATGATGATAATGGGGACCGTGGTAGTGATGTTGGTAATGGTGATGATGGTGGAGTTGATGATTATATTTATAATGACAATGATGGTGATGGTGATTGTTGTGATAATGATCTTGATGGTGGTGTTGATGATCATGAAGACGATGAAGAGGATGAGGGGTGGGTTGTTGATGCTAATATTGGTAATGATGATGATGGTGGAGTTGATGATTATGATGGTGATGGTAATGTCACTGACTGTATTGGTGATTGTTGTGATATTGGTGTTGCTGATGATAATGATGGTGATGAATACTCTGGTTAGAATATACACTTAAAGCCCCACTGCACTACTTAAAGCTACTTGCTCCCTCTCTATAGAAAACAATGCCTAAGCGATGACCATCGTTCCCCCATGATCCTCTTTTTCTTATGTTAATTGAGAGCTGAGTTGATGAGTTAACCACCTGTCAGTGACTACGCTAGGTGGTCTAATCCTTCCTGGCCAAACGAGTGCAGACGGGCTTTAAAGGTACTATGTCTCATTTGCAGGCCAAAAAATGAAAAGGTTAAACTCCAACGGCATTTGAAAGTAAATACTAATTTAGAACTTCCCTAAAATTAGGGGGGCTTGAAAATGTCTTTAAGTGGGAAAATGAGGACTAGAGAAAAGGGACATAGTATCTTTAAGACTAATGCACATTTTTCCATTTCACCTGTACCTCTTTGTGAAGGAGGATGAAGATGTTGCAGCAGAGAGGAAGCGTATCCAGACCACGCCCAAAGAAGAGCTCTTCAGAACCAACGTCCTGGTGATGGAGGATCTCCGTAAGATCTACCCAGGATCCAGGAGGAAGGCTCCGTTGGTGGCTGTCCATGGGACCTCCCTGGGGGTGCCTCCCAGGGAATGCTTTGGGTTGCTAGGGGTTAATGGAGCAGGGAAGACCACTACGTTCAAGATGCTGACAGGGGATGAGGATGTGACGGGAGGAGAGGCGTACGTTGAAGGCTTCAGTATCAAGGATGATTTGCAGATGGTAGGTGATTCTGGCATTGTTGGTCAAACAGTTTTTGAGCGTCAAGTAACGCCTGGGTAGAATGCTCCACAGGGAGTGGGCAAGTACTGAATCAGATGACCGGGGTAATAGCATATCTGTAAAGCGCTATTAAGTGCTATATGAAAGCGGAATATTATTATTATTATTATTCTGTTGTTAAGCAGTTCAGGGGGGGGGATACAAAGATATTTTGTGAATGAGTGAATACTTATTTTGGAACAAGATCCAAACATATTGGACAGGAAATTGCCTTCTTATTATACACTTTAAATACTTGAAAATTGGAATAGAAACATGTAGGACCAAGATGGACATGTATATGTAAAAATGAGAGTAGTTTATTCTATGCATCCCTAAAAGCCATTAATAAACTAGCTATTTTCTGAGATCAGACTTTCTGACCGATTGAACTACACAACTCCTTACATTCCCTACACCATTTGTTCAGCAGTCAAGTATAAATGTTTTACAGTGGTGAACAATGTTGAACACTTCCCTTGTAGAATGAGATAATGTATTAATTACAATTCTTAGAAGTCTCCACAGTGGAATATCTACCAGGAAATCTATCATGTTTCATTTTAAGTTCCTTGTCAGTATTTTGGAAGATTTACAAGCTGTCTGCTTTTTCATGAAATAGGTTCAGCAGCGTGTTGGGTACTGCCCTCAGTCTGACGCCTTGATTGATCAGATGACATGCAGGGAGACATTGTTCATGTATGGTAGACTGAGAGGTATGCCTGAGGTTAGGATACCACCTCAGGTTCATAAGCTGCTTCATATCTTCAGACTGGAACCTCATGCTGATAAACAAGCCAAGGCACTCAGGTAAGATAACAATTGTGCATAATTTTGAAGTTATAGAAAGTAGGATATTTTTGTTGGAGAGCATCCTATTGGCTGAAAAGATGCCATGTGACTCTTGACATTTTGTTATATGTGCAAGAGCATGCTATGTAACAACTTTTTTTCATGGTAAAATGCAAACAAAATAAAATACGACTTTGCACCGCTCTTCCCTGTGTATGCCCATTGCTAGCATTGTCTTAGCTGCACGCATCTGACGCCTGAATCCAAAGGATCGCAAATACCCTCAATTTTATATAACAAATATTGCGTGCGTCTGTTGTTCAATATACCATATATTCACCTCCAAATTAAGAATTTATCAGTTTTCCCAAGAGGTCTTTATATACAGGTTTCTTTGTATATTGCATTTTTTCCTTGGCTATAGTATAAGTTTCAAATCTTTAAAAAAAAAGAGGCAAGTGGGGAAAAAAGCTTAAGAATTTCATAATAAAATTTCATATTTATATTCATAAATCCAGAAATTCATGGAATGAAATGCAAAGTACACACTAACAGTAATGCCATGTAACAATTTCTTTTTTAAAGATTATGTTTCACTTTCATCAATCTTCATAGAAATTGCTATCATTCAGGCCATAACTATTTCAACACCTCAATCTTAACAACGTTTGTTTAATTTGTGTACTAGCTCTTTCATATGTATTTCCATCTTTGTTTATTAACAATGTTTTCTACTGGAATCTATTTCTCTCCCTCTTCCATGTGTAGTGGCGGTAACAAGCGTAAGCTGAGTACAGCCATAGCCCTGATAGGTGATCCACCCATCGTCTTCTTAGATGAACCATCCACCGGTATGGATCCGGTTACTAGGAGGTTGCTATGGGATGCACTCTGTAAGGTGCGAGATGAAGGCAGGTGCATCATCTTAACATCACACAGGTATGACAAAACATCAATTGATCTCTAAAATTATGTGTCACATATTTAACTAAGTATTAAGTTATTATCTCTTTTGTTATTTAAAAAGTATTGAAGCAATTCTTTTCTTTTAACACACAAAACCTTCATTACATAGTTTATCCAGATTACAGTATACTTAAGTACATCTACATGAAATGTACATGTTATTTGTAAAGTGTACAGTGTTTGATATTTAAGCAGAGACATTAGCATCATTGCTTTAGTTTATTTTCATACCAAAGTTTTCTTGTCTAGACTTCTTGTTACATATAAGTTTGTTAATAAAAAGTTACATTGATTGAAATTGAGGATATACTGGTGGTTTTGTTTATATCTTCTTCCTCAGCATCCATGTTCTTGCTCATACTAATGTATTGTGGCATAAGGAATCCTTATAGGTGAAGTACAGACCTTGGAAAATCTATCAGTCTGTCTCTGTCTATCTCTTCTCTTTTAAGATCCGGAGGGGTTCAAATTTGAGGCTAAATCATACATCCTGTAATAGATGGGTGTAGTGTAGTGATATGACAAATATTGTGCATTTCTTGGCTTTGCCAAATAATTACTGAGAGAGAGAAAAAAAATATTTATAATGATCTATGGTCTCCTAATGTCCTCGACAGCATGGAGGAGTGTGAAGCCCTGTGTACCAGGCTTGCTATCATGGTGAATGGAGGCATCAAGTGTCTAGGATCAACGCAGCATCTTAAGAGTCGCTTCGGTCACGGCTACACCCTCCTTGCCAAGGTAGCCATCACCATAGAGGGCGGTATTCCAGATCTACAACCTCTCAAGAATTTCATCATGGCCGAGTTTCCAGGTGAGATGAAGATTTTGATAGGATTTGTTTTGATTATTAGACCCACTTGTGGCCCAGATTTTGATGGTAATCCGTCAGTTGGAGTTGGTCTGGCAGTGTGTCACGGCACATCAGTACTATCAAACAGGAGAGTTGTCAAAGTAATCAACGCGTAAAGTGTACCAATCAACCAAAAATGTTTTGTTTTGTATGTTATGGGTTCCATGTCCCTCTACTAAATTAAAATATAAGACCTTCAAATATTTCTTCTATAAAGAATTACATTTCAAGCCCTTTTATTTTGAAGGAAGTTCTAAATTAGTATTATCTTTCAATTGCCATTGGCATTTAACTTTTTAATTTTTTTGAAAAACATGTAATGATCCCCCGACCAACAAAAGTTTCCTGTATCATTTTGGTCTCATTCTATTTTCTGCCATCAGGGAGCACTGTGAAAGACGAGCATCAAGGGATGGTCCACTACCACATCACCGATCCATCACTAACATGGGCAAAAATATTTGGGACTATGGAAAGGGCGAAGACCATCTATAACATAGAGGACTACTCGGTCAGTCAGACCACGTTAGAACAAGTCTTTGTCAACTTTGCTAGGATGCAGAGGGAGGATCTCAATCTCTCATAGACATAGAGGCTATTTTCATATCCACACAAATATATTATTTTTTAGTATATATTGATGACAATGTGACAAAATGGAATATTTCAGAAATGATGATTAGGGTATTTTGCATTTAATAAGTGACTTTGAAATGAAATTATGAAGCTGTAAAATGATTGACAATTAATCATGAAGAATAATAGTATACCAGTCTCCGATTTTTGCAATATGTTATGATTTTGTGTAGTTTATACTGTACATAATGCCAAAGACTAATTTTTTTTTAAACTTCTGTCATAGACTTATATGCATTGATATTTTTAGATACATGTAATATATATTTGAATAATATATGTTCTTAGAGTTTACAGTATAAGGTAAAATTAGAGTATAGTATCGTTATTTCTTATCATCAAATTCATATTTTCTTTTGATTGTTCATTGTAAGATAATAAGAAAATACAGAGAGCATGGATATGCATAATTGTAATTATTTGTTGATTGGTGCAGCTGATACATGTTGATGTAGTCGCATGAAATGAAATGTCATATTTAGTGGCACATGTAATATAACAGACCAAGAGAGAAACCAAGAACTACCTGGGAGGGTAACATTAAGATGTAGAGTGGGATGTTGACACCCTAGGGAGTGTACTAGGATGGCAGAAAACAGAATTGTATGGAGAATGTTGCGATCAACCTCCAAGTTCAGAGAAGATACCTTGATAGATAGAATATGTGTATTCTAAAACTCGAGCATTCCAATAATGTAAGTACAGGTACATTTAATGTACAGTTTTGAACTCATGTGTGATGACATTCGTAGACATGCAAGAAGAAAACCGACATGAAAAGCTTTTTCTGTTCCTAATGACAAGAGCTGTCATTTTTATCTCTGAACAAACTCTTTTCAAATCTGGTAGATTTGGTAGATTTTACAGCTGTTATTGTGATGTTTCAACATTATGCTTTGTATAGTGTATATAAGTAGTTGGTATATTGTCCCAATGCATCCAGCTCTCTTCTGGATGTACTCTCTTGTTTTTTGCCTTTTTTTCTTCTTCAAAATTTACTGCTCTCATCTGGAGCATGGTCATAATTCCAAACTAGATGTAGATAAAGATGTAGAAATTTCTCTTCATTGTTTGCATACTGTACCTGAAGCCCGTTAGTGAACAGTGGAATACATGTATGTCAAGTTTTCATCGCAGCGCATCGGTATCTTTTTAGTTCCCAAAAACATTTGTGTCACCTGTACACCTGTTGTATTACCTCAATTTTTTGCACATTGGGTATCAGTAGTACTGTATAATTGTATGTCAACATGCGTTTAGTGTGCCTTTTATTTACAGTGGCTTATTCTAGGGAAACTAGTATATTAATTATGCAATTTTGTATCAGTCAAATTACTTGCGATGTTACTGTATATGTATATGTTTTGATCAATTAGAAAAGAAATGAACCTCTTATAGAATTATGAGAAATATTGTTTATATTAATTTATGAATAAACTTGTCTGGTAATTCACTGCACAGTGTATTTCTTATTCAGCTCTGCACATGTATTTCATTGTAGGCCTATGTGGAACATATATCAAAGTGCAAATGTACTACTGTATGTCAGTCGTGAGATGTCCTTGAACTGTTGAATGTGTATGCTCTTTCACAGGTTTCTGCTGAGTATGGAGGACCTGAAATACAGGTATATCAGAAGAAGAAAAATGTGACTTTATATCAAAGGGCATTTGTGATTTATGCTATTATTCCTAATGCATTTTTATATTATTTACCAACCAATTTATACACCTTTAAGCCTGTCTGTACTAGTTTGGCCAGGAGGGATTAGACCACCCAGGATGGTCACTGACAAGTGGCTATCTCATCAACTCAGCTCTCAATAAACATAAGAGGATCACGGGGGAACCAATGGTCACCGATTAGGAATTGTTTTCTATATAGAAGGAGCAAGTAGCTACCTACAAGTAGTACAGTGGGGCTTTAAGTGAACACAATTAGTAGATAAGGTTAAATCCTCAATCAGAATTTCACAGTATCATCAGATTCTTTTGTTGTTTTATTATTTTTTAAATGATGAAAGTGGTTTTATCGTAGTGTAAGAGATACATTTATTCTTAATTTAATGGCATATCGAGGTTCCCATAGACTGTCTTATGTTGGACTTGGCATTGGTCTCTCAAGGGAAGTGCAAATCGTGGTCACAAATCTACAGAATTGACATTTTTGTATGGTTCATTGTTGAAGGAAAAAAATAGTGAGAGATCATAATTTTACATCTGGTTCAAGACTTTTTAGGGGCATAAATTGTCCACCATAGTACAAGTACAAGACTTAAGTATAATTGAATTTGAGTATTTTTTCCCCCTCTTCAACAATGAACCATAAAAATCTGTATGAAAGATATTTTTATATTGATTTTATCTTTAATATAACCTTTGCTAGGTGAATAAAATGTGAAATGATAATGTTTATTCAATTCTATATGTTATGCTAAAGAGGAGTAGTGTGTGTGTCATTTTGCCAACATGTTCTGTAGTTCAGTTGCTCACATATTTCATATCTTTATTACTTATGTGTACATGTTCATCTGTCATTTTCGAGAACATTAAAAATCTAATTATATCATCAATTACTAGTCGCCACCATCAACACAATCATAAGCCCCCCCCCCCCCCCCCCCCCCCCCACTCTCCCAAACCAATTTATTAGCATCAGAAATACCAGTGACATGTACCTACACCACTCTAAACCGTCATGGTTTTTAACGTTTGCAGGCCAAAAAATGAAAATAAGGTCAAGGTTAACGACTATTAATTGTCGAATTGACTTAAGAGCTATAGAGCCAGTAAAGTAATAGTCTGATTTTCAGACCGTTGTACCGAAATGGTCGTACGTTTTATGCTGCGCAAAAATTCAATCAGTTTGTATGTTATTACCAAAGAAGAAAACGAGCCAGTCAGTCACTTAATAGTGTCCGACAGTGAAGTCTAGCAAGTAAACGGGTTTCTTTGCATAATTAGAATATAAGGACGCTGCTAACGTTTAAATTTCACAGATAGGACATACACAACATATTCATAATTCCTGCAAAGTTCTACAGAATTTATCTTTAAAGACCGTCACCACTACTGGGCCAGAAGAGATTAGACCACACAGCGAGCCAGCGAGGTCACCGTGACAGGTGGCTATCTCATTAACTCAGCTCTCATTTAACATAAGAAAAAGAGGATCATGGGGGACCTACAGGCACCGATTGGGGAAGTTTTCTATATAGAGGGAGCAAGTAGCTTCAAGTAGGACAGTGTGCCTTTAAGGTACTAAGATCCAGAAATGTGAAGCATTAAGATTTACTTTTACACCCCTTTGAGCAAGTGCTTGCCCATCACTCCAAATTTGTGTACATCGACAATTTTGACATACAGCCATAGAAAACAAATTATTAGACCAAGCTCCTTTTATTGAGGTATCTATGCATCATTGTAACAAACAATTGTCGTACTTCCTTGATTGCATAACATATTTCAGCAATGGTACCTGTATTTCATGTCCTTACCACCAAATCAAAATTACCAGTAGCCTTTTGTGGTCTAATAATTCCATTCCCAAGGCTGTATGTGTAGAAGATTGAACACAAAGAACAGTTGAGGCCGGCTGGTTATGATTTGCACAATATTTATAACAGCTTCATTAAAGTTCTGAGTATAAGTCAACAGTGTATTAATGAAAGATTACATAGATATAAGTTCCATGATTTTGCTTCAAGCTTTCACAAGTTTGACTACTCTACTGAATAATATGACATAATAAAATATGGTACATAAACATGGACAATGCAGCAAGCACACTTGCGAGTGAAGCTTTTTCTCAACAGAAAACATGTATTTGAAAAATGAACAAATAACCTGACATTGTCATTAGTTACAAGTATAGAAATGTAACTTGAAGAAATGTGTGGTACAAGACTCATACTTTCAGTTGCTTTATAAACAAATACACATATCTTCATCCCAATAGTGGCTTAATTGAGATTTTGTTTCCAGTTTAATTGTTCTATAAGGCCCATTTAGTCGGGTATTATACTGCTTTTTAAAAAAAATTGACTAGAACAGCAATAAATGAAATGTCACAAGCATATGACACATGACATTTTATACTAAGATTTTTAAAAATCATGTAAATTTAATAATTGCAGGCTATTTTCCAACCTGTGACGTACATATCCGAACAGCAAAATTAAAAAAAGTATTTAAAAGGTGATTGTTTTTGGTTGTTACCCCAGTTTCTACTAAAACTCTTTTATTTAATCATCCTAATGTAAATCACAATTTCCACAAAAAACAGAAGCCCTTCTAGCGAGTCCATAGAATATTATCGCTTCCTTGCATCCATCTTCTTCTTTCCATAGTCCATCTTCCTTCCATAGTTGCGCTTCTTTTGACCTTTAGGGATAGAGTTGAACCTCTCTTGTAGCTCCATATATTTTCTCTTGTTATACCTGTGTGGAAAGGGAGACATATATGTTAGTTACAAACAGTCATATTCTTAATAACAGCAGTCCATTTCCACTAGGACATACTAGTATTCTAATGACTGAGAAGCAGTATTTTGCTGGGGGTAATCAAACAAATTCAAATAAAGATTATAGAATTACACAGAAACTATATCTTTAAACATCACCATCTTTGTTAACTTATAGTTTTGTATTAAAGCCCCATTGCACTACTTATAGTAGGGAGGTGTAACCCCCCCCCCCCCCCCCCTGGCCAAACTAGCACACATGGGCTTTAAGTTTCAGGATGAAACACTAAAAATCGGTTACTATGTGAAATCATAAATACATGAATAGTACAACACAGGCATATATGTATGCTTTGGTATCTCTGTGAAACATATGACATGTGTACTGCACATTTTTTGTTTTATTTGACGAATACGTCTTTTCCCTATCCAGAATGTAACAGGGGCTGGAATGTATGTGAAGTAGACATTTAATTGGCTATTCAATACTACCCTGAATTCATCAAGGTTAAGAAATCTTTTGATTGGGCAGATGAATCATGGATTTCTTTACAAATGTAACATAATTTCCAACCTGCCTTTGACGACATTTTTGGAAGAAATTGCAATAACACAAGATATGAAAATATATAAATGTAAAGCAATACTTATTTAGTTTCCCATTTGGTCATGTAAATAGTAAAACTTTCATAATTGCAGGGTACTGTATGCCTTCTATCGGACTCTCCTACAAAAAACACTTCCTGAAGAATGAAACAAGGACAAATATTATTTCCAATGAAAAAGATTTTCCAGTAACTTACCTCCTCGTATCTGAATCTGCCAGTAATTCATCCACCAGGGTTTGCTTGCGTTGTTTCTTTGGAACGCGAGAATGGTAGAAGTCTACAGGGTTGTCCACAACCGTACCAATCTGGTAAGAACAAGAATATTGGTATTAAAAAAGTACATGGACATATTCAGACAATGCATTTTGAAACTTGAAGCAAATGGGAAGCATTCAGCATTTCAGGAGCTAGAACGATACTCCTCCACATACATGTAGGAAGACAAAGATTGAGAAAGCTCACAAATGTTTTGCACCTTTTCACAACCTTCTCCTTATGGTATGGGCTATCAGTGTTATCAAAAGCATTAGCCTCTAAGCATCTCAGCACAATTACAAAATGCATTCAGAAAAAGTGGAGATAAAAAATTCAAAGTTTTCTTTAACATCAAATTTTTAATTTACCAGAGACTTTCTAATATGCTTTTTCAAGCAGTTTAACATAGATTTTATATACACGTTAACCACATCAACGCTGGTTAAATAGCGTGAACAATAAGAAATCTACTCATCATATTACATACAGATACAATTGAAATACATACCTGGACAAACTTTGGGATAGCTGCCATATCATTGCTTTTGTAGAATCTCTTTGGATCGAGAGTCGATCTCATCCGAATCACCTTGATGTCATTCCGTAGCTCCTCCGTCATCTCTGGAGCCTTCATGTTGAACCACCCATCTCCCTTCGTTGACTCTCGCTCTTGCTGTTTGGGGGTAATTGAGTAAATGAGTAGGTGTAACTATTGAACTGAAATCTAAAATCTTCTTAGTTTTAAGTGCTTCAAAAGACTATTCAAGAAAACACGATAATTATTTTAAAATGTAAATGTAGAGTCAAACATGCTAGTAACCATCAGTACTACAGACAAACATCATTTATTTCATTGTCAAATCCATATTTCTTTAGGGGATTTCATGAGCTCCCACTAATATTTGCTGCTACTGGTATTTCTGATGACAAACTGATACTCAGATTGTCACCATCAGGCGCGGATCCAGGGGGGGCCGAGCGGGCCTTGGCCCCCCCCCCCCCCCCCCCGCAAAAAAAAAAAAAAAAAAAAAAAAAGAGAAAAAGGAAAAGAAGCGAAAGGGAAAGAGGAGAGAAAGGGAAAGAAAGAAGAGGAAGAAGAAAAGAAAAGGGGGAAGAAGGAGATCGGGGGGTCGAAAGGGCTTTGCCTCCCAGGCTGTTGACCCCCCCCCCCCCCCATAAAACAAATAAGAGAGAAGGAAGGAAAGGGAAAGGAAAAGAGGAGATACTGGCGTACTGATAGGGAGGGGGGGGGGGGGGTTAGTGGAAATCAAATTCAAATGTGGTTTATTTCTAATTCCACAACGGTGGATTACAAATAATGCTGAAATTACATCATTTCCTCACTTTTTCCTCACTTTTTAGTAAATTATACGTTTGTATGTGTTTGTTGGAAAATGACCAATTCCTAAATTTGCAGCCAGGCAAGAAATATGATTCTTGAGATTCCTACATGTCAGGGCCCGAGGTACGGTGGGGATCGGGAGCCTCGAGCTCTCCCCCCCCCCCCACACTTTGTTTGAAAAAGTATATTAAAGAGAAATAAAATAGAATGAGAGCAAGAAAGAAAGAATAGTTAACTGCCAGTGTTAACAAATAATGAGGCATCAAAATATGCTCATCTGACCGTGATTAAATGCCTAAAACCCCTAAGCTTCCGTGGGCTCTGCCCCCTGGATCCCACCAAGGGCCCTACGGCGGGCCCTTAGATGCTCATCTGACGGTAATTTAATTCCTAAAGCCCCTGATTTTTGGGGGGCTCCGCCCCCTGGACCCAACGCCAAATAGTTACCTGCCAGTGTCACGAAATAATAAGGTATACAAAAAAAAAATATGCTCATATGACCTTAATTAAACGCCTAAAACCTCTGAGCTTCCGGGGCCGGCTTCGCCGCCGCCCCAGACAAGGATTAACAATCGAGAACGGTACAGCGAATCGTCTTTTTTCTCTCATAATCTTATGAAACGTGAAGCTTTCGCGCTTTGCGCGGGAGGGGAACCTAAATTCAGACAAGGATTCAGAGGCGAGAACAGTTATACCAATCTTTTATGATTTAATAAAACGTAAAAGCTTCCGCGCTTCGCGCGGAATGGAGGGGGGGGGAACTTAATTCCGACGAGGATTATTTTCGAGAGCGGTACAACGAATCGTCTTCTTTCTCTAATGATTTAATGAAAATTAAAAGCTTCCGCGCTTCGCGCGGGAGGGGGGAACCTGAATTCAGACGAGGATTAAGAGTCGAGAACTGAACAGCAAATCGTCTTTTTTCTCTCATAATCTTATGAAACTTTAAAGCTTGAGCGCTTCGCGCAGGAGGGGGGGGGGGGAGGGGACCTGAATTCAAACGAGGATTAAGAGTCGAGAACGGTACAACGAATCGCCTTCTTTCTTCAATAGTTTAATGAAACGTCAAAGCTTCCGCGAATCGCGCAGGAGGGGGAGGGGGTAAACTAAATTCAGACGAGGATTAAGAGTCGAGAACTGTACAACGAATCGTCTTGTTTCTTTAATGATTTAATGAAACATAAAAGCTTCCGCGCTTCGCGCGGGAGGGGGGAGAATCGAAATTCAGACGAGGATTAAGAGTCGAGAACTGTACAGCGAATCGTCTTCTTTCTCTAATAATTTAATGAAACGTAAAAGCTTCCGCGCTTCGCGCGGAGGGGGGGGGGGAGGGAACTGAATTCAGATGAGGATTAAGATTCGAGAACGGTTCAACGAATTGCCTTCTTTCATATAGTTTAATGACACGTCAAAGCTTCCGCGCTTCGCGCAGGAGGGGGAGAGGGAGGGGGGAACTGAATCTAGACAAGGATTAAGAGTCGAGAACGGTACAACGAATCGTCTTCTTTCTCTAATGATTTAATGAATCGTAAAAGCTTCCGCGCTTCGCGCGGGAGGGGGGGGGAGAATCTAAATTCAGTCGAGGATTATTTGAAAACGGTACAACGAATTGTCTTTTTTCTCTAATGATTTAAGGAAACTTAAAAGCTTCCGCGCTTCGCGCGGGAAGGGGGGAGAATCTAAATTCAGACGAGGATTATTTTTCGAAAACGGTACAACGAATTGTTTTTTTTCTCTAATGATTTAAGGAAACTTAAAAGGGGGGGGGAACCTGAATTCAGACGAGAATTTAGAGTCGAGAACTCTACAACGAATCGTCTTCTTTCTCTAATAATTTAATACATCCTAAAATTTTCCGCGCGTCGCGCGATTGGGGAAAAACTAAATTCAGACGAGAATTATTTTCGAAAACTGTACAACGAATCGTTTTCTTTCTCTAATAATTTAATAAATCCTAAAATTTTCTGCGCGTCGCGCGAGAGGGGTCCACGATTTACAAGCATCGCTTCACAGTGGACCTCTCCGTTTCCAGCTTAACATTAATAAATTATTTTAAGCAGCAATATTTCTTGATATTCAAATATGTAATTCTGTTAAATTCATATTTTGTATTGCATGGTTACTACTTTGATTGTTTATTGTAATGATATTTCTATGAATACTGTATTCTTTTGCTGGAAATGAGAAAAAATAAAATTGAATTGAATTGAAAAAGAGGGGAAAAACTAAATTCAGACGAGAATTATTTTCAAGAACTGTACAACGAATCGTTTTGTTTCTCTAATGATTTAATGAAACGTAAAAGCTTCCGCGCTTCGCGCGGGAGGGGGGGGGGGGGGAGAATCTAAATTCAGACGAGGATTATTTTCGAAAACGGTAAAACGAATCGTTTTTTTTTCTCTAATGATTTAAGGAAACTTAAAAGCTTCCGCGCTTCGCGCGATAGGGAGGGGGAACATGAATTCAGACGAGAATTTAGAGTTGAGAACTGTACAACGAATCGTTTTCTTTCTCTAATAATTTAATAAATCCTAAAATTTTCGGCGCTTCGCGCGAGAGGGCAAAAACTAAATTCAGACGAGATTTATTTTCGAGAACGGTACAACGAACCGTCTTCTTTTTCTAATAATTAAATGAAACGTCAAAGCTTCCGCGTTTCGCGGAGGAGGGAGGGGGAAATTCGCCCCTCCCTGCACCGACCCCCCCCCCCCCCCCCCCCCGCATCACGTCACTGTTGGTCACCATTACGTACCAATATTTGGCTCGCATAATTTCAAATTTGGGCCCCCCCCCCCTAAGAAATCCTGGATCCGCGCCTGGTCACCATGTGTTTTGCTAATAATGATGATACTCCTTGTTAAAGACTTACAAAGTTACTAAATAGCATATTAACATGTGGGAGAATACATTACTTTGAATGCAATCAACAGTGAAAGGGTTAAAGTTAAAGTTAAATGAAACTTCACAATGTTTCAGCCATTGATGAAAGAGACGACAACCAACACACAATTATGGTCACAAATGGTGTGCTATAACAGCACCATGGTGGAATATATCACAAGAGAACTGGATCATTCTTAAAGACTTGAACAGTATTTTACCTTTCTCTGCTTCTTCAGCTGTCTCATTCCAATCTTGTACGGAGGTATGCTGTGCTTCTTCTCAAAATCTGGAGTTAACACACTCTTCTTTATCAGCTGCAAAACAGAGAGAAAATGCAAGTTCAAAGTCGTCTAGTATAATACACCAATTAATCTTAATATGTGCATTAACTGTGCATGATGCCACATATATGTAACAATTAATATTTCTTATTTTTGCTTAAATTGTAATTCTATACTGGAACAGATGATCTAAAGAGGCTCTCAAGCCACAGAAGAACATATAGAATAATTTGATTTTTTTTTTTAATTGTTAAAAATGTCCCATTATCTTCCTTCGGAATGTCAAGAGAAATCTTGTAGGAAAGAGAAAATATAATGGATCATTTTGAACATATTTTCAAAAGACATAACAGTTTACATGTTCTTCCATGACTTGAGAGCTTCTTCTGACTTGCCAGATAAGGGAGTGAATGAATACTGTACTTACCTCATCTTTCTGGCTCTTGAGAAGGATATTTTCCACAGCCGTCTTGCTTGACATAGCATCCTCTCCATCCAGATTGATATAACAATCTCCCAGGTCCATACCGACATCAATCTCACAGGGAGCAGCTAATGAGGGCAAGCTGCAAAGAAAAAACAAATAATTTCCGTAATTCAGAAATTCTCTTTATCAAAAGAATGTGTACATCCTATGCTCGTTATTCGATAACACCAAGTAATCGATCAAAAAAACTTTACTTTGATATTTTCCTTGCACATATTAATTTTATAGGGTGATTAAACCTTAAGTTCCTCAACATTAAAATTAAAGAGGAGATATATCAAAGGCTAAACAAAAAAGTTGAAATTACACATTTCTGATTTTACTTCTTCATGGGTTGAATTTCCTCAGACATTTTTTTGTTGTTGGAACTACTTTGTGTCAAAACAAAAACTATAGAGAAAAAAAAATGAAGAAAGGAGGCAAGGAGAGAAAAGAAGAAACAGTACCAGTATTAATAGTTGGACAAGAAACTAACAATTCTTTTTTCATTAGCATATTTGTAAAGATTTCATTAAGTGTTCTCAAGGCTCCAGCAATACTGCATCATTCCGAAATGTGATGCTGAGGCACTTCAGATATTCTCTTGATTAGAGTCGATTGTTTTTTTCAGGAAAAATTTCAGTAAATAAAACATATTCTGTCTAGACCTATTTATAATAAGAAAGAGCAGAACAAGATCTCTTGCTTTAAAATGATCTAAATAATTTTCAAAATCTTCTACATTTTTATTTTCTCAAGCGTGAATGGTATCTAAGCATTCAGTCTTTGTCTGTGTCACCTTAAATACAAATAACATTTTCACATCATGATCATCCAAGTCAGCAACTCAACTGTATTCATAGTTCCAGCTCGCATGCAATTGCACTCAATTTCAACTTCAAAATACCTCACATCACACCATCAAACCGCCATTGCTGTATAAATTCATAGCACATGTGATCTAACTAAGAGTAAGAATCAGACGTAAAGATACATGTAGCCAGTTCTATTGAACAAATTTAAATAAACAACATAAAATTATGTTTAACAAACTGTAGACTACACATTCATTTATCATGTATCAACACTCCGGCCATGCGGCCAGGGAGCTCCGCCGCCTACGCCACGGCGCGGCAGAGCTCCCTGGAGCTGGAGCTGGAGCTGGACACTCGGTCCAGTTAAAATGTGCCTGGGTCTACCTTTTCTTCTCCTGTGAAAGTTTCTGCTTGCTATGTTTGTTTTCACTACTTTTCTTTGATAAAGATGAATTGTCACCACGTTCAACGTTCTCAGAGTCAGACTCTTTCACATTTGTTTTGATTTGTCCATGTCTAATTTTTGTGGAGCTGCCGACTTTATCTATCACAAAACTCGACGGGAATTCAAATTCTGAGTCATTCTCGTCATTTTCCGAGTCACCATTATCCACATTTAATCGAAAATCTGGCTTGGAGTCAATGACAAACTGCGGGAAAGAGTCATTTGAGGCATCCGAATCATCGTCCTGTTCATCCGTCCTCGTATCCTCTAGCTCAACGTCTTCCTCCCCCGAAGTTTCGGGTGCTTTCACAACCATCGATCGCTTCCTAGCGGCAGCTGTTCTGTGAGACTTTTGAACAAACAATTCTGTCTCCTCTCCAGTTTCTAATCCTGTTTTACTGCCAGCTTCCTTCGCGGTGGATGATTTGGAAACTTTCTGCTGCACTTTCGATTCACTATCTCTGTTTTTTCGTGTTGATTTTCCTTCTGTCTTCTTGGGACTTCGTCCACGTTTTGCTCTAGTCAAAGCCATGTTGCCAATATTTATTATGGTGTCTTTCAAAATCGAACAAAATAAGATTTTCCCAGCTTTTACTCCAAAACAGTTCCACCGGCTCCCCTTTATGTTAACCGGGTGGCATATAAAAGACAACGTAATATGAAATAAACATTGACTGTATTTCAATTATAATACTCATGTAATTTCATCTTTAAAGAATGTCCTTATTTTTTATATAAAAAGTTTCAGTATGCAACTATGCATATAGGCTCCACTAACAGCTTGTAAAAGTTGTATATGCTCTTTTCTTTCCTAATTTTCCGCTTTTCTTCAGGCTCTACTTCTTTTTTAACTGACTTTATCTTTTTGACCACGCACAATAATCATTGGGAGGGGTCGGCGTTTCGCCCACCTCCCGATCCGCCTATAAAATCCGCCTGCGACTTTGCGTTTTACACCCTGGCCTGGACCTTTTCCCAATAAATTTCAAGGAACCGACTGGGAAAAGTCTATCCATGACAAGATATTGCGCGCGCACGTAGCTCTTCTGCAATGCTCAACGTACGTCCTATTATTATGTCCAGTGTCGCGGTACGCGGTACATGTACTTTTGTATCGAGACGTACGAGTGAGAGAAAACAACGAATAACAACAGAAGGAAATAGAGAAAAACAATAAATAATTAAAGAACAGAGAGGAAACAAAGAATGTCATAAGCAGAGAGAGAAAACAAAAACTAACTTGAAAGAAAGAGAGAAATTAGAGAAGGAATTAATCAAAGTAAGGAAAGAGAGAAACCAAATAATATTATGGTTTTTGTGGTTTAATTCCGCCTTCTTCAGGGTTTCAATTTTTGACGTGTAGCCTACTTTCAAACCATTTGCTGATTCGGACCCCCCCCCCCTAACACACGTGTACACATATCGACACATACACAGACTACACTCGACATAATATGTGTAATGGTAATGTAATACATAAACTGTGATTTAAATATTGCACTCGTACCATTTTCTATTATTGTGGGATCACGTCTTTCATTTTTTAAATTCATGTCATTTGTTTCTAAGACCTAATTTCTCTAATTCTCTTGACCCCTCTCCCTTCATATTTGTTTTCTAAGACCTCCCCCCCCCCCCCCTCATCTCTCTTCATATTTGTTTTCTAAGACCCATTTCTCCCCCGCCCCCCCCCCCCCCCCCCATCTCTATTCATATTTGTTTTCTAAGACCTCTCTCTCTCGACCCACTCTCTCTCTCGTATGTATTTCTCAGACCCCTCTTTCTTTCTCTCTCATTAACCCCCTCTTCATATTTGTTTCTAAGGCCTCTCTCTCTCTCTTCATATTTGTTTCTAAGACCCCCCCCCCCCTCTCTTTCTCATTTCTTGATATTTGTTTCTAAGACCTCTGTCTCTCTAGCTCTCAATTCATGATATTTGTTTCTAAGACCCCCTCTCTTTCTCACTTCTTGAATTCATATTTGTTTCTAAGACCTCTGTATCTCTCTCCCTTTCTCTCTTTCTCATAAGTTAAATTCATGATATTTGTTTATAAGACCTCTCTTTCTCTCTTTTTCCATTCATCACTTTGTCTAGTGTAATGTACAGACACATAACATATAAAGGAAATTATACACCAGTTTTACATGAATTCATTTGCACTTTATTTACTGCTTTACATTCATATACTTTTTTTTTTCGTGAAGGTAATCTAATCCTTCAATGTCAGAGAAGTAATACAAAAGATACAGGAGTATGTGTATGCATAAATAGTTATATAAAGAAGAAATATGTAGTAAAAGTGAAAGCAAACAATAGTAGAAATTTGAACAGATAATTTGACAGTGTGTTAAGATTTAGATGCAAGAAATGACTATAAGAAATTTTTATTTGAAAATACATGCACATGTAGATAAAAAGAGATCTGAACATAGGCGGATTCATGGGCGCAGAGGCGTGCACCGCACTTTACTTTGGAGATAACGAACTGAATACACATAATAATGGATGATACGTGAAAATATTTTTCTTCAGCGAGTAACAATATTTCACGTATTTCGCGAAAATTGATCATCCAATATTATAATCATTATTTAGATACTCCACAGAGATATTGTGATTTATTCACCATTTTTTATAATATACTAGTACATGTACTTGTAAACTGCATCTTGGCAATTGAAGCTTGAAACGAGTGCAAATAATGAAATTTCCCAAGCATTTATGTGGTGCTGGTGCACAACTAACATGAAAAGTTAAAAATGTTTGAATTTCAAGAAAACAGTAGGCCTACCGTAACACTAATATAATCATTTACCTGTACAAAGTCGAACATCTAGAATTTACATATCCCAATCCAAGTTGTTACTTGAAGTTATCGTGCAGCAAGCTTCTTAACTTGTTGTTCTGAACTTGAAATCCTATATCTTCTCCCTTAATCTTCAGTATTGCAGCTGCGTACGGTGTGTATAAATGCTGCATCGACGTACGTCTGTGCATGTACGATTCGATTTGGAACTGGCGCGCCCGATCGAGGAGCGTAGACTAGACTCATTCAAGCAGTTTCATTGCTATTTACCGGGAAAATGTCCAGGCCAGGGTGTAAAACGCAAAGTCGCAATCCGCCTATAGCATTATACTCCATGGTCAATATTATTTCATTTAATTTATTTTCATTTATTTTAATTTATTTTTATATTTCTCATATTACATATATATTTCAAACTAAAGTACAATTATTATTTATTGTGATGAAATAACAAGCAATGATACATAATAAATAACATAAAAATAAGTGGTCAATATAGAGTACTGATTTAACTTAAATAAATATGGGACCTACATGAAAGCAAGTTATAAAGCAGTAGGCCCCGGTGAAAATATTTGTGATAATGAATGGAGGACAGCTATAAATAGTGACCAAGACAAATACATCCAAATACAAAGGGAAAGAAAAAAGAAAGATTCATGCGCTGGTGCTGTTTATATTTTCCTTCTTTTCTTACAAAGTAAACAAAACTACACGTACAGGCAGGCGCAGATCCAGAATTTTTTAGGGGGGCCCAAATTTGAAATCAATTTGAAATTTAGTGTGCTGATATTTGAAAATCGTGCCGGCCAATATTTCGCTCAGTGGGGGGGGGGGGGGGGGGGGGGGGGGGGGGGGGGGGGGATAGTGACCACTAATTTATTTTTGTTGGCCCTCAACATTTATAAAAAAAATCGCACCCCCCCCCCCTAGAGCGCCAGGGGTGGGGGGGGGGGGCATCTCCCAAAAAGAGTAAAATTAACGTTTTTACACGTTTTTTTTCAGGGGACGCCCCCCCCCCACCCTGGATCCGCCACTGCGTACAGCAGGCACGTAGCCAGAGTTTGATTGGGGGGGGGGGGGGCACATACATGTAAATGATCGAGGTCAAAAAGAGTGATCTAAAAAAGTTCAACCGATCGATACGTAAAAAACATTACTGTTCGGGTAGGCTTACGTGAAACTTTTGTGTTGCTCTGACGTGTGGGATAAGCATGAATGGATCTGTTTTTCCGAAACATATCCAACCTTACATTTTCTCACCTCGGACCCTAACGAAATCCTGGTACCGACAAAGTCTGATTTGTAAACCTATATTTTAGTTTAGATTTTGCAATTAGAAATGATGTCTTATAATTATAATGTGCATTTCTTCATGGAGATGTATTAGGATCATAGAGATATATACTTAATAAGTGTTAGTAGTATATATCTCTATGATTAGGATAATGATTATAGGACCTCTGTGGCGTTTCTTGAATAGCGCCACCTTGGGTTACATTCTGTATGTAGCGAAATAACTTTTTTTTTCTCAAGGATTCGGTTCAGGCGCGCCGGAAGCAGTTTGGAATTGGGGGGGGGGGGCAAACATTCCAAGGGGACTCACTTTCCAGTGGCAGTGGCGTAATGAGCAAAAACGTTTGGAAGGGGGGGGGGGGCAGAAGAAAAATCTGCATCACCACCAGTCCACCACTCTTACACGTTACAACTTACATGCACGCCCCTCGGAACTTTTTTCAAAGTGTATTAGCATCAGGTATAGCGTAAATTAGTGTGGGGTCCAGGGCCTGGGCCCGGCAGGGGATCAAGGGGCTAAGCCCCCGGAAGCTCAGGATTTTTAGGCATTAAAATACGGTCAGATAAGCATATTTAGATGCCTTATAATTTTGTGACACTGGCAGGTCACTAATTGGCGGGGAGTCCAGGGGCACAGCCCCTGAAGCTCAGGGGTTTCAGGTATTTAATTACGGTCAGATGAGCATCCAGTGGCCCGCCTTATGACCCTTGGTGAGTTCCGGGGAGCGGGGCCCCCATAAGCTCTGGGGTTTTAGACATTTAATTACGGTCAGATCACTTATTTTTTTCTCTCTCTTTCTTTCTTTTAATCCGTAACATACTTTTTCTAAAAGTGAGGGGTGCTCGAGCCCCCGAGCCCAGCCGTTCTGCAGGCCCTGACATGAAGGCTGCTAAATAAGCATTTTTTCTTTCTCGCCCGACTGTAAATTTGGGAATTTCTAATTTTCAACAAATGCATAGAAAGGTATAACTCCTTTTTTTGGAGGGGGGGGGTGTTTTTTGTTGTTGAGGGGGGGGGGGGCAAATGTGTCTCCCCCCTCCCCCACTTCCGGCGCCTATGTACAGATTGTTTGCGAGGGTCCAGGGAAATTCTTATATTGCAGGCCGACATAGATTCACAAAGCAGAAGATTGGATGTTAGTTTGACTTTAGGTGTACGTCATCCAAACCCTAGTTTTTTACTTTCTTAAAGTTCTTCGCTGTTGTCGAATACTTGTCTCTTTGACCGTGCAAAGAAGAATGAAAATAAAACTATTGTGATGAGGTCCTACTATTCTTCCACGAGAAGAGGTGACGTCACTGCAATAATCAGATCATTGTTTTGATTTATGGTTCTCTGAACTTAACGTCAGTGTGAGACTATAGGCCTAATCAAGACATGCTTCATGACACCTTGTGATGGAAGAAGATTACTTTGTTTTTGTTTTTCTTCAGAAATCCCAACGTTCTATATAATTAGG